CCACTTTTGCTGCTGAGCCGGGCTCCGGTCTCTACACTCTTCACACTGGCCCGCGCGCTCAGCAGCGACTGCAGCAGCAGCAGCAGCCGCAGCAGCAGCAGCAGCAGCAGCCGCAGCAGCAGCAGCGGCAGCAGCCGCAGCCGCAGCCACAGCGGCCGCCGTCGCAGCAGCCACTCCTCCCAGTTCCTGTCCCTCCCCCTAGTCTCCTCCCTGCGTCTCACCAGGTGGTTCCGTCCCCTCAGGTTGTCGCGTCCAGTCCAGTCGCTGCGTCTTGCTCCTGTCGGTCGCTTGCCCACCCCACCGTTCTGTGGCACCACCGGATGGGACACCCTTCTCTTCCACGTCTGCGTGCTATGTCTAGTCAGCGTCTGGTCTTAGGTCTCCCGCGTGTCTTGCCGTCGCTGCCGCCGTCCCTTGCACCACCGTGCGGTCCTTGCGTCGAGGGTAGGCTGCGTGCCACCCCTCACTCCTCCTCCCTTCGTCCGGCCACCGAGCCTTTTGAGACGCTGCACTTGGACGTCTGGGGCCCTTCTCCTCGCCCTGGCCCTGAGCGTGAGCGTTTCTTTTTGGTGGTCGTTGACGACTACTCCCGCTACACCACAGTGTTCCCCCTGGCGAGGAAGTCTGAGGTGACTTCTACGCTGATCAGGTGGTTGCTTACCACCCAGGACACTCGTGGTCGTCGTGTCAGCTGTCTCCACTCCGACCGCGGGGGCGAGTTTCGCTCCGGCATTCTCGCTGGATTCTGTCGCGAACAGGGCATTCGTCAGTCCTGGACGCTTCCGGAGTCCCCACAGCAGAATGGGGTTGCTGAGCGTCGCATAGGCCTGGTCATGGAGATTGCCCGCACCTCCTTGACTCACGCCCGTGCCCCCCATTTCCTGTGGCCATACGCAGTCAGGTACGCCGCGCACCAGCTGAACCTCTGGCCACGCGTCTCTCGGCCGGAGGCTTCACCGACCAGTCTTTGGACAGGGTCCCCTGGTGTCGCGTCGAGGTTTCGTGTCTGGGGGTGCTTGGCTCTTGTCCGCGACACCTCCGCGGACAAGCTCTCGCCTCGCGCCGTTCCTTGTGTCTTCCTTGGTTTCCCTGAGGACTCCTCTGACTTCACCTTTTACCACCCTCCCTCTCACCGGTTCTTTGACTCCCGTGACGTCCGTTTCGAGGAGTCCACCCCGTACTACGTCAGGTACCCCAGTCGAGGTCTCCCGGTTCCTCCTCCCCCCCTCTTCCTGACAGCCGCTCCCCCGCCTGCTCCCCCGGTACAGCCTCCCCCCCCTGGTCCAGCCCCGTCTGGTGTGTCTCAGGCTAGCCCTCCCCCTTCGGTAGCCCCCCCTGTACAGCCTCCCTCCCCACAGTCTTCCTCGCCGCCTCCTGCAGGTGCTCCCTCTCGGGAGGTTGGTCCTGCGACTGTCCCTGTACAGGTCTCTGGTTCTGGGGGTGCTGGAGTTGGAGCTGAGCCGCGGGTTGCAGAGGACTCTTGTCTTCCGGGGGCTGGTACTGGTCGTGCGGAGTCTGGGGGTGCTGGTGCGGAGTCTGGGGGTGCTGCGTCTGGGGGTGAGGGTGTTCCTTCGGTTTCTGGAGAGCCTGGGTCTGGAGCTGGTGTTGGTGCTGCCTCTGGGGGTGGTGTGCTTGGTGCTTCGGAGGTCGACTCTGGGGCTGCCGCTGCCCCGGACACTACTCCTTCCCCCCACCCCTACCCGACCAGGTTCCAGGCTCGTGTTCGCCGTGCTCGTGAGGAGCAGCTGGAGTTGGAGAGAGAGGAGAGAGAGTTGCAGCGGCTCGAGGAGCAGGAGCGACAGCAGCAGGGGCAGCAGCCGCTGGAGCAGCAGCAGCCGCAGCAGCCGCAGCAGCAGCAGCTGCCGTCTCCTCCTCCTGTCTCGGGTCTTCGGACCCTTGGTCTCCCCTCTCCCTCTCCTTCCTCCTCCCCCTCTCCTCCCGTCTCTGGTCCTCCGCTTCCTCCTCCTGACCCCTCTCCCGCTGTTTTCCCTCGTTCTCAGTCTTCGTTGTCCCCTCCTCCTTCTCAGACTTGGGCCTCTCGTCGCTCCCCTCGTGCTCGTCCCTCGTCTCCTGTTCCCTTCACTGACCTTCGTACTGCCTTACTTCGTTCTAGTCCACCTCGTCCGTCTCCGTCTGTGCTTCCGTCTCCTCCTGAGTCGGCTCTCACTGCGTCGCTCCCTACTCCTGTCACTGACTACTACCGCACGTACCGTCCTCTTCTCTCTCGTGTTCTCGCCTCGCTTGTTACTCACCCTCGTGCCTCTGTGTCCTCTGTGTCCGCTCTTACTGCCGCAGTCACTGAGTTTGCCTCTACCCGCCGCCTTGACTTCGCCACCGCTCTTGTGGCTGCTCCTCCTTCCAGTCCTCTGGCCGTCGGGGGTGTGTCTGCCCTTGGCTGTGACGCCCTAGAGGACAGGCAGTTTGAGCTAGAGTTCCTGGCGGCCGCTTCCCCTCATCTCTGTGCCATGCTCCTTGCCCCTGAGGGTGACCCCGACGCCCTTGACATTCCGACTCCTCGCACTTACGCTGAGGCAGTGTCAGGGCCTTGGGCCTCTCAGTGGAGAGCTGCCATGGACGCAGAGATGGCCTCCTACAGATCCACAGGCACCTACGTCGATGAGGTTCCCCCTCCGGGGGCGAACGTAGTCGACGGCATGTGGATCTACAGGGTGAAGCGGCCACCGGGATCTCCTCCGGTCTTCAAGGCACGCTACGTGGCTAGAGGTTTCAGTCAGCGCGAGGGAGTTGACTTCTTTCAGACCTTCGCGCCCACCCCGAAGATGACCACTCTTCGGGTGTTACTACACGTAGCAGCACAGAGAGACTACGAGTTACACTCTCTCGACTTCTCTACTGCTTTCCTTCAGGGCAGTCTTCACGAGGAGGTCTGGTTGCGTCGTCCCTCTGCCTTCACTGGCTCTTTCCCTCCTGGGACCCAGTGGAGGCTGAGGCGACCGGTTTACGGTCTTCGTCAGGCTCCTCGTGAGTGGCACGACACCCTGCGTTCTACCCTCTCTGACCTTGGGTTCCAGCCGTCTTCTGCTGACCCGTCGCTGTTCGTTCGTCGTGGCCCCACACCTTTCTTTGTTCTGGTCTACGTTGACGACCTTGTTTTCGCCACCCCTGACAGGGTTGCTTTGGCACACGTGAAGTCCGAACTGCAGAAGAGACACACCTGCACTGATCTTGGTGAGCTGCGCCACTACCTTGGCCTGCAGATCACCAGGGACAGAGCTGCTCGCACCATTACACTTTCACAGTCGCACATGGTGCAGCAGGTCCTTCAGCGGTTCGGGCTTCAGCACTCCACAGTACAGCGCACACCTCTTGCTGTTGACCACAGACTCACTGGACCCTTTCCTGACGAGCCGTTCGAGCCTAGTGGTCCCTACGCTGAGCTTGTGGGTTGCCTCATGTACCTGATGACTTGTACTCGCCCGGACCTCGCCTTCCCTCTCAGCGTTCTTGCGCGCTTTGTTGCGCCAGGGAGACACCGTCCTGTTCACTGGACAGCAGCTGTGAGGGTGGCGAAGTACCTAGCGACGACGTCAGGCGTGGGGCTAGTTCTTGGAGGGCAGCAGTCTGTCGTACTTACTGGTCACTGTGACTCCTCTTACGCTGACGACGCTGAGACTCACAGGTCTACTCAGGGGTACTGTTTCAGCCTGGGTTCTGGAGCTGTTTCCTGGCGGTCCACGCGCTCCTCTTCGGTCTCGACCTCTACAGCTGAGGCTGAGATCTACGCTGGTGCCATGGCGGCACAGGAGCTGCGTTGGTTGACCTTCTTGCTCACCGACCTTGGTGAGCGGCCGAGCTCTGCACCGACCTTGTTCACTGACAACAAGGCGTCTATTCTCCTTTGTCGAGAGCCACGACTGGAGAGCAGAGTGAAGCACATTCACGTCAGGTACTTTCTTCTGCGAGAGTTGCAGAGGCGTGGACAGGCTCGCTTTGAGTTTGTGGAGTCCGAGGCCAACACTGCAGACATCTTCACCAAGGCGCTTCCGCCTTGTGACCACCAGAGGTGCTGTGTGCAGTTAGGCCTTGTTGACACTAGTTCTCGTGTTGCTTAGACTTGAGTGTACTGTTTACTTTGCTTTCTATATACCTCTGTTACTTCTTGGACTGGCCTTGTGGCCACTGTTGTTTGTGCTCAGACTGTGTGGTGACGTTATGATCCACCCTGAGCTTCGTTTCTTGGACTGGTCTTGTGACCGTACTCGTTTGGTTCTGCTAGACACCCCTCACTTAGGCTATGGGGGTGTGTCAAATGTTGTAGCCTATAGTGAGGTTTGTCTTAGGGGGTACAAAACTTAGGGTTACCGTCATACCCCGGATAGAAGCGCAGGCCTATGATAAGCGCCGGCGCTTATAAAAGGATGAGGGCGCTTATATCCGGTCCTCGATTATAAGCGCACCCCTGAAGGCTTACGGATTATAAGCGCCACCCTTTGTAATATTTTCTTATATTTTTACTAGAAACGCTGTAACGAAACACGATTTTTCCATTCCCACATTCAGAATTTCGAATCCCTTCACCCTCGCGCGACTCGATACCTTCGTGTCCAGTCAGAATGAGCTGTCATGGGGTCAATCTGACTCATTCTGACTGTGTGTGTTGGCATGGAATCAACCACTGCCAATTCACGCGAAATTCACATTCATTGCCCTCTACAATATCGATTCGATTCAAATCGTAAGAACGAGATGAACACTTTGGTGTAAAAAAAAACAGATTTCATATATGTCATTATATAAGCCCCGGCGCTTATAAATTTCCTCAATTATAAGCGCACCCCCTAAAAAACAGTGTTTTATTACAACCCCAGGGGCGCTTCTATCCGGGGTATGACGGTAGCTATATATACCCCAACCAACATCAATGCATCATCCATTCTTCATTTTAACACATCTGTAGCTGTTCCAATGAAGCTGCTGCTTTGAATGTACATGGAAATATGCTCTTTTGATTAAGGATGATAGCCAAATGTGTTACCATGTCAGTCGTCATGCGCAAAAAAGGAATAGTTGCTTTCCTGTAGAATTTAACCAATGAAAGAAGCAAATCGGGAGAGGGAAGGCAACGAAAGGAGGGGGGAAAAGGAACACACATCAGTCGTGGACTTAGAATTGATGGAGGGGACTCAGTGAGCAAAGGCGCCATGCAGGAGACCAACGGGAGCACGCATTGACCAGCATTAATCAACAAAGCCCACACTCCTGCTGATTTGACCTTTCCCCATTGACATGAATTGACCACCAGCATTGCCCTCAGCTGACCAGCATTGACCTGCGTTGACTAGAACTGACCTGAGCCGCGAGACGGCTGCGCCTGCGCGCCACGGAGCGATTGCGACTTGTCTCTGAGTTTGGAGAGAGGATCATGCGCTGTGGGGAGAAAAGGGGGGAGGGAAGGCACGACAAGTGAAAGGGAGGAGGAACGCGAGGAGCCGATTCGGCCGATGCTTGGCAAGCCTGCTAGCCACGAAGCGATTGTGACTGGCCTCAGAGTTTGGAGAGAGAATCATACGCTGAGCGGAAGGTGGGGAGTGAGAGGGGGGGAAGGGGGGAGAAAGAGGAGGGGGGGAGGGACAGAGGGAAAAGGGGGAGGAATGTGTGGAGCAGATTAAGACGACGCTTCTCAAGCCTGCGAGCCACGGAGCGATTGCGACTGGTTTTAGAGTTTGGGAGAGAGTATCATATGTTGAGCAAGGGGGAGAGTGGGTGAGGAAGAAATAGTGGGGACAAGAAGGCAAGGGCAGGACGAGTGGTTGGAAAGGGATGGGTTGATACGCCCACTAGTGTGCGAGCCAATGAGAGATTGCGGCTGGCCCGATTTTTGAGTCGACTACAAAATCGACTCATCACGAGTGGGTGAAAAGGGATGAGTTGATACTGCAGGATTTTTTGAGAATTTAGAAAAAAAATCCCCACTAGCGTGCGAGCCACGGAGAGATTGCGGCTGGCCTTGGGATTTGGAGAGAGAATCACACGCCGAGAAAAAAAATCATGAAATGAAGGGGGAAGTGGAGAGGAAGGTACGGAAGAGAGAGGAAAGAGGGAAGAATGGGTGGCGACAACTTAGCTGATCTTGAGAATTCCCGAAATCAGCCTGCATTAAATGCATACGCCTAACCCGCATGCAGTCTGCAGCCCCACAGCCCACCGCTCACCTTCTGAACAGCGGTTTGGAAAACCTCTTTTTTCTCCATGCGGGGCTGGTAGCTGAACACCTGGTGCAGCAACTCATTGTCCTGGCCAGGGGGGAAGGGGGGAGGGCGGAAGGGGGCGGGGTTGGGGGGGGAGGGGAAGGAGGGAGGTTGGGTTTGGAAAACCTCCTTCTCCATGCGGGGCTGGTAACTGAACACCTGGTGCAGCAACTGATTGTCCTGGCGGGTACGTGCGGGGAGAAGGGGGGTTGGAAGGGGGGAGAATGGAAGAGAGGAGATGGACGGGGGTTGGAAAGAGGACGGAGTGGACGATGCTAGTAGGGGGAACAATGGGTAGCCAGTAGCTGAACACCTGGCGCAGCAACTCGTTGCCCTGGCAGAGAGGGGGAGGGAGAAGGAGGGAATGGAGGGGGAGAGGGAGGGGCGCTGGCGGGGAGGCATAAGGGGAAAAAATGTAAGGAGAAGGGTAGTGAGAACGGTTGGGTGGGTGGGCGTGTTAAGGCAGGCAATCAGTTTTGAGCCAGCTGCTCTGAGCATGAAACCTCTCAAGGCATGTGGGTGGGAGTCTGGCATCAGCAGCCACAGACGTGCTGCTGCCAACGAATTCAGCCCAGCCCTGGGCCTGCCACAGCTGCCCTCGGAACCGCCAGCGCAGTCTCAAGAAGAACAGCCAAGGCAGCTTGAACAACCACCAGAACAGTTTATCAAACCGCCAAGGCAGCTTGGAAAACCGTCAAGGCAGTTGAAAAGCAGCCAAGGAAGCCCTAAGACACCGCCCTAGCAGACCCAAAGGAGCAGTGCAGCGGACCCAGTCAGTGTTGGCACCAATGCTGAGGACATCCCAGGGGGATGGCGTCAGTGCGAGGGACAGAGAGGATGGGCAACCCCCTGTCCCTGCTGCTGGTGCCGATGAGACTAAGGATCAATGATGGGAAAAGTCTGAGAGAAAAACGAAAATGGAGAGGGAGGGAGGGAGGGAGGGAGGGAGGGGGCAGGGGGGTGAGGAGAAGGGAGAGAGGGAGGCTGGGAGGCAAGGAGGGAGGGAGGCAGGCAGGGAGAAAGGCAGGGAGGAGGCAGGAACAGATGCAGGAGGGGAGGTGGGGAGGTCACACCTGCAGGTGGCGTTGGAAGCCGTCTGCTAGGAACCTCCGGAGAGCATTCAGCTGGTGGGGGACGGAGAGGACGGGATGGGAAGATGGAGGCAACGGATGGAACAATCGAGGGTAGAAGCAGGGCAAAAGGTGGGACGGAATGAAGATACAGAGTTAGCAAGCAAGGCGTCAGAATGAGTGGTGATGCCATCAGGACGATAAGCACAACAAGATTACACGCCTTGATTGCTGGCTGACAAGACGTCAGCGTCCACGTGTCAACCACTCACCTGCACTGTCAGCGTCCACGTGTCGACGCGCAGTGAGTCGCCATGCTTCAGCTTGATGACTGTCTCAGAGCAACGCCCATTGTCCTGATGAGGATAAGAGTGGTGGGAAGGGGTGGGAGCGGGTGCAAAGGGGTGGAGGGGAGGGCGGTAGGGTCACGCACTACAGCCTGATGCCCATCTCCGAGCAATGCCCGTTGTCCTAATGAGGGGTGGGGGCGGAAAGGAGCACTCAAGACAGCAGCCGTTCTCACTGGGCAGTGTTAACTGCAACACCCACCCTCCCCATACACCAGAGCCAATCACGACAGCAAGCAGCAAAGACTCACCCGAATAGACCCGAGAATCTCCCGGAAGGCCAGCCGCTGCGAGAGGCGGCCCTTCTTGGTCATCTGCTTGCTGCTTCCAACGGTCATCTGCTGCATCTGCTCCACTGCCCTCTGCACCGTTGCACTGCCCTGGCGCCCACCTGTGAAGGACAGAGGGACACAGGTAGAATGGGGTATGGGTTGTGAATTGCATCAACAGTCACCTCATCTGCTTGCACCTGCCAACTGTCATCTGCTCCACCGCCCTCTGTACCGTCGCACTGCCCTGGCGCCCACCTGTTGAACAAAAAAAGAGGGGTATGAGGCACGGGGCAAAAGGTGTGACTTTGTGTCAACAATCATCTCATCTACTTGCTGCTTCCACCGTCAGCTGCTGCATCTGCTCCACCGCCCTCTGCACCGTTTCGTTGCCCTGGCGCCCACCTGTGGGGGACAGGGTATGGGGGTATGGGGTATGGGGCATGGGGCACAGGTCATGAGTTATAGGTATGGGGCATGAGGTATGGGGCATGGGGCATTGGGAATGGAAAAAAGGGTATAGGGTATGGGACATGGGGTGTGGAGCACAAGATGCATGGGGCATGGAGCATGGGAACAGGGCATGGGCCACAAGCGGCATCTGGCATGTGGCATGGCGATGGGGTATGGAGTTTTAGTATGCAACTGCAATGCACTGCGCCATGAAACATTGCCTTCACCACACCTTCCACCCCACCCTCCAAGGATTACTCCTACCTCTGAGGGCCAAGCCAAGGACGACTGACCTCCCACAGGTTTATCAGGCAGCACCACCCCATCCACAAAAAAACTCATCTGAGTCACTGCTCTCCACTGCACCACACAGTACCACACCGCACCGCACAGCATTGCTACCTTAGGGCCTAGGGTCAACTCACCTCCCACGGGTTTATCAGGCAGCACCACCCCATCTACGATAGAGCCGTCCAAGTCACTGCTCTCCACAGCACCGCACAGTGCAGCACATCACCGCACAGTACCGCACAGCAAAAAAAAAAAAAGCCAGGGCGAACTCACCTCCCACGGGTTTATCAGGCAGCACCACCCCATCTACGATCGAATCATCCGAGTCGCTGCTCTCCACTGCACACCGCACAGCACTGCAAGCACTGCATTGCACCTCAGGGGCAAGGCGGGCTCACCTCCCACGGATTTATCAGGCAGCACCACCCCATCTACGATCGAATCATCCGAGTCGCTGCTCTCCACTGCACCGCTCCCACCACCATTTGCCAAGCCATTCGCCGAACCTCCTCCCGAGCCTGCACCAGTTCCAGGTTCGTCTGCAGCGTCTGCAGGGCAGTGCTCGTGCACGAGCGCTATGGCCTCTCCTGCCGCTCCCCTAACACCCAAGTCAGCGTCTTGCAGGCAGCGGGAGAGAACTTCTAGCTCACTGGTTATAGGGAAAGGGATGGAGGAAGAGTTGGAGAATAGCTGACGAATCGCAGCGGAAAGAGAAGAAGAAGGTCTATGACCTAGCCTGCCGTCCCCTTCACGCACATGCCCGCATCTTGAAGACAACGGAAGGAAACTTAGGGAAAGGAGGAAGTGAAGGAGATGGTGAGCAGCAGGCAGGGTCGAGCTGGCAAGTGGTTGAGACCACAGGCGCGTGGGCAAGGAGCCGCACGCGAACTCATTAGTGTGTCCACAGACACACTGATTGTTTAAGCACACGAACTCATTCAAGAAGCCGACGCACCTGCGGGTGTGGAACTGCGAGAGCTGCGAGGTGGGCAGTGTGGAGAGGAGCAGCGTCCAGTTGCTGATGGCTGATCCCCTTACTGCTGCCGGCACCACTGCTTTGCTGGTGCCCTGGTGAGAGAAAGCAAGAAGACATTGAGGGAGGCAGGGTGCAGCGGGTGTTGAGAGTGAGTTGGTTGAGTGGGTTGGGTAAGATGGAGGGCAGCAGTGTCCAATTGCTGATTGCTGATCCCCTCACTGCTGCCGGCACCACTGCCTTGCTGGCTCCCTGGGAAAAGGGACGAGAAGAGTGGGTAGGGGGTCTTGCTGTGAGTTGGTTGTGCTGGGTAAGATGGAGATGAGCAGGGTCCAAATGTTGATGGCTGAACCCTTCACTGCTGCCTGCACCACCTCCTTGCTGGCGCCCTCAGGACGGAAAGCGAGAACAAGGGTAGGGAATAGGGGGTGTTCAGTGAGTTGGATTGAAAAGAAGGTACACTTATTCAGTTGGTGACTGTCAAAAGATCTCTTCCCGGCGAGGGTAGGCACATGCTCTTCTGTGAGGAATGGCTGTAGTTTCTATCCCAAATAACACGTCCAGCCAAACGAGGTGACTTTTGAGTCGACTCCACTTCGTCCCCGCGACCAGCCAAACCAGACGCCTCCCCTGGTGGTTAATCACAAGCTATACAGCAAGCTCATGCTATCTTTTAGCATCAGCAATAACTAGTGAACCCCAGACCCTCACGCTAAAATTACACCCTAAGCTTTGGTACCTGAACCCTCAGCCTCACCTGGGGACACGCAACGAGCCACAGCAGGCTCATACTCTCGCTGTGGCATGAGCGATGCCTAGTAAACGCCAGACTTTAAACTTAAACCTTGAACCTTGAAATCTCAACCCTGAACCTTACCTGCGGGCTGGCAACAAGCCATAGTAGGCCCATGCTCTCCTCCGTGGCATGTGCGTCCATGGCCCCCACAAACGTGATGATTGCCATGGCGTCTAGACACTGGAGAGGGGTCGGAGGAGATCAGAGGGAGGAAGGAGGGGAGGGGAGGAGAAGGGGTGGTGGATCAGAATGAGTCCGTTCTCTCCTCCGTGGCGTGTGCGTCCATGGCCCCCACGAAGGTGATGATAACCATGGCGTCTAGACACTGCATGAGGAGGGGGGAGGGGAGGAGGAGGAAAGGGGGGTGTGATGAGAGGATAGAGGAGGATGGGGAGCGAGAAGAGGTGAGGAAACAGGTGATGGAAAGGAGTGGAGGGGACCCTAGAGATGCACCAGAGTGTGATGATGCTGACAAGGCGAGGGAAGGGACGGAGGGGACAAGGCGAGGGAGGGAGAGAAATGGACAAGGCAAAAAGGGGAGAGGAGGGAACAAGGCAAAAGGGGGAGAGGAGAGGACAATGCGAGGAAGGGAGAGGAGGGGACAAGGCGAGGGAGGGAGAGGAGGGGACAAGGCGAGGGAAGGGAGAGGAGGGGAAGGGACGTTGTGAGGTGTATCAAAACGTTCTGTGGCATATGCATCCCTCTCTCCATCCCTCCCTCCCTCCCTCCCTCCCTCCCTCCCTCTCCCGATCTCTCCCTCCTTCCCCCCCTACCCCTCTCCCTCCCCCCCTCCCTCCCTCCCTCCTCCCCTCCCTCTTACCCTCTTTCCCCCCCTTCACCTCCCCCTTCGCTCCCCTTCTTTTGGACACCCCACTCACAGCAACGCGAGTGGCGGCACAGCCAGCAGCGCGAGCCAGCTTGCTCAGATGCGGCAGCGACGAGGAGAGCAGCTCCTCGCACGAGTCAGAAGCACCTAGTGTGAGTGCCAGCAGACCTGGAAGGGGGGGGGGGGGGGGGGGGGGAGGAAGAAGGGAAAAGTGAAAGAAGAGTCATTTGAAAAGAACAGACGGCGGTTGGGAATCGAGCAGCGAGCGGGGTGGAGATGTAGGGTGAGGGGCAAGGAGAGGAGCTAGCGCAGGGGGTATTGGTTGTAGGTACAAGAGCAGGGAGCACTCACGAAGGCGTCGGGCAGCAAGGACTTGCTCGGGCGCCTTTCCCTTCCTTTGTAGAGAGGGTGTTTTTGAGACGTCTCTACACGAGGGAGCACTCACCAAGGCATCGGGCAGCAAGGACTTGCTCGGGCGCCTTGCCCTTCCTTTGTAGAGAGGGTGTTTTTGAGACGTCTCTACACGAGGGAGCACTCACCCAGGCATCGGGCAGCAAGGACTTGCTCGGGCGCCTTGCCCTTCCTTTGTAGAGAGGGTGTTTTTGAGACGTCTCTACACGAGGGAGCACTCACCAAGGCATCGGGCAGCAAGGACTTGCTCGGGCGCCTTGCCCTTCCTTTGTAGAGAGGGTGTTTTGAGACGTCTCTACACGAGGGAGTACTCACCAAGGCATCGGGCAGCAAGGACTTGCTCGGGCGCCTTGCCCTTCCGTAGGCACGAGAGGAAGCCCTGCGTGAGAGTGTCGAACCTGGTTGTATTGGAAGGGGTGGGAGGAAGGGAAGAGTATACAAAGTTGATCGGGTACGAAACACTAGAGAGGAAGTGTGATGGGCGAGAACAGCCTGCGAGAGGGTGTCAAACGCGCATACACGCGCACACACATGCACACACCCGCGCGCACACACCCGCCACCACACTCGCGCACACACACAAACCACGCCCCTTCCCCTCCCTCCTGCCCCACCCCCATGTTAGAAGCCTTACTTGTCCTGCACGAGCTCCCCGTGCACTTTCGACGCCAGAGTGGTCGCCAGCCCCTAGAGAAGCGCACAGCACCGCATAGAACCATGCACAGACGCACACAAACCCATACACACCCACGTTAGAAGCCTTACTTGTCCTGCACGAGCTCCCCGTGCACTTGCGACGCTAGAGTCGTCGCCAGCCCCTTGAGTGCCGCCTCGCGCGTTGTGGATCTGGCAGACGCACAACCATACGGGGGGAGAGAGAGGGAGAAAGATGGGAGGCGGGGAGCGGGGGGGGGGGGGACGGAGGGAGGAAGCGCAGTGTAAGGGTTTTGTGAGAATCATAAGAAAAAAAGGCACGGCAAACACGTCCCACCACGCCTTATCCCATTCCACCCTCACCATGAGTCGCACCCACTCACCGCTTCTCCTGCAGCGCGTCTAGAAACGCTTCCGTGGCCGGTGGCAGCTTAGTTGCAACTTCGCTATAAGCCACCACGCCTCACAGCAAGCACGCCTCACCAAGCCACCACGCCTCACCCATTCTACCTTCACCACATGTTGCACCCACTCACCGCTTCTCCTGCAGCGCGTCTAGAAGCGCTTCGGTCGCCGTCGCCGCGCAGTAGACGTCGTCACGCGCGCCAGAATACACGGCCGGAAGGTCGCTCGACGACGACGCGGTGCTCGCCGTGTCGTCGTCGTCCGCGTCGCCGCCGCGCGACGAGCGAGAACTCTTCTCTGCGAAAAAACAAGATAAGGGTGGCGGCGGGAGAGATGGGGGGGGAGGGGTCGGGGAAGGAAGGAGGGGGGAAGAGAGAAGAGAGGAGAGGAGGGAGAAGCGTTAGCATAGAAAGCAAAAAACCCGTTCCAGTCATTTCGAGCACCGCTGCTCGCCGTATCGTCGCCGTCCGCGTCGTAGGCGTGGTTCGCATTATCCGCATTGTTCGCATCGTCCGCATGGTCCGCGTCGTCCGCGTGGTCGCTGCGACCAAATCCGCGGGAACCGTGATCTGCAAGAGCGGAAGCAGGATGTTTGCCCGTTGTACAGGCAGATTAGGCAGCACACGTAACGACTTTTGCGACGCCACAAATGACGACTCGCCGGAATGATTCTCTCCAAAGCGTAGCAGGCAGAGCAGGCAGCACACGGAGCGGGGTGACGGCGTGGCAGCAGAGCAGGCAGTCGGTTCTTAAGGTCGCCGTTGCTCGCCGTGTCGTGTCGTGATTGTTGACGCACTCGGTAGGAGGATCCGCGAGAACCATATAACGAAGGAACAGGGAGTAAAACGCGGGAAGCGGAGATGATGAACGAAATCCAAAGAGAACCACAGCAGCGCACAGTGGAAGCTAAGAGACCCGTGTGCATGTTGACTAGCTTCCTGGTCCCTCAACCAGGTGAGACCACACGGACGTAGTGCAAGAGTAACTCCGAGGGGAAAGGTGGATGCGATATCCTCGACCACAACATTTCGCTAGATGCAAGGTTCAAGTTCTTGCAGGAGATGCCTGAAATATCTTTTGAAGAGGAAGAATGAAAGAAAGGAAGAAAGAAAGCATAAGAGCAGGTTGTGATGATAAACTCACTCTTCCCCATTTTCCGTTCAATCAAGTCGGCGATGCAATTTAGACGAGACGAAAGGCAACACTACGTCCGGGGACTCGAATGGAGAGCCTCTGTTTTAATATCTTCTGCAAAACTGCCCGAGGGATTTCCTGAGGAGCACAGCTCTTCTGGTAAGCAAATGGCCTGATCGGATTTGCAGCAGTACGTGCTATCGCGGTAGCACTTCTTTTATTAACGCGAGGAAAGCAATGCGAGAATGAAATTAAGGAGCGAGAATCCTAACGTTCCTGAGCGCGTCTGCTTTGAAAGCCGAGAGTACGAGAGCGCTTGAATGGAAACAATGTATCTATGTCCTCTTTGAAAAGACCAGCAGGAAACTACGAGGAAGAAAGAAGACTGTTCACAACGCCATGCTTAGACGAGCGTAGAACGGCAATGCTGGTCTCTCAGCCCGCTATCGTCGACCTAGCGGGCTGATGGTTATCCGTTTCGCGGAGGTTCGACCTCTTGGGATCTTACCTAAGATCCCAAGACTGATTATAGTTGGTTTATCAGTCGCCTATTAGCAACTGGTTCCGCTACCGCCGTGATCGGGAGGAGCCTGAAATCGGTAGAGCTGAGAGGAGGAGGTGCTGGGAGCGCGAATGACGGACATGGAAGGGAATGAGAAGCTGAGGCACGCCATGGATGAGCAATGGGGTACGGAACGATAAATCTGTGATACTAGGAGGAGAAAAGAGGGTTTGAGAATGACAGTGGTTCCTGCTTTATCTTTCGTGCTAGCCAACACCCAATTCGGCTGGAAAGAACAGCGTCAGCCAACGGCTTTCCTGTGATGGATGGAATGGGATGGGATGGGATGGGATGAGATGGGATGGGATGGGATGGGATGGAATGGGATGGGATGGGATGGAATCATGGAATGGTTAGTTGACCTTGGGATTTGCTGTGCGGGTCCCCGTTCTGTACCAGCCCAGCCCAAGATCCCAGACGAACCCAACCCAACTTGAACGCTGGATTTCGGGGAAAGTGTTATCAAAAGCGACACCATTGGACATCGGAGACCACAGCTTCAAGTTGAACAACCTCCAATGGCGAGAGGGTGATATGGCCTCGTCAGCATCCAGCACAGCAAGGAACAAATACACAGGATGCCCGTTTGACTCCTACAACTTTTTCGGTCATTTGGATGTCTAGTGCGCAGATCTTTTTCGCCAGCTCGTCGAAATTCGTCACGGGCAAAATCGGGACTGTAGTGGGCAGGTGAAGAAATGTAACCAGCTTCTTCAAAATATCTTACGAACGGACGGATGCCAGCGTGATAAGCTGTTTTTTCACGGCTACGATCAAAATGAGGGCTTGTATCGAGCGTGCAACTGGCTGGTGCTACTTGCAATTGGGCAGGCTGTCGAGCCTGGCCAGACCAAATGCGCGTGCACTGGTTGGGCATCGTGTGTATCGCAGGCCGCCAAAAAGATTGGGAAAATATGCCATTCGTAACCTTCATGGGACTCGATAACACAGTTGGTAAAAAAATAAAGGGTACGGTCACTGCAAAGGGTGTTTTCACGCGACTGATAAAGAGTTTCACGGAATCAGTCACAATCAACAGGTAAAAAAAAACGCGAATGGTCACAGATGAAATTCCCGCCAAAACAAAATGAAACCCAAAAAGAATCTGGGTGCATTTTCGGATGAATCAACCCTAACACGTAACTAGCCAGGTGTTTAGGGTTGATCCGTTCCCGAACCGCATCCGATTCCGATTGGGTTTTAGTTTTTTTTTACAAGTTCGCAGATTGGTTGGGGGCGAGCGGGAATTTTGTTGAGTTTCAAGCATTTTTTGCGGGAGTTACATGTTTGACCATTCGCGTGATTTTTTACCTGTTGTTAATGACTGAATCCGTGACCCCACTTACCAAACCCGTCTGGAAACCCGATACAGTGACCGTACGCGTTTTTTCTGTACCATTTACGTTATCGAGTCCCAAGTTCGTTACTTGTGGCATATTTTCCCAAAAAGATTTCGCGATATACACCACGAAGTAGACAAAATAGCTGACTATGAACATACCTTCTCGTACTTAATACACAATTGCAGCATATAAACAGCCCACATGAATGCCACATTGCAATTCCCTGCTAACAAAGCACCAAATAGCAATAACATCCCATGTGAACCTATAGAATCACAACGCAATGGCACCAATTCGTTTACTTTTTGTTGCTAAGTCAACACTAGCATATGGCATATGCACCACACGATCCTCCTCCCCTCTGATTCTCTCAAAACTTTTGGATGGACTAGCCCTGCTGCCAGCTGCACCATCCACTTTACCCTTCCCTCCCCCTTGTTCATCCCATTGCTACCTACCTCTATCACCACCCGAAGCATAACTATTGCCCGTTCCACCAGCACCAATAGCATCATCAGCAGGAGTGGCACCAGCACCATTAGCACCACCAGCAGCACCGGCAGGAGCACCAGCAATAGGAGCACTGTTTTCGGAGACCAACTCCCCTTCACGCGGTTGCAAGGCCTGCTGGGGCACCCCTTGCTGCTGCACGCTTTGCTTCTCCCCTCCCTGTGCTTGCATGGACTGCGGTTGGAACACTTGTGGTTGCATCGCTTGTGGCTGCAGAGCCGACGCCACCGCCGCCTGAAACAGCAGCTGGATCAAATCCGCCTGCTGCCCCGCTTGCGGAGCAGCAGAAGGGTCCTCTCCCAAGGGCGTCAGGCTGGCGCTGCTGTTACTGCGCTTGCGCAGATAGTCAAACGCAGCGTCTCGGGACGGGCGAGACTCGCTGAGGACGCGCAGGAAGTCTGCCCGCGCGAGGGGGCGCTGGGAGGTTGGCTCCTTCCCCTCCCCCCGCAGCGCTCTCCTCTCATCCTCCAAGAAGTCGTGCAGAGGCAGGTAAGCCGCCTGCTTGCACAGCTCTGTGAGGTCCGACCCGCTGTAACCAGCACAGAGGGATGCGATTTCCTGCAGATCCAAGTCCTCATCCACGTCCTCGTCCTGTCGGGAATGATGGGTATGGTGGGCAGACGAACATGAGATGAGAACACGAGAGCTCGGTGAGAGGAGGAAGTCTGCCCGCGCGAGGGGGCGCTGGCAGGTTGGCTCATTCCCCTCCCCCCGCAGCGCTCTCCTCTCGTCCTCCAAGAAGTCGTGCAGAGGCAGGTAAGCCGCCTGCTTGCACAGCTCTGTGAGGTCCGACCCGCTGTACCCCGCACATACGGATGCGATTTCCTGCAAGTCCAATTCCTCATCCACATCCTCGTCCTGTTGATAGAGAGAGAGGGGAACACCGAATGAGGGTTGAAGTAAATGGCAGGTACGCTGCCTGCTTGCACAGCTCTGTGAGGTCCGACCCGCTGTAACCAGCACATAGAGAGGCAATCTCTTGCCAATCCAAGTCCTCATCCACGTCCTCGTCCTGATGAGGGGAATGAGGGGACAGAGGAACATGAGATGAGAACATGAGGGCTCGGTGAGGTCCGACCCGCTGTAGCCCGTGCAGAGGGAGGCAATCTTTTGCAAGGCCAAGTCCTCATCCACGTCCTCGTCCTGTAGGGAGACACAGGGAGAGGAAGAAACAATTAGATTGGAAACAGCTCTGCGAGGTCTGACCAGCTGTACGCAGCACAGAGAAAGGCAATTTCTTGCAGGTCCTCGGTCAAGTTGATGGACAGAGGGGAACGAAGAATGAATGAGGAGTGGGGTAGAATGCAGGTATGCTGCTTGCTTGCACAGCTCTGTGAGGTCCGACCCGCGGTATCCCGCACACGGAGAAGCAACTTATGACAGATCCAGACCGTCATCGACGTCCACGACCTGACAGTATGAGACAGAGGAAAACGAGGCAGAGAAAACATGAGATGAGAACACAACGGCTACCGTGGGGATCATTCGCTTTTTTGTGCTTCCCATCTCTGGAAATCTATAGGCTTCCCTGAGCTTTCCTACCGTGTTTTTACCTAGACTACCCTGTTCTACCCTGTTTCTATGCTTCCCATCCCTGGGCATCCCTGGGCTTCCCTTACCTGGAGTTACCCTGGGCTAACGGGGGGATCAATACAATTTCATATGTATACGCTTCCTTGTATTGATCCCCATGTTAGCCCGGAATAACTCCAGGTAAGAGAAGCCCAGGGACGCTCAGGAATGGGAAGCATAGAAGCAGGGTAAAACAGGGTAATCTACGGAAGAACGGGGCAGAAAAGCACAGGTACACTCAGAAAGCCTAGGGAAACCCAGGGATGGAAAGCAAAGGGAAGCGGAAAGATCCTTGCGGTTGCCTAGAATAACCCTAGGCATACCCGAATAATCACTTTGAAAATGCTGGTCTGGCCAGCCAAGTCAGGCAGGGAGATTTCAATTGCCTAGGCAGGCGCCTGAGAATGGCCTCGTGTTGTACTAGCCTCACACATCACATGCCCGAAGAATCACTTGCAAGATTTGAGAAGCGACTGGCTACATCCCGCAGGGAAATCTCAAAGAGGCGAGGCAGGCGCCTGAGAACCCACCTGCCGCACCCAGCCTCACAACTCACAATCATCAAAATACCCACCTGCCGCACCCAGCCTCACAACTCACAATCATCAAAATACCCACCTGCCGCACCCAGCCTCACAACTCACAATCATCAAAATACCCACCTGCCGCACCCAGCCTCACAACTCACAATCATCAAAATACCCACCTGCCGCACCCAGCCTCACAACTCACAATCATCAAAATACCCACCTGCCGCACCCAGCCTCACAACTCACAATCATCAAAATACCCACCTGCCGCACCCAGCCTCACAACTCACATACCCGCAGGATCACTTCCAGAATGCTGGTGCGGCCAGCCAAATCCGGAAGGAGGATCTCAAAGTGCCTGGGAAGGCGCCTGAGAATGGCCTCGTCCAGCTCCCAGCCTCGCGAATCACATTGGGCACTACGCTCTTGAAAGCATTACATACCCGCAGTATCACTTCCAAAATGCTGGTGCGGCCGGCCAGGTCGGGAAGCGGGATCTCGAAATGGCGGGGCAGGCGCCTGAGAATGGCCTCGTCCAGCTCCCAGGGGCGATTGGTGGCTGCTAGTACCATCACTCTAGCTGTATCTGGTGGGGGGTTGCATTGCAATGCAGGATAGGAGGGCAGGTAAGGGGAGGGTAAGGGGTGGGGAAGGGGTGAGAGTGTGATACAGGCGCCTGAGAATGGCCTCGTCCAGCTCCCAGGGGCGATTAGCAGCTGCTAGCACCATCACTCTTGCCGTGTCTGCATGATTACAGGGAGACATGAGGGATGGTGGAGGGTGGTGCAGGGGGGTGCAGAAGGGTTCATGATGAAAGGCGCCTGAGAATGGCCTCGTCCAGCTCGCAGGGGCGGTTGGTGGCTGGTAGTATCATCACCCGCGCCGTGTCTGATGGGGATGGGGGAAAGATGAGGGGGAGACGAAGGAAGATCAGTGAAATGACAGAGTGAAATGAGGAAGGCACCCAGCCATTCACCAGCACATACCCACTCACCATCAGTGCTGAATCCGTCCCACAGCGACATGAATTCCGTCTTCATGCTGGTCACCGCCTCGTGCTCCGTGTTCCTCCTCTGGCCCAGAAAGGACTCCACCTCGTCTATGAAGATTATGGCCGGCTGCAGCTTGTGGGCTAGCGTGAACACCGCTGTGACTGTAACAAGGGAAAGGAAAAGAGGATGTAGGAGGAGGGAAGCGGGAGGGAGGGAACAAGGTGCTCCGTCGCCCTCCTCTGCCCCAGGAATGACTCGACCTCGTCTATGAAGATGATGGCCGGCTGCAACTTATGCGCGAGCGTGAACACCGCTGTGACTGTAAAGGTAAAATGTGGAAGCAGGGAGGGTAGAGGGGATAAGACCATCGGGCTCTGTGTTCCTGCGCTGCCGGAGGAACGACTCGACCTCGTCTATGAAGATGATGGCTGGCTGCAGCTTGTGTGCTAACGTGAACATCGCTGTGACTGTAATGAGGGAAACGAAAAGAGAATGTAGAAGAAGGGAAGGGGGAGGGAGGGGATAAGGTGCTCCGTCGCCCTCCACTGCCCCAGGAATGACTCCACCGCCGTTACTGTAAGGAACAAGAGGACAAGGGTAGAAACATCGGGGGTGAGAGAAGCTGCAGAAAGGAAGAAAGAAAGCACCAGTTACTCCTGCTGTAACGAACTGCCTCTTCTCAGCTGCCCCAGGGACGACTCGACCTCGTCGATAAAGCTGACGGCTGGCTGCAGCTTGAGCGCTCCCGTGAACACCGCTGTGACTGAAGAATGGAAGGGCGGAAACAGAGGAAGTGAGGAAGGAGCAAGAATCAGTAAAACCCCAAGAACAAGGGCGGTGGCATTTCGCTGCCCCAGGAAGGACTCCTCCTCGTCTACGAAAATAATAGCTGGCTGGAGCTTGTGCGCCAGCGTGAACACCGCTGTGACTGTAATGAGGGGAAAGGTAAAGAGAGTGTGGATGGAGGGGACAGGGCACTCTGAGCATCTGCATGCGTGCGCTGCCTTGGGAACAACTCCACCTCGTCGGTGAAGATGATGGCTGGCTGCAGCTTGTGTGCTAGAGTGACTGTAACGAGGGGAAGGTGAAGTGTGGAAGCAGGGAGGGTAGAGGGGATAAGACCATCGTGCTCCGTGTTCCTGCGCTGCCCCAGGAAGGACTCCTCCTCGTCTGTGAAAATGAGGGCCAGCTGGAGCTTGTGGGCTAGAGTGAACACTGCTGTGACTGTAACGAGGGAAACAACTAACTTTGAGGCTGTAACGAGAATGCCTCGCTACCCTCCCCGCCAACCCCCTAACGCACCTAGCTTCTGAGTGACCATGGACCATTTGATCGTGAGGTTGGAACGAACTGAGAAAGCATAAATACCAGGGTTACAGGGTATCCCCTTGTTGCCCTCCCAACCCAACACCTGCAGGGTTTTTTTGAGTTCTCAGAAAAACCCTGCAGCATTACGAACTGAGAAAGTATCATTGCCAGGGTTACAGGATACACCCTTGTTGCCCTCCCAACGCACCTAGCTTCTGAGCGTCCCCAAACCACTTCCTCATGGAGTTCGCGAACCTCACATTGATGAAGACCGCTCTGCACTCCTCGGCAGTCACACCTCCCACACGGACCCCTCCCCACACCCCAACGCACCTAGCTTCTGCCCGTCCCCAAACCATTTGCTCATGAGGTTTGTACGAGCTGTGACAACAACATAAACGCCAAACCCTTCAGCACAAAGGCGCACCCTTGTTCCCCTCCCCACAACACCAAACGCACCTAGCTTCTGAGCATCCCCGAACCATTTGCTCATAAGGTTGGCGATTCTGACGTTGATGAACACCGCTCTGCACTCCTTGGCAATCGCCTTTGCCAGAAGCGTCTTGCCCGTGCCTGGTGGGCCGAACAGCAGCACACCCTTTAGTGGACTGCGTGCGTGCACGGGCATGGAGAGGAGGGAGCAAATGCATGCACGCATGTGTGCACATGCAGGGAGGGGAGAGATAGATTGGGAGCAAGTGCAAAGGATATATTGACAAGGTGGAAGGAAGGCATTGAAAACGATTGATGAGCACAGCACCGCTCAGCACTCCTTGACTTAGACTCTCCCAGCTACAGTCACGCAAAGGAATCACATCAGCAGTCAGCCTTGTGCAAAGAGCTCCGGTCGCTCCAGAGGCAGGATGATGAGATCATGAAGGGACTCCTTGACGTGCTGCAAAGAACGCTACAGCACCCCTCTCAACCCACGCTCACCGCAGCAATCTCCCCTGTGCAAAGAGCTCCGGTCGCTGCAGAGGCAGGATGACCAGGTCATGAAGTGACTCCTTCACATGCTGCAGACCGCCTACGGAGTCAAAGGTGACGTGGATGTCCTGTGGGTTGATCACGTCGTTTGCTATCACATCCTGATGGGTGCAAAGAGGTGGAGATGGGTGGAGAGGGGTGGAGGGATGGGAATGACGAGGTCATGCAGAGACTCCTTCACGTGCTGCAGACCGCCTATGGAGTCAAAGGTAAATTGGATGTCCTGTGGATTGATCACGTCGTTTGCTATCACATCCTGACGGGGAGAGTTTAGAGGGTTGGAGAGGGATAGCGAGGAACAAAGAGGGATAGTGAAGGGGAAAGGGTCAAAGTTAGCTGATTCAAAAGCCATCTTGACATCTTGAGAAGAGTTATAGAGGGATTCAGAAGCCATCTTGACACGTGCATTATCAACTTAACACCCACCCACGTCGTACGTGTTGGTCTGACGCCCGCGCCACACACGTACAGCAGCAGCTCCTGCGCCAGCGCGGAACCCCCCGTGCGCGCAGACTCACCCACGCGGAACCTCCCCCTCCCCCCTCCCCCGCCCCCCCCCCCCCCCCCCCCCCCCACCCCCCCTCCCTCACACAGAACCCCCGTGCGCGGCCCTCCCCCTGCACGGAAACCCCCCCGCGCGGACCCACTTCATTTTAAGTCAACCCACCTCGTACGCGTTCGTCTCGATGTACGGCCGACCCTGCCGCTTCGCAATCTCCCTTTTCCGCTGCTTAGCTAGCTTGGACCGTGCGCGGTTGGGGTCCAGCAGTCTGCTCAAAAGTCATCATTCTGGTTCTGCTGACAACATCTTTCAACATCTTGACAACACCAACCCACCTCGTCCCGTTCGTCTCGATGTACGGCCGACCCAGCCGCTTCGCGATTTCCCCCGCTGCTTAGCTAGCTTGGACTGTGTGCGGTTGGGGTCCTGTTGAGTCGTGAGTTACCACCAACCCACCTCGTACGCGTTGGTCTCGATGTACGGCCGACCCAGTCTCTTCGCGATCTCCCTTTTCCGCTGCTTGGCTTGCTTGGACTGTGCGCGGTTGGGGTGTTTTCGACTCGACCCACATGTGAGTCGACATTCACCCACCCACCTCATAAGCGTTGGTCTCAATATACGGGCGACCCAGCCGCTTCGCAATCTCCCTTTTCCGCTGCTTGGCTTGCTTGGACTGTGCGCGGTTGGGGTCGAGCTGGCGAATCGTAAAGATTAGCACGAGCGCGCTGATGCCCGCGCTGCACAAGTACAGCAGCAGCTCCTGCGCCATCGCGCCCCCCCCGCGCGCGGAACCCCCGCGCCCGCCCGCTCCGCTTCCGCCAGCGCCCGCCATGCGCGTGTTTAAGGTGCTGCTACTGGGTCTGTCGGAGAAGAGACTATCGCTGATAATTTTGAATATGTTGTTGTTGTTGCCGCTGTCGTTGCTGCTGTCACTGTTGCTATTGCTATTGCTGCTATTGCTGCTATTGCTGCTGCTGCTGGTGCTCCTAAACGGCTGGATATCTTTCCCGCCAAACAGCATGAGACCTCGTTGGACGTAAAATTCAGCACGCGACAACTTCAAGGCGAAATTTAGGTGAATTCAACACCTTCGCTAAACTCAAACCCTCGACTCGGAAATTGTTAAACTTAATCTCGTTTCTAAGAATTCTCAAAACCAGCTCGAATCAGGAAAGATGCCGCGGAGCAAGAACTCGCAACAGGTATGCTGGACTGAGCCAGGGCGCGACGAAACTAGCGAGAGGTTACTGGTCGAGCTTGCGAGCGAGAGGAATCGTTTGCGAAAAGGAAGTTACATTGCTACATCGTCATCGCGAATGCGTCAAAGCGAGCAACGAGTCAGTATACGTCAACGACAGCAGAAAATTTTACACGCGACAAAGAAATATATCACCTAATCTGAGACCTGAACCGAAGCGCCTTACTCTAAACCGATCGCGAGCAAAACGTTCGAGCCACTAGTAACTACAAAACAGTCTCCCGTCAGTGTTCTCTAAGTGCTCCGTAAGTTCTCCAAAAGGGTCTGACCTGGGCTGATGGCTGCTGCAAGAGCGTGCTACGTGTCACTTACGGCGGATTCGTCGAGGTAAGGAACGAAGCACGGAGCGAAGCGCGACGAAGTGACGCCATGATAACTATGATAAGCAGAGGGAAAGTCTAGCCTTGATCTCTCCGCATGCGATATAAGACACACGCAACTGGTCAAGATATTCGTAATAGGAAAAAATAACACTTAACACAACCTCACTTCCGATACGGATATATGTTATCGCATATATTTCATAACCCCCCATTTTCTTGTCCATCGCATACAGCAAAAATTGGCAAGAGACAGAATTTAATATAAATATAACGACCTGCGCTTCAAAAAATTGCTCCTACACATGAGGGGTCAAGTCAATCCTTCAACCTCAACTTTCTCACTTGCTCGCTCCATCCACCCTCTCCCTCCCAAACATAACAGTCAGCACCGCATGATCTGACAACGTATAATCCTCCGGCCACCTCCCCTCCTCCATCTCAGGCGGGAACAGCGATGCCTTCAACACCGCGAGACTCAGCCCTCCATTACTCCCCTCTATCTCGCACTCCTCCACACCCTCAGCCCCTTGTCTATCACCTGCCAGAACACCAGTGAACTCCCCTGCACCTGCAGCCCCAGCCGTCTCCTTAGCTGCATCTGCACCAGCAGCATCACCAGCAAAAGCAACACCAACAGCACCAGCACCATTGGCATCTCTACAACGGTTGTTCCCCTGGCCTGCCTCCCCCTCCACATTGAGCCCTCTGCGGCTCTCCCAGTACGGCTGCTCCCCTTGCAGCACCGCCTGCTCCTTCTCCTCCCACCGCCGCTGCTTCTGCTGCTCTTGTGACGATGCAGCAGAGTTGCTAGCAGCAGAAGCTGCAGCACCGGCAGTTACAGCAGCAGCAGCAGCAGTGACAGAAGGAGAGGCGGTAGCAGCAGCAGCAGCAGCAGCAGCGGCGGCGAGGGAGGCAGCAAGCGAAGCAGCCATGGATTGTTTGAGGGTATCGACCCGCGAGTCCCACGTGGGCTGCTGAAACATGTCCTGGAACTCGTTGAAATCCACCCACCCATCCCCATCCGTGTCCGCGCCTTGCATCAGCTCCGCAACTTCAACTTCTGTTAATCCGATTGAGTTGTCACCCGTCAGACCCAGCTGCAGGGGAAGAGAGTGGATAGAGGGAGAGGAGTAAGACACGTGGGCTGCTGAAACATGTCCTGGATCTCGTTAAAGTCCACCCACCCGTCGCCGTCTGTGTCCGCCCCTTGCATCAGCTCCGCCACCTCCACCTCTGTCAGCCCGATCGAGTTGTCTCCTGTGAGTCCAAGCTGCAGGGAGAACAGGGTGAGACAGGGAGGGAGGGCGGCAGAGGGGGGGATGGGAAAGAGGGAGTAGATGGGAGGGGGTGGTTGCGCTGCTGAAAGAAGTAGGGCCGCTGCTATCATGGAACTCGTTCAAGTGCACCCACCCATCGCCATCCGTGCCTGCCCCTTGCATCAGGTCAGCCCGATCGAGTTGACTCCCGTCAGACCCAGCTGCAAAGGAAGAGAGAATGGAGGGTGGCGAAAAGGCAATGACAGAACGATGTGAGGGACAATTGTCAAGTCCTCTGTCAAATGTCCCTTGTGCCTCCGCTGAAAGTCCTCAATGGTGAAGGCAGTGATGCAGCACTCCTGCAACTGCTCCCTATGCCTGTCACATGTCTCTTGTACCTTACCATTGCCACCTACCTCTGCTCTACACCCCAGTCCCACCCACCTGAGCCACGGCCAGTTGAAAGTCTTCAATGGTGAAAGCAGTGATGCAGCACTCCTGCCTCTCCATGCCCTCCTCATCACTGTCGTAATACCTCCACGCCTCCTCATCCTCATCCTCCTCCTCCACCTCCTCCTCCTCCTCTTCGGTCGCTGGGTCGTCATTGTGCTGCCGCCCAAAATCCATGCTGACGTCAGCAGCGTCGGTGGCGTTCGGGTCGGTGGTGAAACACACGGTGTGCTCAAACGGGGACGTGTCGCCTGCTGTCGCAAAGAACTGAAACGCGTGCCGCGCATCTGTGATGCCTGCTGCTAGCAGCTTCGACTGTACGAATGGGGGACAAGAGAAGTGGGAGAGGGGGGAATGCAGTTGGGGAGAGTGGGAGGTGAGATGGCATGGGAGAAACTAAGGCTTCAGGAAAGGCACGCGGCGTGTACCGTCGGAACTGTTTCACCTGCTGTGGCAAAGGACTGAAATGCGTGCCTTGCGTCTGTGATGAAAGGTGATGCCTGCCAGCTGCTAGCAACTTGGACTGACTTACCTTGATGAGCCCAAACACGGCCTTGGACGAGTTTAAAACAGGGTTGCTCATGGGCGTGCTGGCGCTGAGCATTGAGCATCCACACATGGCAGTACAGACAGCTGCACTGCACTGGCTCTGGGCTCTCTCTGAGAGTGACTCGTTTACATGCTGGCCGCCTCGCCTTGATGAATCCAAACCCGGCCTTGCGCCAGTTCAACACAAGGTTGCTCATGGGCATGCTGGCATTGAGCATTCACACATGGCAGTAGACACTGAACTCACAGTGTGGGCACACTGTAACTGACTGCCTATCATGCCTCTCACTGCACTCACCTTGATGAGCCCAAACCCGGCCTTGCGCCAGCTCAACACAAGGTTGCTCATAGGCGTGCTGGCATTGAGCATGCACACATAGCAGAAGCGGGGCTTGCACTGCAGTGAAACTGGGCTCATAGTAATTGACTGTCTCGAACTGTGAATGGCTGTTATAAGCCTATAACCGGTTTACTACTTCTGCTCACCTTGATGAGCCGAAACACCGCCGCCTTGCGCCCATGAGCTACCATGTGTGCATGTTCAACACAAGGTTGCTCATGGGCGTGCTGGCATCGAGCATCCACACATACCATCAGGAGGGGTTGCAGTGATAGTGGCTCACTATGACATACGACATACCTAGCAAGGCTGCCACTCACCTTAATCAGCCCAAACACTGCCTTTCGCCAGTTCAGCACAGGACTTGTCATGGGCGTGCGGGCGTTGAGCATCCACACATAGTCCACCCCGCAGACGTCGCCCCTGTGGCTGCGATGGCTCACCCACTGCAAGGAAAAGAGAGACGAGGTGGAGAGGGGGGGAAGGAGGTAGGAGGCGGATATGCAATGCAACCAGCAGCAGCATCCACACATAGTCCACCCCGCACACGTCGCCCCTGTGGCTGCGATGACTCACCCACTGCAGAGAGAGTATACGAGAAAGGAGAGATGGGGGGGGGGGGTAAGAAGGAGAAATGCCATGCACGTCACTAAGCTGGTGGGCCGTGTCTAGGAAAAGAGAAAGCTACCTTATCATCCACGTCATCTACCTTATAATCCACGTCACCCACTGTCTCGTCCACGTCATTGAGGGTCTACGTCATTGAGGTGGTGTGTGGTGCGGTGTCATACACAGAGAGATAGCTACCTTATCATCCACGTCAGCTTCCTTGTGATTCACGTCAGCTACCTTATAATCCACGTCAGCTACCTTCTAATCCACGTCACCCACCGTTTCATCCACGTCATTGAGGTGGTGCGCCGTGTCATAGGAGGAGAGGAAGCCCTGCGAGCGCAGCAGCTTGTACACGTTGCCCTCCTTGGTGCCATTCAGATCGCTGATGGGGGGGGGTAAGACAAGGGGGGAAAGAGGGAAAGGAGTGCATGAGAGAGAGGGTCCAGAGAGCATGTGAGCAGAGCAACACTGATCGCAGCAGCTTGTACACGTTGCCCTCCTTGGTGCCATTCAGATCGCTGAGTGGGGGGAGAAAGGGGGAAGAGGGAGGGGACAGGGACACGGAAGGGAGTGCAAATGAGAAGAATGTGATGGGAGGCACACTGATCACAACAGCTTGTAGACGTTGCCCTCCTTGTTGCCGCTCAGACCGCTGGGAAGGAAAACGGGATATGGGGAAAGAAAGGGACTGCATGGGGAAAGAAAGGGAAAGGACTGCAAGAGCGATGGACCAGTGGGTATGTGAATGGAGCAACAGTGATTGCAGAAGTTTATACACACAAGGATGAGAGAGCGAGTGCACGTACCCACACAGGATGACAGGCGCGGGTCTGCCAGCCTGCACTTGTGGCTTCATATGTGTGTGGGCGCGCGTGCGTGCGCGTGTGTGTGTGCACGTACCCGCACAGGATGACAGGTGCAGGTCTGCCAGCCTGCTCTGTCCGGCACTGCTCCACTCGCTCTAGCAGCTTGTACACCTGCGGGGATGACACAGCACAGTAGCGCACACATGCACATATGCATACTAAACATGATGGCACAGATAACCAGCTGTTTGCTCTGTCCGGCACTGCTCCACTCGCTCTAGCAGCTTGTACACCTGCGGGGATGACACAGCACAGTAGCGCGCACACATGCACATATGCATACTAAACATGATGGCACAGATAACCAGCTGTTTGCTCTGTCCGGCACTGCTCCACTCGCTCCAACAGCTTGTACACCTGCGGGGATAAAGGAGCACATAGAGATGCACCGCGCAAGAAAGAAACTCACGGAGATGCACCCCTAGGAGCATGAAAGAAACAGAAGAACAGAAACCCTAAACTCATGGAGTATGAAGTTGAGACAGAGCAGCACAGCTTGGTTGTGTATGCGGAACAGAGCAAAGGCACGCTCGTCAGGGCAAGGGCGTTGTATGTTCCCGCATGCATATGAAGCTCTCATCCCCCCTTCGTCCTCTCTCTCCCATCCCATGCACTATGAAGCAGACAGAGCGAGGCAGCAGCGGTCCACCTGGCAAAGGCTGACCTGGCAGCAGAGACCCACCTGGCACAGGCGGATGATGTTGGAGTTGGCGTCATGCGGGAACAGCAGATGTGTGTTCACCACCAACACATCCTCCTCCTCCCCCTCCTGCTGCTGCTGCTGTTGCTGCTGTTGCTGCTGTTGTTGCTCAGGCACCCGGCCCTCACTCGCACCTGGCAGCAACGACTCACCTGGCAGAGACGGATAATGTTGGAGTTGGCATCATGCGGGAACAGCAGATGCGTGTTCACCACCAACACATCCTCCTCCTCCCCCTCCTGCTGCTCTTGCTGTTCCTGCTCATGCTTCTGCTCATACACCCTGCCATCACGCTCACATGACAGAAGCTCACATAAAACCCACCTGACTGACGAAAACCCACCTGGCAGAGGCGGATGATGTTGGAGTTGGCGTCATGCGGGAACAGCAGATGAGTGTTCACCACCAACACATCCTCCTCCTCCCCCTCCGCTCCCTCACTCCCTTCCCGCCCCGCCCTCCCCCCCAAGCGCCCTTTCGATCTCAGCCGTACGATCTGAGCAACGCGGTCCCCACAGTCGTGGAACAGCAGCTGCTGGGAGTCCACCACGTGCCACTGGTCCTGCTTCACGGCTATCATCAAACCTGGAGAGGGGGGAAGGAGGAGCAGGTTTGGTTGGTTTGGGATAGTAAGGCTAGGGGTGGGTGGAGGAAGAGAGCAAACAGATGCCCACAGTCGTTGAAAAGCAGCTACTGATAGTCCACCACGTGTCACTGGTTGCTCTTCACGGCTATCATGAGACCTGGTGGGGTGGAATTTGGAGGATGAGAGAGTCAATGCGAGTCAACGTGAGTCAATGTGACACAAACAGCAGCTGCTGGTAGTCCACCACGTGTTGAAGAGGCGAACCCACTCGAGGTGCGACAGCCGCCACTCTCGTAAAACTACCACGGACGAAACTGGCGAAAATAGGGTTACCAGGTTCCGCTAGAGCTCCGACTCACCATCGCCCCGGTTGTTGGTCCTGGGCAGTTTGAGCGTGCGGTAACCAGCAGCACCCAACGAGGAGTCAAAGAGGCGAACCCACTCGGGGTGCGACAGCCAGCACTCCTGCAGGCACACGATCGATGAACCCGTCGCCACTATGGTATCCAGAATTCGCTCGCTTCGCGGAAGCCACAGTTCGCGAAATTCGCTCTCTCTCTGGCCCTGCAGTACGTGCGGGAATCCGGAGAAGGGGGAAGGGGAGAAAGAAAAACGAGGGTTCAACATTTCGTGGTGAGAACGAGGCAGCCATGCAATCACGCAACTACCCTTATTAGAACTTGCTCTCTCCTCCGCGCTGTCCGTGCAGTAACCGAGACGGGAAGAAGGTGTTCTTTTAGCATTTTTTTCTGCGTTCTTGTGGTTTATCTTGCTAAAAAGTTTCCTTCCGCAGGAGGCTTAGCTGTCAAGCTGAGATTCGCAGCTTCTCACGGGTTTATCAAATGATATTCCACCATACCTCTCTGTTGATACGCTTGAATATAGGCGCGAGCATGTTGAACGTGGTACACGTCAGCACCACGTCATCCGTAACCGCTCTTCCGTCTTTCTCGCGACCTGTGTCGGCCTCGGTAGGCGAGTCAACGAAAGACATTGCAGCAGTGCTATCAACGAAAACGCTTTGAGCTAGCGAACCGTTATTCGCGATTCGATCCCGGCTATTGATGCTGTTAACTCTGTCAGGTCGCGACTCGTCCACCCTAGTAAGGGTGGCGTTTTGTCCCTCTGTCGACGGCCTATCATTCGACGCCACGCGTCCGTCGGCTCGCAGCTCATTGGTCGCTTGCAGAACGCGTCTACGTCGTTGTCGTAAGAACGGTGTCGCGTGCCTTTCGGATCCAAAAAAGGATATTTGACGGCCATTTGCGTGACGATCTGAGAGTAAACGCGACGCGCACGCGAACGCTAAGTCACACGCGACACCGGAGATTCTCGAACGATGCAGAGTGCCGACTACGCGGCTGCTACTGAGCGCGGATAAAGAGCTTCCTACCAAAATAGTCGAACCCATCCTATATCGAACACACGACGCGGCCAAAAAGGCGCTTCGCCTAAACGGCGGTAAGCGTTTGACGCTGCAAAACGTATCGTAATGGGATCAAAAAACGAGGAAAGAAAAAAGAATGAGACGTAGGAGGTTCACAAAATCTGTCATGCACGCTGGGGTGCCTTCCCTCAATCACTCTCTTTCTAGGTTGCGTGGCGAAAAGATTCGGATGCCAAACGTGACCAGATAGTGATTCGATGTCGTGAAAGCACATGTCGGAGAAAAGGGCCATGTACACCGTGCATTCTGACCGCGCACGCGGGATCGGGGTTCACTGGTGGTCTCAGAATTGCCAAGTGTGTGACTGCCCGAAAAGCGGACTGACACAACCAACATGCTCAGTTGATCAGTGCCACGTAGTCAAAAGGAACTGTCAGCAAGGATGCACGCTGTTTGTCTTTGAACTTGTTAACATACGAGACATGCTGAGATATACAGTGTTGTTTACGTTCTTTACCTTCCATTCCATCCATGACAGGACACACAAACAAAGAGTTGCCACAAAAAGGCCCCTGTGGTCGGTGGGATGAGAGGAAATCGTTATAACCAGAATGTCATAAACAGAATAAGCAATTAAAGATTTTCCTACCTAGGGAATTTACATGCTATGGTAGTATCACACTGAGTTGTACCCCTACTTTGTTGTTCCTATCTTGTGGCCTTTTACCTCAGAGGCTGTACACAGTGCTGATTGTTTCTCATTTTCCAGGCACTGCCCCCCACTTAGCCTAGGGGGAGTGTTGTGTTTTGCATGTGTACTTTATAAGCTAGGTGTATTTTTGCCCTAGAGTATATATACAGCACCCTGTATGCTCCCCGTAGGCCACTCTTTATTTTCTGCCAACAATGTACATTGCTGAATGCTGCAGCATTCATGCAGCCATATGCTGCTCGAGGCTGGCAAAACGCCCTTTCCCTTTTTTTATTTTATTATTTTGGGACGCGAGGTGCAGCAAAGAATCCTATACATGCTCATTGAAACTAGAAAACCGCACAGCTTGGTTAAGCAGCAGCAGCAGCGGAGGAGGCGGCGGCAGCGGCTCAGGCGATACTGTGAAGCTGAGTCACTGTGAGAGATTCGTGAGAATTTTGAAAAGCCACCCCAACCTAGTCCTCCTTGCTGTCACCCGGTTGAGTTGCATCACCATCAGCATCAGCGTTTGCAGCAGCAGCAGGAGCCAGGCTCGCTTTGTAAGTGACGTAGATGGTCCAGAAGAAAGCTGCAGTGTTGCTCGTTAGTACCTGCACATACAAGAACCACCAACAATGGCGTCACATGCATAGGTGCATGCAAGAGGAAGGAAAAGCAAATGGCATGGCATGGGACGGGATGGCATTGCACGGCATGACATGACACGGCATTTGCTAAGTGCTCCTATCCCTTTTTAAGTCTTAGAGCACTGGAAAGCAGCAGCGTTAAAAAGAGGTAAAGAATCACAGAAGCGTGTCCAGAAGATACTTGTGTCTCATAAGCTTAGTCCAGCTGATCCTGACACACATGGCCAAGTCACATGCTCTTGATAAGCAGTACCTTTCCAGTGAAACCTCAAACCTTGTGGGCTATAAGGCGTCTTACAGCTTTTGTGGTTCATGTATGATAACCCACCTGCAAAGAAACCCACCTGCAAAGAAACCCACCTGCAAAGAAACCCACCTGCATAGGTATAAAAACCCACCTGCAGTCTCACGGGGACATATCGGAATGTGATGAAGTCACAGACAGGCCAGTAGCAGGCGCCACTGATGAGCGTTGGTATCAGGTCTCGTCTCAAGCGAGCAACGATCTGCTCCCTGTTCTCCCCTGCACAACAGGGCATAGGAGAAAGTGAAAAACATGAACAGACATGTATGATGGAACCACTGGTTGGCCAGAAGCAGACACTGCTGACAAGCCTTGCCTTGGCAGTAGGTCCTGCTGCACGACTGCAAAGATTTGCGTGCGAACCACACATACATTGTCGGCCCCACAGGTGACATACCAACAATGCAGGTGCAGTGCATACAGCAGGTGCGCCCCACAGTGCAAACAGGGAAAGCGCAGCATGCGAAATCCGAGTAACGTTCCCACCCACTTTCACTGACCTTGACGGCTATATTGAGCAGCACAAGAAGCACGCCTGTCCTTGGAATGACCCTGGCGATCCTAGAAGCATTTTCCTCATTTTCTCACCTTGCAGAGCAGCGTTTACGAAGAACAAGGAGTTGAAGGCAGGGCCATACAGCAGCTGACCCATGGCTATCTTGAGCAGCACTCGAGGCACGTTCGTCCCTGGGATGACCCTGGCTATCCTTTCCTCAAGTCCTCACCTTGCAGAGCAGCGTTGACCGGGAAGAACACGGAGCCGAAGACAGGGCTGTACAGCAGCTGTCTTTTGAGGCGACTAAAAAGTGTGGGAGATCCTAGTTACAGTCTCTTCTTCCCTCGCCTTGCAGAGCAGCGTTGATTGAGAAGAACACGGAGTTGAAGATAGGGCTGTAAAGCAGCTGTCCCAGGGTGACCTTGAGCAGCACACGAGGCACGTCCGTTCCTAGAATGACCCTGGTGATCGTATAACAGATTCCAGTCCTCAACTCCTCACCTTGCAAAGCAGCGTTGATAGAGAAGAACACGGAGTTGAAGACAGGGCTGTACAGCAGCTGTCCGATGGCTATCTAGAACAGCACACGGGGCGCGTCCGTCCTTGGGATGACCCTGGCGATCCTTGCCTCGAGTCCTCACCTTGCAGAGCAGCGTTGATTGAGAAGAACACGGAGTTGAAGACAGGGCTGTACAGCAGCTGTCCGATGGCTATCTAGAACAGCACACGGGGCGCGTCCGTCCTTGGGATGACCCTGGCGATCCTTGCCTCGAGTCCTCACCTTGCAGAGCAGCGTTGATTGAGAAGAACACGGAGTTGAAGACAGGGCTGTACAGCAGCTGTCCGATGGCTATCTAGAACAGCACACGGGGCGCGTCCGTCCTTGGGATGACCCTGGCGATCCTTGCCTCGAGTCCTCACCTTGCAGAGCAGCGTTGATTGAGAAGAACACGGAGTTGAAGATAGGGCTGTACAGCAGCTGCCCCAGGGTGATCTTGAGCAGCACACGAGGCACGTCAGTCCCTGGAATGAACCTGGCGATGCGCGTGAACCACAGATGCAGCGTGGGTCCGGATAGCAAGAGACCCGCGCCTGCCATGCGCGCTGTGCGGAACGCGTCCCAGTGGAACTGCTGACGTGGCGGTTGGTCTGGGTTGTCGTCGAGTGGTGACGTGGCAGGTGGGTCAAGGATGGAGTGAGAGAGCTTCTGCAGGGAGGAAGAAAGGGGGGCGAAGGGAGGGGGAAGAAGGAAGGAGAAAGCAGGATGATTAAGGTTAGGGGAAGAGAAAGAAGGAGAAATGAGGCGAAGGGAGTAGGAACGATGAGAAAAAAGGAGGGTGAGCACTGATGGTTGGATAACCTGGTACGATGGACAATAGGTCCTGCGAGTTGGCAAATTTGTAAGATAAGCTTGCGCAGTGGTGAGTGCTACCTAATGTCTGAGAAGTAACCGCGTTATAAGAGGTCAAAACTACAATCAACAGGAAAGGGGAGGAACGAGGGGAGAAACGGAAGGGAGCGAAAAGAACCGAGAAATGAGGGGATGAACAGACGGAGAGAACCGAAGAGAAGAAGAATCAGACATACGTGCCTGCGATGTGACGTCAGCAGCGCCGAATATGATCGCTGCGGTATGCTCTTTGTGATTACGGGCCGCGAGTCGAGACACTGAAGGTACCACTGCACGAAGCCGTTAATTCGCGAGTGACTCTCGGATCCATTAACCCGTTCCGCGATCTGCTCTATTCCGATCTGCGGCTGCGACGCGGATTTACTACTCGAGTGAAGCCGTCTTATAAACGCGTTCAAGGGTGACGACCTCCCGCCTTTTAGCGATAAGCCTGATTGTGGCGATGGCAACGGGAGGCTACACCGGTGATTGCTGGCGGACGAGTGGATCTGTTTCACGCTCGTTAATCGTCGCACTACGGAGCCTGCTTGGAGTGACTGAACGATCCGTTCTCTACAGCTGCGAAGCACCATTGATTAGATCGTTTAGTCGACGCGGTCGAGAGGAGGAGACTCGACGATTAGGTCGACGCGACGCGATAAGGGCGACGGAATAAACTTGCAACATTAGCAACGCGCTTTAAAAATCTATACGCAAGATCAGAGCGCGTTCTCCCACTAGGCAAGCCCACTCCTCGTTCGCAGCACCAAACGTGGCTGGAGCTAAAATAAAATGGCAGGTGGCACGGGCACCAAAGCTCGACCGACCGACCGACCGACCGAGACGCGAGTTCATGACGAACTAATTTTCCGTCCGTCGACTTGAGCCCCTTTGTCAGTGAGAAACGGCGGGGACTGTGCCACGTCAGCTCTCAGACTCAACCATCCGTCCAAAATCTCACTTTCGAGACTGTCGAGGTGGTACCACACTGAACCCCATTGCAATACAGAGTAACCGATCGCATGGGCCGTTGCCTCTCATTATGGAGCCTTTTTGCCAGGTAAAGCCCCGGTACTACCTTGTTCGGTAATTGTTGTAAGACACAAAAACTAACAAATTTCACATACACCTCCTTTAAGCAGTGTTTGAGGGGGGAGACATCACATCTATACAAAGCCAAGAATCCCAGCTCAAGAATCCCAGCTCTGTAAGCAAACCTAGGCTATCCTTCTGCTTCAAAGAACTCATCTTCTTCCTCATCCTCAGCAACCCCCTCACTGCTTTCTCCCCCACCAGCACCTCCCACCCCTCCAGATGAGTCTATCCCATCCTGACGACCTTCACTCACCCCTTCACCACCTCCCAGCCCATTCCCCTTCTTCTCTTCCCCAGCAGCAGCAGCTGCCGCTGTAACAAACCCCACGTTCTCGATAACGTGCTTTCCGATTGTCCCTTGAGCAGTCACAGCAGCAGCAGCATTTGTTGACACGGTCACTTGCTGGTCCAGGCCGACATAGCAGTCAGAGATGAGATGGACGGACAGCTGGATGGGGTTGCATCAGGGAACGGTCAAAAGGGGAGGCATTTAACTATTGTAAAATGAGTCATTCGAGTTGTTGAGAAATTGTGTCGACAATAACTGAGGAGAACTCGAGGGGGAAAAAATGGTGTGAGAGCGTTAGGAATAGCCTGATTTTGTTATGCAATGGTAGCCATGCAACACCCATGCTGCCAGATCATCTATATCAAACATGCCACTAAACTATACAAGTTCGAGTCTTCAACGAGTGGCGAGATGGTGTGAGAAAACAATAGATTGATTTCACATACAGCGCATACTCCTGCTATTGATTAGAGCGCACGTACCTGCTTCACTGACGACAGCAGTTCAGGCACGTGCAGGCGAGTGGTGAGTCGGTGCGTGAAGGAGACACGCTTGAGGGCCAGCAGGGTGGGGGAGTCTGCTGCTGCTACCACCACCCACCACCCCTCCTCCTTCACCTGGAGAATAACAAATTCATCATGGGCAAAGGAAGGAATGGGAGAAATTATTTAGTGAGGCACCTCAAAAGCAGGGTGAAGGAATCTGCTGCTGCTACCACCACCCATCACCCCTCCTCCGTCACTTGTAGGATGACAAAAACGGGATGAGGAAGGGCAGGGAAGAGAGGATTTATCTAATGAGGTACCACAAAAGAAGGGTGAGAGTTTGCTGCTGCTACCACCACACCACACCCTACTTCACCTGGAACATGACAAGTACCCCAAGGGACACAGCAGGGTGGAGTGTGCAGCGTCTTTTGAGATGCCTAAAAAACGCAGCGTGCATGCACGAAGAGCAGAACATGTAATCACACCTGCTTCATTTTCCCAATGTTTTTATGTTTCCAAAAATGGCCTTTTAGATAAAGTCAACCTTTTTGAGTTGAGTCAGAAGTCACATGGGTCATATATGCTTGAACACACCTTGGGGAAGAAGGGCGTGTAGGCACGAAGAGAGTGTGGCTGGTGCGGCCGCGAGCGTCGAAGCGAAACCTCCACCACCACTCCTGTTGCTGCTGCTGCTGCTGCTGGAGCAGAAGGAGAAACAGACTTTTTCTCCCCATCAGCTGTGCCAGAAGGGAGCACTCGCACTGCCATGGACAGTCTAGGTAACATTCCCAGAGCCTGGGAAATACAATGGGAGGGACGGGAGGTAGGTGCAGGGGAGGAGGAAAAAGGATCCTGAGAAGACCCGACTCTCAGGCATGCTCAGTCAGACGATGCAAACGATGCAAACGATGCAGGTGGCCAGGGAATTTTGAGAATTCTCGAAAGTTATGCAGGCCGCCAAGGCATTAGCATGCTTCAATTCTGATGGTTTTTGTGAACAATTTCGAGCCATTCCAACCATACCTGGGTTTTGACAATCCTGAACACATTAGAATCCAAGCACACCCGACGGAAGCCGGTGCAAGCAGAGGGATAAAAGCGGGAGGAGAGAAGGTCGTGGATGTGATTTGGCGAGTATTGTATGCTCTTGAGTCGACTAAAAAGCAGACTCACAAGTCAAATTTCAAGCCCACCTGGAGGAAATCGGCGCGAGCGGCAGGCGAGAGGTGGGAGGCGAGGAGCTGGCGGAGGTGATGTGGCGAGGCGGACAGCAGGGCGGATAGCGATGCCAGCCTGGCAGCTGACAGCGCGTCCTCCAATGAGGGCGTGACATGTGGCAGCATGGCTAGTGGCGAGCCAAGGTCGCACCACACAGCCTGCGACCAGAAGGGGGTGAGGTTACATAAAAGGTGAGGGAAGTAGGGGGGGTTAAGGCGAATTACGGGGATGTAAGGGAAGAAGTGGTTGGAATGGAGGAATATGGTATGGAGGAATGGAGGAATGGAGCCATGAATGACCATCAGAGTGAGGCTCATGGTGACTAAAAAGGGCTACGCTGGAAGCCTTAGAAGTTATTATCGTCTGCACCCCGCCCTCCTTTTGAGGCGCCTAAAAAATTACCATCTGCAACCCGCCGTCCTGAGAGGCCATCTGTGTGAGGTGCATGGTGAGCAGAGCCGAACTAACTACCTCACCATGCTAGTTGGTTTGAGAAGGCAGTTTTCAAAACCACTAGGCTAATCTCTAGGAACCATCATTATCTCTCTGCACCGCGCCTCACCCACCTGAATGACCATTTGAGTGAGGCGCATGGTGAGCAGAGCAGGCTGCAGCTGGCCGGCTGCAGTGGGAGTGCCAATCATCATGGCCTGTAGCACTCGCATGGTCATTTAATTCATAAACATCCGCCTCCCACGCACCTGAATGACCACCACCCACGCACCTGAATGACCATCTGTGTGAGGCGCATGGTGAGCAGAGCAGGCTGTAGCTGGCCGGCTGTAGCAGCCGTGTCAATCATGGCCTCTGTAGCACTCGCATGGTCATCAAAGTCACAACCATCCGCCTCCCACGCACCTGAATGACCATCTGGGTGAGGCGCATGGTGAGCAGAGCAGGCTGTAGCTGGCCGGCTGTAGCGGCGGTGTCGATCATGGCCTGTAGCACTCGAATGGTCTGATCCAGCACACTCTTGAGATCCGTCTCGTAGTCACTCATTGGCATCGCCAGGCGGGAGAAATGTGCCTGCGGGAAGGGGTAGGAAAGGGAGGAAACAAGAAAGAACATGCAAGGAAGTCCACACCACAATGGGAGGTGGAAGCCAAGGTTACAAAGGCACACTCTTGAAGGTCCGTCTCATAGTTGCTCATTGGCATGGCCAGGCGGGAGAAGTGCGCCTGACAGGGTTAAGGGAGAGGGACGAATGCACAGCCAATGAAGGAGGGTCGAATGATGTAGGGGCAAGTACACACTCTTGAGGTCCGTCTTGTAGACAACTTTTGAGACGTCTCAAAGGTAGTCACTCATTGGCATGGCCAGGCGGGTGAAGTGCGCCTGAGATGGGGGGGAATAGTGGAGACATGAAGGCACAGCCAATAAACGAGAGTCAAGTAAACAGTGATACAGGTGCAAGTACACGCTCCTGAGGTCCGTCTCGTAGCCGCTCATTGGCACGGCCAGGCGGGAGAAGTGCCCTGCGAAGGGGGGAGAGGGAGGGGAGGAAACATGAAGCACCACGGATGGGAGTCAACAATGGGAGGTGGAAGGGAAGGTGACAAGGGCACACTCCTGAGACCCGTCTCGTAGTCGCTCATTGGCATGGCCGGACGGGAAAAGTGCGCATGATAGGATGGAGGAAACAGTGAAAGGTATGGGCCTTTGAGGATTCTAAGACACGCATCGAACATGCAAACTAGATTCACCTAGAGGCTGATCCAAGCTGAAAGCGGAGCTCACCTGGAGCAGCAGGTTGGTCTTGGTGTGTGGGTCATCATGAATGTGATATCATGCAGGCAACCTAGATTCACCTGAAGACTGAAGATAAGATTCACCTGAGGGCTAATTTTACTTGGAGCAGCAGGTTGGTCTTGGTTGGTGTGTGGGCCATCATGGGTACAATGGTTTTCTAGAATGATGCAAAGCATATCATACATGCTAGCTAGGTTCATCTGAGGGGGGGCTGAGAGCTTACCTGGAGCAGAAGGTTGGTCTTGGTGTGCGGGTCGTCATAGGTGCGATGATCCACCTTCCAGCGCACATGCTTCGCCAGCTCAGCATTCACAAACTCCTGTAGCGGCCATGGGCAAAGAAGCAAGAAGACAAAAGGGTAATGATGTCATACGAGGTGCTTTTTGAGCCGACTCAAACCCTTCCAGCGCACATGCTTCGCCAGCTCAGCAGCCACAAACTCCTGTAGCGGGCGAGAGCAGAGAGGAATGGGCAGAGAAATGAGTTTTGAGACGTCTCAAAACACGCCAGCTCTGCATTCAGAAACTCCTGTAGCGGGTGTAAGCAGAGAGAAACGGGCAGAGAAATGAGAGGAGGAGGAGTTATGATGTGAGGTGACATTCGATTCGACTTAAAAGGTGCGGTGTAGTGGTGATCCACCCTCCAGTGCACATGCTTCGCCCCAAATCAGAGCCAGTTCTCAGTGTTCGATCAGCACTCAGTGCACATGTGCACTCAAATAAATTGACTTTCCAATGCACATGCTTTGCCAACTGAGAGCTCACAGGCTCCTGTTAGAAGGCTAGAACTTTGCTTTGCACCGCATTGCACCCCGCTCCCATCCCGATCACTCCTGCTCACCCCACTGCGCCCAGTCACCAGTTCCCACACAGAGCGTGCAGCACCGTGACAGCCTTAAGAATTGCACTGGACCGCACTGCACCCCCTTTATTATTCATTACTATCGCCTAAAGCACTCAACCGTCACCGCACAGAGCCGCACATCACTCCTCTCACCTCGTTATGCCGGACTGGCAGCTCGTCAAACTCTGCTGCCCCACACAGCACGTGAAGGACCGTCTCCAGTGTCACTGCCGCAGCAGCGGCCGGCGAAGTGAGATTGGCGGTGAACAGTGCGGCGGTGGTGAAGTGGAGGTAGTACTGCGAGGCAATCAGGCCGGGCGGCAGAGGATCCACACTGCCGTCCTCGTGGAGGGCGATGCAGCCGGCAGCATCCAAGTCGGAGAGAGTGCGGCTGACCAGACTGAATAGGCGAGCACGAGTGGGTTTCGAGAAAGGAGAAAAGAAAGCGAGAGCTTGAAAAGTGACAATGTTCCCTGGTAAGAAGCGGCAGAGGATCCACACTGCCATCCTCATGGAGTGCGATGCAGCCGGCAGCATCCAGGTCGGATAGAGTGCGGCTGACGAGACTGCATAGGCGAGTGGGTTTTGAGAATGGAGGAAAAAAGGGAGAGACGTGAGAGTGCGGCTGGTATAGAATGAAGCGGCAGCGGATCCACACTGCCGTTTTCGTGAAGTGCGATGCATCCGCTGCATTCAAGACGGATAGCGTGCGGCTGACAAGACTCCAGGGAAGAGAAGGGATGAGCGGGGGATAAGTGGGGAATGAATGAGGGATAAGTTGAAAACGAGTGGGGGATAAGTGGAGTGGGAATGGACAAGGTGAGGGCGAGCCCGTGTCCCTAATAAGAATCGGCAGAGGATCGTGCTGGGCAACCCACTCGGCAACGCTCTTACCAATGGACGCCTTCACTAAACTACTTTCCCAAATACCTTTCATCCTCATCCGTCCACTCAGTGATGAAACCATCAGAGTTGACTGTGTTTCCCGCCAACAGAACCCGCTCATCGCTCACGCTAAGTGTAACATGACGACCATTGCTATTCAGTCATACTTAGCGCGAGCGACGAGCTGCTGTTTGAAGAAGTGTTTTGAGACGTCTCAAAACACTTCTTCAAAAACGAGCGACGAGCTGCTGCTGCTGGCGGGAAACGCAGTCTACTCTGGTGATCTAATCACGAGTGGACAGTTGAAGATGAAAAGTTTTTTAAGAAATAGTAGTAAGGACGTCCACTGGTAAGAGCGTTGCCAAGTGGGTGGCCCAACACAATTCTGCAATGGTGTCAGAGAGGCCGTAGAAAGAGGGTTTGCAAAGGAGGTGGTGGAAGAAGAAATTGCACTTTCTTACTCGACCAGAAGCTTATAGCAAAGAGAAACGTACTCTGAGAGGAATACATTCACGGACTCCGCGCTGGTGTCAGAGAGGCCATAGAAGGAGAAGTTGCAGAGGAGGCGGCGGAAGAAGAAGGTCCAGGTGAGGTAGTCAAGACTCGTCAAGAAGAGGGAGGCTTACTCTGAGAGGAAAATGTTGACCGATTCCGCACTGGTGTCAGCAAGCCCGTAGAAGGAGGGGTTGCAGAGGAGGCGGCGGAAGAAGAAGGTCCAGGTGAGGTAGTCCATGGCGTCCTGCACGCTGGCGATGCTGCCCCCCGCCACCTCCGCGTTGAGATGGTCGTGCAGCACCAGGTGCAGCGACGACTCCACTGGGAACGGCTCGTATAGGAACTGCAACGGAGGGGAGATGGGGGGAGGTGGTGGGCGAGTTCATGAAGGGTCTAGGACGGGCATAGGTTTGTTCAGATGGTCGTGCAGCACCAGGTGCAGCGAGGACTCCACTGGGAACGGCTCATATAGGAACTACAGTGTGGGGGGGGTTGGGGGAGGGAAGGAGGGAAACAGAGGGCGCTTATGAGATAAGGTCAGATGGGCTTGGGTGGGTTGAGATGGGCGTGCAGCACCAGGTGGAGCGAGGACTCCACTGGGAACGGCTCGTATAGGAACTGCCGTGGGGAGAAGGATGGGAGGGGGGGATCATCGGGTGTAATTTATGTACAAGGTCGGATGGGGCATGGATAGGTTGAGACGATCGTGCAGCATGAGGTGCAGCATGAGGTGCAGCATGAGGTGCAGCGAGGACTTAATCCATTGGAGACGGCGGCTTGTTATCACACTGTTATCTGCCCTCCTCCCCCTACGCCACCAACCTGTGTTCGCGTTCCTTTCCGCCCTCGCACCTTCTTGTAGAAGCTCTTCTTGGGTTCGTGCACAAGGATCACCACCTTGGCCTCGTTGTCAAGCTGCCATCTGCTCTTGAAAGACCATGCTCACCCCCCATCCTATGTTCCCTCGCACCCCTCAACCCCCCCTTCTCTCTCACCTTCTTATAGAAGCTCTTTTTGGGCTCGTGCACCAGGATCAGCGCCTTGGCCTCGTTGTCAAACTGCCATCTGCTCTTGTAAGTTCATGTTCCCCCCCCCTCCCCTCACCTTCTTATAGAAGCTCTTCTTGGGTTCGTGCACCAGGATCACCGCCTTGGCTTCGTTGTTGAACTGCCATCTTGTAGTTTTTATGAACATGTTCCCCCCTTCTCTCTCACCTTCTTATAGAAGCTCTTTTTGGGTTCGTGCACAAGAATCACCGCCTTGGCCTCGTTGTCGAATTGCGGCCGCCCTGCGCGCCCCATCATCTGCAGCACGTCTGTGATGGGCATCTCCACATACCGCTTCTGCTTCCCATCAAAGTACTCTGTGCCCTTCACAACCACTAGATGGGCGGGTAGATTCACACCCCATGCGAGGGTAGAAGTGCACACAAGCACCTGGCGGGGCAAGGGAATGAGGAAGAAGAGGAGGAAGGAGAAGCGGAGACAAAGCAGCAGGGGATGCAAGGGGAGGGGAATGCAGAGGGGCAGGGGATGGCAAGGGAGGTGAGAGATGAGGGGGTTGCTGCGCAGCACGTCTGCGATGGGCATCTCCACATACCACTTCTGCTTCCCATTGAAATACTCCGTTCCCTTCCCCACGACTAGATGAGCTGGCAGGTTCACACCCCATGCTAGTGTGGATGTGCTTACGAGCACCTGGGAGGGGGGTGAGGCAGAGGCAGGGTATGGCAAGATAAGGAAAGGGAGAGATGAAGCACGTCTGTGATTGGCATCTCCACATACCGCTTCTGCTTGCCATTGAAATACTCCGTTCCCTTCACCACCACCAGATGGGCCGGCAGGTTGACTCCCCAAGCCAGGGTAGACGTGCAAACGAGCACCTGATAAAGGGATGAGGAAGGGCAGGCAGGAAAGGACAAGGGAGGTGAGAGATGAGAGGGTTGCAGCACAGCACGTCCGTGATGGGCATCTCCACATACCACTTCTGCTTCCCATTGTAATACTCCGTTCCCTTCACCACCACTAGATGGGCCGGCAGGTTCACACCCCATGCGAGGGTTGATGTGCACACGAGCACCTGGAGGAGGCAAGGGAATGAGGAAGGAGAATGGGAAGGGAAGCAAAGGGCAGGGGATGCAAGGGGAAGGGAATGCAGAGGGGCAGGAGATGGCAAGGAGGAGAGAGATGAGGAGGTTACAGCACAACACGTCTGTGATGGGCATCTCCACATACATACCGCTTCTGCTTCCCATCAAAATACCCTGTGAGTGGCATTTCCACCACAAGTGAGCCAAGTGAGGAATGCAAGGGTTGGAAGATGAGAAGAGAGGTGGTCAAGGAGAAAGAGATGAGGAGAGCCAGAGTAAAACGAGACTGATGCTCAAGAAAAGGGTTTAGGGTTTTGAGACGGCTAGGATTCGAAGTGGGGAGGAGATTGGAAGGAGGATTTGAGTTAGAACAGGTAGGGTGTCAACCTCCTCCCCTTCAGCACCTTCTTACCCCGTTTATAATTCATCCGTCTTCCAACCTACTCCGATCCATCTAACCATAATTTATAATAAGTTCATCGAATGTGGATGCAGTTTGAGCAAGCCTCTTGGTGAGGTGCATGAAAATGGAACAACACAAAAGCAAGTTGATGCAGACGAGGCTAGGGCCATGCACAGGCATGTGGAGGCAACTCATTGTTCCGCTGAAGGAAAGCCCCGTTCTCTGCAATCCACTGGTTCTTATGACAACCACGGCCTTGGAGGATCAACAGAGGTTGTGCTGCAGGGTGTGCTTCAGCTGCACCTCATTCTAATGCCAGTGAAACACACATGGCTACAACATGGTTACCCACACACAGACCTGAATCTTCATCTCGGCAATTTTGACTCCACAAGCGACCTATCCTCTGGGAGAGCCCTGCATGGTGCAGCCCGATGCCAAACTGCAGCGTGTGCTTCAGCCCCACCTGATTCTGATGCTATCGCCACACACACGGTAACCAGATGGTTACCACATGGAGGCCACACGCATACCTGAATCTTCCTCTCAGCAAAGAGTGTCTCCACCAGCGACCTATCACCCTGGGTGAGCCCAGCATGGTGCAGCCCAATGCCAAACTGCAGCGTGTGCTTCAGCTCTGCTGATGATGCCATGGCGACAACACTGGTTACCATGCGGTCACATAGGAGACCAGAAAAAAATACCTGAATCTTCCTCTCAGCAAAGAGTGTCTCCACCAGCGACCTGTCGCTCTGAGTGAGCCCAGCGTGGTGCAGCCCGATGCCAAACTGCAGTGTGTGCTTCAGCTCTGCCGACGAAGCCATTGCCACGTGTGCCTCCATCTCCTCCTCACTCGCGTGCACAAACTGCCTCGGACGCTCGTCCGCTGCTGCGTACTGATCGGGGCAAGAAGGGGAGACAGACAAATACGGGAAAAAGTTGAAATACCTGTAGAGCAAAAGAGAGAAACACCGAAGCATGCTTGCATAGATCAACTCCATCCACCATCAACTTCCACACCAAAAGAATATTCCAACCCATACAATCCGATGATTAACCAATGGAAATCACGCATATTCTGTTTCCCATTCATTTGTTTAGTCTCACCTGAATGAGATCAAGTGCAGTGAGGCGGGTCTGCCTTCGCGACGACACAAAAACGAGCACGGGCTCGACGGGAGAGTGCGTGAGAATCGTGGCATAAAGCGGCTTGTTCATGTGCAGTGCAGTGCTCCAGCAGCAATCCTGAAGAGTCACTCACCTGGATGAGGTCGAGCGCTGTCAGCCGAGTCTGGCGCCGGGACGACACGAAAACAAGCACGGGCTTCACGGGCGAGTGCGTGAGAATGGCGGCGTAGAGCGGCTTGTTCATGGCGTTCATGCGCGGACAGTAGAACTTGCCGGGGTAGCCCTGGATGTGCACGTCTAGCGGCACGGGGCGCACGCTGGGCTTGAAGTTGAACAGACCCACCCGCTCTATGCCCAGCCAGTCCGCTAAGTCCCTGGTAGGAATGGGGGAGAGTGGAGGAGAGAACGGCGGAGGGCGGAGAGGGAATGGGGTAGGGGGAGAATGAAGGGGAGAAGAGGATGAGAAAGGGCAGTGGAGTCTTCCTTGTAGCCCTGGATGTGCACATCTAGTGGCACAGGGCGCACGCTGGGCTTGAAGTTGTACAGACCGACCCGCTCTATGCCCAGCCAGTCAGCAAGATCCCTGGGGAATGGGGGATGAGCAGCAAAAGCGTGGGATGAGGGGAGGAAAGGAGGATCTGCGCAGGAAAGAGAGAGTTCCCGGGCGGCCACGTTTGCCATGAGTGCTGGCTCTAGGTTGAACGAAACCCCTTGCTTTTTGCCAGCCAGTTCGCCTGGTCCCTCGCCTCGGCGGGAGGAGGGAGGAGTGGGGAGAGAGGAGAGAAGTGTTGGGAGAGAGGAGAGAGGAGAAAGGAGTGAAAATGGGAGAGAGGAGAAACAGGAGGCAGAAAGGAAGTGAAAGGGCGATGGAAGGTGGTGGGATTGTGCACGTTTCAAGGTACGTATTGCACCTTTACCCCTTCCAATGATGTCCATACATATGTCCTACCTGGCCTTGATGGCACCGATCGCATATGCTCCACCTCTCCCTAGAAATTACCTCACCTCACCTGGACCTAACAGGCAGGCATCTCAGCTGCCTTCAGCAGAATGACAAGCATGTATCACGCAACTCACTAACCTGCCACTAAAAGGCAAGGGAAGCAGCTGCTGCCGTAGCAGAATGACAGGCACATAGCATGCAACTCACTCACCTGGCATTGGCAAGGGCAGTGGAGAGGCCGAGGAAGCGGATGGGGCGGGAGGTGCGGGCAGAGATGTATCTCATCCTCGATACAATCACCTCCAGTACTGGCCCTCTGTCCTGCCCCAGCAGGTGAATCTCATCCATCACCATCAACCCTACCTAGATAAAATGCACCAAGGGATGGGGAGTGGGGTTCAGAACTCAAGCAGTGTGAGTCTGTCAGATGTTGTACATTCACAATACTATCACCTCCAGTACTGGCCCTCGGTCCTGCCCCAACAGGTGAATCTCGTCCATCACCATCAACCCCACCTGCATGGGATAGCATTGGGGGGGTCAGATTGATTGGACCTGGACGGGGTTAGGTTACAACGAGCAGAGCAGAGCAGAGCCGTCTCTCTCCCCCCTTTTCTCTCTGACCATCTGCGCACACAAGCGGTTGTGCCAGCTGCGCGTGTTGCCATCCCACTTTTCTCAACATGCATGCGAAAACAAGCAGATGCACCACCCCCAAATCCCCTATTCCTCCCTCTATTCCCTTTCTAATCCAACTGCCTCTTACCGTCTGCGCATACGAGCGGTTGTGCCAGCTGCGTGTGATGCCGTCCCACTTCTCTGGTGTCGCCACAATCACATCAGCCGCCACCAGCAGCTTCATGTCCGGCGTGAGATCACCTGTTAGTTCCACCTGAAGGTGAGGATGGAGAGGAGTGGAGGGCATGGGGGTGTGTGATGCATGTCTGTCAGCCGCCACCAGCAGCTTCATGTCCGGCGTGAGATCACCTGTTAGTTCCACCTGAAGGTGAGGATGGAGAGGAGTGGAGGGCATGGGGGTGTGTGATGCATGTCTGTCAGCCGCCACCAGCAGCTTCATGTCCGGCGTGAGATCACCTGTTAGTTCCACCTGAAGGTGAGGATGGAGAGGAGTGGAGGGCATGGGGGTGTGTGATGCATGTCTGTCAGCCGCCACCAGCAGCTTCATGTCCGGGGTCAGATCACCTGTTAGTTCCACCTGAAGGTGAGGATGGAGAGGAGTGGAGGGCATGGGGGTGTGTGATGCATGTCTGTCAGCCGCCACCAGCAGCTTCATGTCTGGGGTCAGATCACCTGTTAGTTCCACCTGCAGCGCAGTGGGATGGGAGTAGCACGGTGAACACGGGGGGGATGGAGAGAAAAGATAGGAGCAGAGGTGTATCACAATGCCCTACACCAGGAACGACGAGCAACCGTACAACAACCAGTCATTGCGTTCCACGCTGTGTAGATAGGACCTGGGGAGGCATTTCTCAATATGCATGGGGAGGAATCACTCACTTACCATGCACTTGCCGAGCTTTGGCATAAAGTTCTTGCCCCAGTCCTCCATCCTCTCTCGCACCAGGGCTTTAAGCGGTGCTATGTAAATCACCTGCCAGTGCACGCACGAGGGGTGGGAAAGAAATGGGTAAGGATACCAGGAGATAAAGATTCAAGAAGGAATGACCTTTCTTTTTGTTGTAGGTTAACTTTGAAAATTCTCACAATCAACCTACAACAAGCAGAAATATAATTTCTCTAAAACTCGGTGGTTCACCAACCTTCATGCCAGGCTGCGTGCGGAACAGTCTGAGCATGGCAAGCTCAGCCGAGATGGTCTTGCCACTGCCGGTGGGAGCACCGAGCAGCTCACTCACCCATGTGTCTCTCTCTGCACCCATTCCACTCTCACCTTCATGCCTGGCTGCGTGCGGAACAGCCTGAGCATGGCAAGCTCAGCCGAGATGGTCTTGCCACTGCCGGTGGGAGCACCGAGCAGCACGCTGTGGTCGGTGTGGTAGAGCGTGTGGAAGGCCTGAGTCTGAATGGGGTTGAAGTGTGAAAAGCCGTACAGCCCGATTGCTTCGGGATCCCCCAGTGCAGTGACGGGCAGGGGACGCAGATTTAGCAGCTCTGTGTGGGGCGGGTGGCGCTGTGGGGGGGGAAGACGGCAGCGGCGGGAACAGCAGAGAGAGAAACAGAGCGGTGCAAATGATTACATGGAGGCAGAATGACAGCAATACTGGAAAGGATGGAAGTAACTTGAGGCAGCCAACAACTTACCAACGGCAAGAAGCATGTCTAGTCAGGCAGGTTACCCCGGGCAGGATGAAATTTACCTCGGGCAGGAGGAAATTTACCTCGGGCAGAATAAGGTGGCGGAAGGAGATGGTGTGGGTGGAGGAGGAGGAAAGCCAGTTGTCTGAGATGGCGCGCACGTAGTACTGTGGGGGTAGCGGCTCAAAGATGGGGATGGTGAAGGCGAGCGTGTGTGTGCCCTGCGCCATCATCTTCTTGGACAGAATGAAATACTCCGTGTGGTAGATGTGCTCGTTCTCGCTGTCCTGCAAGGTGGAGAGCGGTGGAGAGGGGTGGAGAGGGATGGAGAGGGGTTGAGAGGGGTTGAGAGGGGTTGAGATGGGGATGGTGAAGGTGAACGTGTGTGTGCCCTGCGCCATCATCGTCTTTGTGTGGTAAATGTGCTCGTTCTTGCTGTCCTGCCAAGGTGGAGAGCGGTGGAGAGGGGTGGAATGGGGTGGAGAAGGGTGAAGGTGGGTGAAAACCAATCAGCAGTATGATCCGACCAGTCACCCTGCACTCACCTAGTGGCACCCCTCCATGATCATTGCCAATCCAGCCCAACCGCACCCAATCACCTGCTGACCTCCACTCCATCCCTACTCACCAATCTCTACCCCTATCCACCCACCTTCCCATATCAACCGCTCTGCTCATCTCCACCCCTATCCACCCACCTCCACCCCTATCCACCCAGATCCACCCCTATCCACCCATATCCACCGCTCACCTCCACCCATATCCACCAGCGCTGGGCGTTGCCGTGGAATCTGTCCTTCCACTGGAAGGTGGGCGTCACATAGAGTGTCACCTGACAGTGTGGAAACGTGGGGGGGTGTGTGGGAGAGGAGTAGTGTGGGAGAGTGGTTCACGAGGTCAAAGAAAGGGAGGTGGTGGATACATGTGGAGGGGCGAGGAGCAGAGGCAGAGAGGAACGAGATCAGGCAAAGAAAGATTCCGGTTGCCTGACACGGTGCGAGTGTGTAAGTGTCTGGGGGGGTTCATGCTCAAAGAAAGAAAGAGAGGTGGTGGATGGATGTAGAGCGGCGAAAAAGGACCATTCGAGTGAGAGAATGCAAGCAATGCCGGGAGGACTGACCTGGAGCACAGTGCGGGTGATGGGGCTGATGTGCACATCGAGCTCGAGATAGGGGAACTGAGACACGCACTGCGACACCAGCTGAGGGATGGCGAAGGAGAGGAGAGGAAAAGGGAGAGGAGAGGAGATGCTGTATTACATGCTCTATTCAATGAAGGACCATCCTAGGAGGGGGGACGTATCAAACAGGGGGGAAAAGAGAAGGTTAAGAGAGTGTTGGGTTTTATCGTCCAGCTAAGCGACAAGAATTGCTACACTTTAAGGAGGGAGATTCCATTGCTGATAATGAGCAAAGAAGCAGCAGTGAGCGTAAGCTTTCGCTGAAACCAGGATCGGAAATGTAAGGCACAAGACACGGGACAGCACTCAAACATAAGAACACAGAGTCTCGAACTGGAGAACAGGACAGAGGCGGTGACTTTTCATAACAACAACAGGCCAATTCACCTTGGCAGCATAGACGATTTTTGAGGCGCCTCTTTTTTTGAGGCGCCTCAAAAAGAGGCGCCTCAAAAATCGGGACAGCACTCAAACATAAGAACACAGAGTCTCGAACTGGAGAACAGGACAAAGGCGGTGACTTTTCATAACAACAACAGGCCAATTCACCTTGGCAGCATAGAGCGAGCGAACGACGGCAGCAATCTCATTGTGTCATCCATGTCATACAGCCGGTCCCCGAAAGACCTATCTTGGCAGCAGCAGCACAGCCCACTTTGGCAACGCAGCACAGCTCACCTTGGCAGCAGCAGAACAACCCACCTTGGCAGCGTAGGGCGAGCGGATGATGGCAGCGATCTCACTGTCGTCCATGTCACACAGCCGATCCAAATCTCCCCGTCTCTCCCCCCCCCATCCCCCCCTTTTCCAGCTTAACAGCACCTGCAGGTCCTACCTTGGCAGCAGCAACACAACCCAGCCTAACAAATTAACAATACAGCCCAGCAGGGCAGCGCACCTTGGCAGCGTAGGGCGAGCGGATGATGGCAGCAATCTCATTGTCGTCCATGTCACACAGCCGGTCCAGGTCCAGCCCCCGGTCCTCCAGCTTGAACAGCACCTGCAGCAGAGTGAGGGGTGCACAGAGATACTCATGGGGTTTTCAACGTGCCTCTAACCAAGCATATCATGTCACACAGCCGATCCAGATCCAGCCCTCTGTCCTCCAGCTTGAACAGTACCTGAGCACAGTGAGAGGTGCACAGGCATGACATCGCAGCACAGGTATAGGCATTGATACGAGGTGTTTTCAATCAAGCATGTTACACAGCCAGTCCAGATCCAAGCCCCGGCCCTCCACCTTGAACAGTCACACAGGCATAGGCATAGGCATAGGCATGAAACAGAGGCATTCTTGAACCAAGCATGTCACACAGTCAGTCCAGATCCAGCCCTCTGACCTCCAGCTTGAATAGCACCTGCGGCACAGTGAGAGAGAGCACATGCATGGCATAGCACAGGCATAGGCATTGATGAGAGACGGTGTCTAATAAAGCATGTCACTCACACACAGCGGTCAGTCCAGGCCAGGTGCGTCTGGAAGCTTGAACAGCATCAGTTGAACAGCAAGGGGTGGCAGGAGCATACCCGTCCGTGCAGCAATTTTAGGCAAGCATGCCTCAACTCAAGCATGTCACAGTGATTTTAGAGGCGCCTCAAAAAGTTGTCTCACGTCTCGCTCCAGCAGAGAGGCTGCCAGGCTTTTGCCTCTGTTAATATTTAAGAGAGTGTGATTACCTCCTGTGAAATCACAGACTCGAACTGCCTAGCGGGTGTTGGTGCGCTGATCCACTGCCTTGGCCATCTTCAGCAGAGAGGCTGCTAGGGAGCACCACCTATTGGACAAAACAGAGATGAATTACCCACCTCCTGTGAAATCACAGACTCGAATTGCCTTAGAGGATGCTGATGCAGCCAGATGCGTTGGTCCACCGCCTTGGCCATCACCAGCAGGGAGGCCGCCAGGGAGCAGAGCAGAGGAGCATCCTTTTGGCTAAGGAGAGGCGGATTACATACCTCCTGTGAAATAACGGACTCGAACTGTCTGAGCGGGTGTTGGTGCGGCCATATGCGTTGGTCCACCGCCTTGGCCATCTCCAGCAGGGAGGCCGCCAGGGAGCACCGTCTAGTGGACCAAAGAAAGGTGAGTCTAGTGGATTACTCACCTCCTGTGAAATCACGGACTCAAACTGCCTTAGAGGGTGTTGGTGCGGCCAGATCCGTTGGTCCACCGCCTTGGCCATCTCCAGCAGGGAGGCCGCCAGGGAGCACCGTCTAGTGGACCAAAGAAAGGTGAGTCTAGTGGATTACTCACCTCCTGTGAAATCACGGACTCAAACTGCCTTAGAGGGTGTTGGTGCGGCCAGATCCGTTGGTCCACCGCCTTGGCCATCTCCAGCAGGGAGGCGGCCAGGGAGCACCATCCTCGCTTTTCAAAGAGAGAAGAGATGGGTCACCCACCTCTTGAGAAATCACGGACTCGAACTGCCTCAAAGGATGCTGGTGCGGCCATATCCGCTGGTCCACCGCCTTGGCCATCTCCAGCAGGGAGGCCGCCAGGGAGCACCATCCTCGCTTTAGAGCGATTTCGAAGAGCGCACGTGTGATGCGGCCCAGCGAGGCAGATACATAGGCAGTGTCGGCGATGAGTGAGAAGGAGTCGAGGTAGCCGCGCGATAGGTAGACCTGGGGGAGGGAGGGAAGAGAAGGGGAGAGAGAGCACTTAGATAGAATGAAAAACACATGATGCAGCCGGGCGAGACGGAGGCATAGGCAGTGTCGGCATTTGAGGCGCCTCAAAAGCCGGGCGAGGCGGAGGCATAGGCAGTGTCGGCAATGAGGGAGGAGGAGTCGAGGTAGCCGCGTGACAGATAGACCTGAGGAATGGGGGATGTGGAATGAGGGGAGGGGACCGGGTGCATTCTAATGCCTAAACAGCACACGATGCCACCGGACGGATGGGGAGGCATAGGCAGTGTCTGCGATGAGTGAGGACTTGACGTAGCCGCGAGATAGGTACACCTGGAAAAAGGAAGTAAGGAGAGGGAGAAAGAGACAGGGAGTAATGAGATTCGGCCGAGGGAGGCCGAGGCAGAATTGTTGGTGTCGGCAAGGAGTGAGAGGGAGACGAGGTAGCCACGGGATAGGTACACCTGGTGGAGGGAGGTGGGGAGGGTTGAAGGCAGGTTGTGAATGACACTACAGAAGAACAGTTCCACATGTAAGGACAAAATGGCATTACAAAGAAACAGCTACACGTGTAAGGACAGAATTAGTACATATAAAGCAAAAAAATCTGGAGAATGTAGGATATCGTTTGCCCTACACTCGCCTGGATGAGAATGTTCCCAATCTTGTCCTCTGGTCCGCCCTTCACATCCAGAGGGCAGAACTTGCGATAATGACAACAATACCTGATTGATCGTAATGATAGAGAGGAAACCACCAGACTACCCTCCTGCACTCGCCTGGATGAGAATGTTTATCTTCCCAATCTTGACCTCCGGTCCGCCCTTCACATCCAGCGGGCAGAACTTGCGAGAGTCACAACCTTGCCCGCTTGCTTGTTTATACAGAACAAACACTACAGACCCTCCCCCTGAACTCGCCTGGATGAGAATGTTGATCTTCCCAATCTTGTCCTCTGGCCCGCCCTTCACGTCCAGAGGGCAGAACTTGGAGCGCAGAGTGAAGAGCTCAGGCATCTCCTCCTCCCTCACCACTATGTTCTCAAACTCGGATGATCGTGCTATCAGGTCGACAATCTGGGGTTGGGGTTGGTGGAAGTGACAGGGTATAGGTAAAGTAAGGGAGAGGTGGAGCAGGGAAGGAAGGGTAAAGAGCTTGGGCATCCCCTCCTCTCGCACCACTATGTTTTCTGAATTCGAATGGCCGTGCGACTATTGGGTCGACAACGTGAGGTGGGGACGCATGAAAGGAAAGAAAGAATGTAAGCGGAAGAGCAAATACTTCTGGCGTTTCTCTCTCTCGGACCACTATGTTCTCATCCCCCTTCCCCAATCCTCGCCCTCCCCTCCCTTGCCCTCCCTCTCACCTCGCTCTCGCTCAAGTGTCGCCTCAGCAGCTCGTTATAAGTCTCCACAGACGTGTATCGGATGTAGAAGTGACTCGCCACTCTTCCCAGCTCTGTCACATAAAGCTGCCCACTGCGCTCGTCAAACCTCATCATCTTGGCTCGGTCCAAAACCTAATGCTCCCCCTCTCTCCCTCCTTCCCTCCCGTGCCCTGCCCTCCCTCCCTCCTGTGCCCTGCCCTCCCTCTCTCCCTTGCCCTGCCGTCCCTCCCTACTGCCCTGTCCCTTCTCTCACCTCGCTCTCGCTCATGTGTCGCCGCAGCAGCTCGTTATAAGTCTCCACAGACGTGTATCGGATGTAGAAGTGACTCGCCACGCGCCCCAGCTCAGTCACATACAGCTGCCCACTGCGCTCATCAAACCTCATCATCTTGGCTCGGTCCAGAGCACGAGCAGCCTCGGTGATCAAGGCCTGGCGCCGAGCAACCAGGCCCGGATCCATGGCTACCTGGGAGGTTTGGGACGAGACGGAAAGAGCAGCAGCGAAAGGGAGAAAGAGGGAGCAGAGCAGGAGAGGATGCAAGAAGTGGCTTGAGTTGAGACATTGGTTTGGTCACAAGAGATCGCTCCAGTCCAAGGTCCAATGCCCCCCACCCCCAGGCTATGTTAGGCCCAGATGGAACTCCACGGTCTTGGCTTGCATGCATGCACTTAGGAGCCAGCCGTGCCAATGCACTGCCCTCGGTCAGCCGTCACGCCAACATGAACACCCAAGAGTAGACTCACATCCTTCCATGTCATGCCGTATGCCAGTGGGTTGGCCTGCATGCGCACAAAGAGGTACGTGTACCCCAGCCAGGCCAGAAACAGTCCCAGCCCAGCCAGCACAACCCCAGCAGAACTCTGTCTGTAACCATTGCAGCACAGAAGCACTCACATCTTGCCATGTCATGCCGTATGCCAGCGGATTAGCTTGCATGTGGACGACGAGGTACGTGTACCCCAGCTAGACACATGCGCAGTCCTAACCCAGCCAGAACTCACATCATGCCAGGTCATGCCATAGGCTAGCGGATTAGCCTGCATGCGCACGAACAGGTACGTGTACCCCAGCCAGGCCAATGCCCTCTTTTAACCCACAGCACCCAGGTCCCAACTGCATCTCACTCACATCTTGCCATGTCATGCCATAGGCCAATGGATTAGTGTACGAACAGGTACGTGTACCCCAGCCAGCAATGTGCCGTATTGTATAGTCACCTCTGGTTGAACTTACGTCTTGCCACGTCATGCCATAAGCAAGCGGGTTGGCCTGCATGCGCATGAAGAGGTACGTGTACCCCAGCCAGGCAGACGCCTCCTTCACGTTGGTGACTGTTCCCAACACCACCTCCGCATTCAGATTATCCTTTAGCATCGCCACGAACTGCATGCGAGATGATTCAGAAAGAAGGAGGGGAAGTGCATGTGAGGCAAGTGGGAAAGACAAGTACCCTCCTCCTCACCTCAGCACCACCCTCCTACGTTTAAAACGCTGTGAAACCCTGTGATTAGCTCCTAACTCAAGCTGAATTGACCAACAGAACACATGGCAATCTACAGGTGCTCGAAACTCAGCTAAGGAATCACCTGGGACCCAGAATCACCTGCGATTCGATGGGCAGCTGGTGGGTCATGAGGCGCAGGTAGTGTGCGAGCTGGTTGTGGGCTGTGATGATGATGCCCTCCCCACTCGAATCAAACTGCGGCCGCCCTGCTCGGCCAAAGATCTGTGAAAGAACAAAAGAGAAGACCCAGGTTGGAACCTCTGTGCGACTGAGCTGAGCCCATTCAAACCCCAGATTGGAAACTCTGTACAAACGAGAAGTCAGCAAAGATGATGCAAATGCGAGCCATGGCATGCCATGATAACAAAGGCCGACACAACAGCCAGCTGCACACGATGCAACAGCTGCACTAGACAACACACCATGCATGGCGCTGCATCCTTCCTTCTGCTGCACCACACAGCACCGCACTGCACACCGCATCATCTCATCTCACTCGCATCACATCCGATATGCCCAATGCACCACACGGCACCGCACTGCACCCAACCTCACCTGCATAACATCCAGCATACCCAGCTCCCGGAAGCCGCCAACCTTGGCATCATACAGCTGCGTACCCTGTTGGGGGGGAAGGGGGGTGAAGAGGGGTGAAGGGGGGTGAAGGGGGGTTGATGATACACAGGAATATGACAGAGTGAGTGAGATAACAAGACTGCAGGAAATCAGTTGACATCGTGAGCACCAAGGGGTATGCCTGTGAAAGAAACTTGAGGTCTATGCAGTGCCAATTCTTAGGCACCTCAAAATCGCTACAGCACATAGGGCGCATCTCAGTTTGTGTCATAGAAGCACTTTGGGTCATCCGATATTTTTGAAGAACCAATGGTATTCCAACAGTGTAGCTGAAATGCGGCCCATTGGTCATCCAAGAATCTCGAATGACCGAAACATTGACTATGACACAAACTGAGATACGCCCAAATGCTGCCCACCCACTGATTGATAACCACCTCATGGAACACAAAGCAAAGCATCTGAGAAGCGAAGAGAAACTGCACCAGAAAGACCTGCCAAGGGTTTGGGCTTCTGTGTTTTTGAAACAGGCAGCAGCACGACGCTGTACCCAGTACCTGCATGCTAATAGATGTACATGTTAGTCTTAGAGAGACGCACCTTGATGATGACTGTGTGTGCTGGCAGGTTGACTCCCCATGCCAATGTGGCTGTGCACACAAGCACCTGCGATGGGATAGGCAGGAAGAGGTAGGAGGACAGGAAGGGTGTGAGACGGAGCATTGACTTGATGAGCTTCTCTGTGAGCGAGCGGTCGGGGCGCAGCATGCTGGCATGGTGGATGAAATTTTCACATAGGCTGATGCGCATACCCTTGCTAGCCTACGACCTCACTGTGACTCGTACACATACACACCCTCCCATCTCATATTATACCTTGATGAGCCCCATGCTGAAGAGCTTCTCTGTGAGCGAGCGGTCGGGGCGCAGCATGCCGGCATGGTGAATGCCAAAACCAGCCTGGAATAGCTCCGCCATCTCCCTGTTGCGCGACCGCATCACGTCCTTCTGTTGTTCGGGAGAGGGGGTGTGATGATAGGGAGGAAAGGAGTGGGTGAATCAGCACACTAGAGAGCAGCATGCCGGCATGATGGATGCCGAATCCTGCCTGGAAGAGCTCCCCCATCTCCCTGTTGCACGACCTCATCACGTCCTTCTGCTTGGACGGGTGAAACGGATGGGAGAAAAGGACGTTTTAGGGGAGGGCGTGTAGAGTAGAGGTGAGTGAGCGAGTGGGGTGGAGCATGGCCGCGTGGAAGAGCTCCCCCATCTCCCTGTTGCACGACCTCATCACGTCCTTCTGCTTGGATGAGAGAGGGAGGAGAGGGGAGGGCTGTGCTGGGACAGGGAGCCGTCGAGCGGTTGAGCAGAGCGTGGCATGCCGGCATGATGAATGCCGAAACCAGCCTGAAAAAGCTCCCCCATCTCCCTGTTGCGCGACCTCATCACATCCTTCTGCTTGGATGGGAGAAAAGAGGAGGATAGAGGAGGGCGAGCAGGAGTAGGGGTGAGTGGGTGAGAAGTGGGGCATGGCCGCCTAGAGAAATCCCCCCATCTTCCTGTTGCGCGACCGCATCACGACCTTCTGTTAAGTGTGGAGGAAAAGGGTTTGCCAATGTAGGAAAAGGGGGGAAGCAGTGCCGGGAGAGAAGATGTAGGACAGACAAAGGAATGCGCACAAGTGGTGGGATGAAGAGGTCTGAGAAACTGCATACCGCTGTGAGTATGCCCTTTACTCTGTAGCTCCTGCAAAAATGTCTGGGTTTGCGCTGTAGCTGCCGCACTACATCCGTTACTGAACCTCCATAAGTTTGTACTGCGGTTGTTCCTGAGGGTTTAACAGCTCCACCTCCCGTCACTCTGCGCTAATCCTCGCACATAGTCACCACCAGAGAGCTGCAGTGCACACATAATCACCGGGCCTCAACAACACACCCTGCGTGCCACAGCGTACCTCCATGAGTTTGTACTGCGGCTGCTCCTGCGAGTTGAACAGCTCCACCTCCCCGTTCCTCTGTGCCGTCTCCATCTGGTGCCGCCAGGTAGGTAGGGTAACATTTGGTATGTAACCATCACAAAGGCATGTTGTGCGTGTGAGTAGGGGGGGTGAGAGGAAAGGAAGAAGGGAACAGGGGCGAGAGGAGGGAAAGGGGGTTAACAAGTGGGGAGCAGCGAGGGACAAGCGGCATGAGGCAAGAGATGTCCCAAAACTGGTGCCACCGCCAATGGTGTGGGGTACGGTACCAAATGGTGCATTGAGGGACAAACGGCAAGAGGCATGAGTGAGTGAGGCATGAGGCATGAGCATAGCCGCGCAAACGTGTCTAACAATGGATGCCCATGGCGGCACGGCAACTTCCAAAGCCTATCATTGCGCATGGCAAATGTGAACACGCGTGGCACAGCACGCACCAGTATTCTCGCAGTCTTAACAGTGTCCTTCCGAGAATGCACAAACACCATCGCCTGCTTCCCATTCTTCACCGCATTCATTGCCTGTCAGAGAAGCATGGAACAACACACACAAGCACACTCAAACGTATTGAACCGACAATAACTTTCAATTCATCACTGCGTGGCCATCGCCTGTCAAATCAAACATGGAAAAAGGGTTTAAGGTTAGGGGTTTCGAACAGTTACACAGTCATACAGCCACGCAATCGAGCAGTTGAACAAACAAGCAGTTGAGCCAATGAGAAATCAATACTGCTGGCCCACCTTTTTGAACACAATCTCGTACATGAGGGTGTTCCATCAGGCGAATTATGAGCTTTGAGAGTCGACCCAAACCATGCATCCGTACACTATCTCGTGCATATGATTTAAGGGTATTCCTATGAAGAAGCGCCACTGTACTTGCCCACCTTCTCATACGCAATCTCATGCATGAGGGTGTTGCGGCGGGCGAAGTTGGGTTCCGAGACGCCGATGTACTGCTGGGAGAGCGGCACCGGGCGGTAGGATGCATCGAAATAGAAGAGGCCCGTGTCGAGATTGACTCGCAAGAATTGTGCAACCTGTGAATGCACGTGTGACAGGGGGCAAATGGGCGGGTGAGGGACATAAGGAGGAAGTGCTGAGGCAATGTTGGGAGAGAGGCACGCGGCGGTAGGAGGAATCAAAGTGGAAGAGACCTGTGTCTAGGTTGACCTGCAGGAACTGAGCCACCTGTGTGTGTGTGTGTGTGAAGTCGGGTACAAGGAAACCCTGGATTGCTATTGTGTTGCTGGGAGAGCTGCACGGGGAGGTAGGAGGAGTCGAAATAGCAGAGACCCATGTTAAGGTTGACCAGCAGGAATTGTGCCACCTGTGCGGGTCAAGGGAGGGGGAGAGGGGTTGGACGAGAGGAGAACGCACAAACCGAGGCACTGAACCAGTCTCGTTGAGCTAAACTTGTCCAGCCAAACACTATGCCCATCAACCCTGAAACCCAGCAGTCCATCAACCCATCAGCCCATCAGCGCAGAAGCCCTTCCCCCCAGCAGCTCACCTCTGTGTAGTTGAGTAAGGTTGCCGAGAGGCCCACGATGTGACTTTTGAGGCGCCTCAAAAGTCGTTCCCAGCAGCTCACCTCTGTGTAGTTGGGTAAGGTTGCCGAGAGGCCCACGATGCGAATCATGCTCTGAGAGCTCTCCACCTGCCCACACATTGTGGCACACACATTCAAACAGACACACACACACAAACACACACGCATGTGCGCGTGCATGCGTGCACACACGCACACAACAATAACGACAATGGCACATGCATGTTGGTCAGTCAGTCTATGAGAAATCTCCATGCCACGTCAACCATCCCGTACACAAGGTCATGATTCAGAAAATGAATGAAATAGAGAATGATAGATGACTCGGGGGAACGCCTCCCTGGTCATCATGCAACAAATTAATCTGATCAACTATAAGCAGCCGCACCATGCCAGCCACACAATCTGAGCAGATGTGTCTGGTGGATAAGCAGCAATCTAGAGCCAACTCAAAACCCACCTGTCTCAGGGTGCGCGCCACGAGCGTCTCAATCACGGGGCCTCGGTCGTCATTCAGCAAGTGTACTTCGTCGATCACCAGCAGCCGCACCAGCGACGCCATCGATACATCCGAGCTCTTTCTTGTTATCACATCCCATTTCTCGGGTGTTGTCACTATCATCTGAAGCACGTGGGAGGGAGGGGGGGAGATGAGGGCAGAGAGAGCCATCTTCTTAGCCGGCTGCATCACTATCATTTGAAATTCTTTGCTCAAGCACAAGCCATCTGTCACCTCACCTCTCAAACCACACCTCCCTCCTTCCTCTCCCCCTCTCACCTGCGTTTCCTCCATCTCTCTCTTGGTCAGCTGCATGTCGCCAGTCAGTTCTCGCACTGCCAGGCCCAGAGGGGCCAAGCGCCGCCCAAACGCTGCTGCCATCTCCGCTGCTAGAGCCTGGTGGTGATGGTGTGGGTGGGGGACGGGGAGGGTGGCTCCTTATGAGGCGTCTCAAAAGTCACTATCTTTCACCGCCAGGCCGAGAGGGGCCAGGCGCCTGCCAAACGCTGCTGCCATCTCTGCTGCTAGCGCCTGGTGGTGGTGGGGGAAGGGGAGGGAAGGAGGGGGGAGTTTTGGATCAAAAGTCGTCTCAAAAGCTGCCATCTCATCTCCGCTGCTAGCGCCTGGTGGTGGTGGGGGAAGGGGAGGGAGGGAGGGGGGAGTTTTGGATCAAAAGTCGTCTCAAAAGCTGCCATCCCATCTCCGCTGCTAGCGCCTGGTGGTGGTGGCGGAAGGGGAGGGAGGGAGGGGGGAGTTTTGGATCAAAAGTCGTCTCAAAAGCTGCCATCTCATCTCCGCTGCTAGCGCCTGGTGGTGGTGGGGGAAGGGGAGGGAGGGAGGGGGGAGTTTTGGATCAAAAGTCGTCTCAAAAGCTGCCATCTCATCTCCGCTGCTAGCGCCTGGTGGTGGTGGGGAAAGGGGAGGGAGGGAGGGGGGAGTTTTGGATCAAAAGTCGTCTCAAAAGCTGCCATCTCATCTCCGCTGCTAGCGCCTGGTGGTGGTGGGGGAAGGGGAGGGAGGGAGGGGGGAGTTTTGGATCAAAAGTCGTCTCAAAAGCTGCCATCTCATCTCCGCTGCTAGCGCCTGGCGGTGCCATCGACTCAACAGTCGCTCTCGCACCGCCAGGCCCAGAGGGGCCAGGCGCCCTGCAAACGCTGCTGCCATCTCCGCTGCTAGCGCCTGGTGGTGTGGGAAGGAGGGAGGGAGGAAGGATCACACAAACAGATGCATGGTCGAGAACGACCCACATCTGTCGCCATTGCGGCCCAATACACAATGACACCTCAGAAACTTATGTGGAAAGGGCACACATATGTGGATGATGTGACCACTGGTGTTGCTGGTGAGTTGCGTGCTCTAATCCTGCCCAGCCCACCTTCATCAGAGCCCGTAGACGATCTTGAAACCATTTGTTTTTTCTTCGTCCTACATGTGTGAATCCTCTCGTGCAGTGCCCCCTACTCTTGCTGCACTACCATCCACCCTCCCACCCACCTTCATGGGAGCCACATAGACGATCTTAAAGTCGTTCTTCTGCAGCACTCCATTCTTGAAGTTGGCTCCCACCTGCCATGGATCAAAGATGGATGGTTGTGTTTAGAAGTTCAATTCAGAATGTGGTACTGACTGGAAAATGACTCCTCTTACCAATATGAATTAAAATCATGTGTTCGCTAAGTAAATCATGACTACATTCTTTTGCCCTAGCGACAGATTAGAAAAAAACAACATTTACAACTCTTCACCACTTGAACGCTCGACTTCCCTTACCTCATGTAGAATTGTGATCATTGCAATATTGGTCTTGCCAGCCCCCGTAGGCGCACACACCTGTGAAGAGCGGTTGGACACGGTCCAAAGGGGTCCCAGACAATATTTTTGAGAATAATGTACATACAACTAAGAAACTGCGCAAACCGGTGACGATGCAAGGTGCCAAGAAAAACACCAGATGCATTCATCCCAAAGAGTTCTTAAAAAAATAGATGGCAGGGGCCTTCCTCTTGGAACACATACCAGCAGGTTCTCATTGGAGTAGAAAGCACGCTGGTAGATGCGGCTCTGAATGCGGTTGAGCAACTGAAAGCCCATGCACTTCCTCGTACCCCTTATAAGCTTCCACATATTTAAACATACCAGCAGGTTCTCATTGGAGTAGAAAGCACGCTGGTAGATGCGGCTCTGAATGCGGTTGAGCAACTGAAAGCCCATGCACTTCCTCGTACCCCTTATAAGCTTCCACATATTCAAACATACCAGCAGGTTCTCATTGGAGTAGAAAGCACGCTGGTAGATGCGGCTCTGAATGCGGTTGAGTGTCTGAAACCCCTCAAACGCCTTCTGAGCAAACGGCTCCATCTCACCCACCCTCACCAGCTTCTCCTGTGCTCTCCCCGGCCCCTCCACAGCTGCTGGCGGCACATGCACCTCCTCATACCCCTTAAAAGCCTTCCTCTTAGTACCCACAGGCAGCGCCCTCACTGACACAGCATCATCCCCTGTGCCTATCAGAGCATCAATCACCCCTCCGACTTTATTCTCCCCAGCCTCCACCAGTGCTGAAAACCCCCCTGCGCCTAGCAGCCACGCTAGCTCCCCCTCTACCCCCCCTCTCCCCCCGACTCCCCCCACTCCCCCACCACCTCCTGTTTTCGCAGCGGCGCGGGCGATTTTCTTGTCCTCTTTCTTTCGGAGCTTCTCCAGCTGTTTCTCTGACTCGGTCTGCACGGTCACTGTAGCGCCGTGCCGCACGTGGCTGTTGCTGGCGCCGCTGCTTGCTGCGTCCGCCTCCACTGCCTCTTTCAGGGCTGATAGGGCCGACTGAGCTGCGGAGACCAATGCCTTGCGATGCTGGTGGGGAGAGTGGGGGAGTGGGGGAGTGGGGGAGTGGGGGAGTGGGGGAGTGGGGGAGTGGGGGAGTGGGGGAGTGGGGGAGTGGGGGAGTGGGGGCGTAACCAGGGAGGATCTGAGAAAAAGCAAGGAGGTCAGCGGACAGAGAGGAAGAGAGCACGAGAGGACATCTGAAATGCAGAGAGAGCACATTTGATGAGATGCACTAGATACGAGGCACCTGCAGGTACCTGGGGCGGGCATACTTGATACCAGTTTAGCGTGCATGTAATGGTACCTGCAGCAGTTGCTGGATGAACTCGAAGCCCTGATCGCCCACTAGGTTGAACAGCTCACCAGCCACCTGCTTGCACATGGGCAGTGGGCACATGCACGCATGCATTCACGCACACAGACACATGCACGCATATGCACGCACATGCATGCACATGCACATGGGCACACGAATGCATGCATGCATGCACCAAGAGAGATGCAGGCACATTTACACGGACGTACATACGCACACACACACAAGCACGCATGCATAAACATGCATGATTTGTGGGTGCGTGCGGAGATTGCATGAGCTTCAGCACAGCAACCAACAGCTCGTGAGCAGTCAGTCAGCTGTGCAGATGCGCCCTTCCCACCCATGTTGATGCGCAACCCAACATCCCTCCCTCCCAGACATTCACAGAGGCACGCACACACACAAATCCTACCTCCCCTTCCCCCCCCCCCACCCCCTACCTCGTCTGCAGAGCCCGCTGATTGCATGAGTTTGAGCGCAGCTAGGCAAACCACAACTCGCCAGGGACAGCTCGTCAGCAGTCAGCTAACCCAGACGAGCACTGCCAAGCACACAGTCGTTTGCTCCCTACCTAATCTCCGGACCCCGGTGAGTGCAGCAGCTTAAACACAGCCAACGCGAGCTCGTCAGCAGTCAGCCGCGCCCTCCCCTCCTTCCCCCCCACCCCCCCTCCCAACAGTTGTGCACGATTCATCATCCCGCAGACAAACAGAGAGACACACACCACCCAGGCCCCCTCTCCCTCCCTTCTACTACCGCCCTCCCTACCTCATCTCCTGACCCTGGCGATTGCATGAGCTTCAGCACAGCCAGGGAAAGCTTGTCAGCAGTCAACTGGGTGCCTTTTCCCAATACTTACAAACACAAGGCATCCATCCCCTTTCACCCCTTTCTTTCCCACTCCACCTCCTCCCACTCACCTCATCTCCAGACCCCAGTGATTGCATGAGCTTGAGCACGGCCAGAGACAGCTCATCAGCAGTCAGCTGCGCGCCTCCCCCCCACTGAGCCGCCTCCACACACGACTGGTGCAACCACCGCAGGTCACGCGGACCCTCCTCGCCCTCCTTACTGTCACCACCGCCATAAGCACCAGATGTGTCAGCAGAAGCATAAGCACCAGAACCATCGGCAGCAGCACCAGAATCAGCTATATCGTATGTGGATCGGTTCTCTGGCACCTGGGCCTGCGCCTGGGCTGGCACCTGAAAATTCACCTGAGCCTGTGCCTGAGTGCGGGCCCTGGCCTCCTCCCAGAACTGCTGTAACAGCTGGTTACCATCTAGACCAGCCCCAGGCACCTGGAACGGCACGTCTGCGCCAAACATGAAGGAATCTGAAGGTTCCTGGTGCGGTGCAGAGCGGTGCTGGTGGTGGTGGTGTGGTTGGGGGCGGTGGGTGCGCTGCCAGGCAAGCAGCTGGAGCGTGAGAGAGACTGTACGGCGGATGAGGGGAAGGTCAGAGGAGATAAGACCGAGGAGGTCAGAGAGAGCAGATCTGGAGGACGAACAAGGGAAGAGGGTGGATGGAAAACAAGCACGATGGATAACAGGGGTTGGGGTTTAAAGGGTAATGGAGAGAGGTTCAGTGCGGTGCCAGGCGAGCAGTTGGAGTGTGAGACTGTTCAGTTTAGCGAACGAGGGAAAGGTTGGAGGAGACAAGACCGAGGAGGTCAAAGAGAGCAGATCTAGATGAAGAGACGGTAGATGGGGAGGTGGAGAAGCAGCACGGTCAACAATGGTTCATGCTGCGAAGGAGGTCAACATGAAAGCCCACCCACCTTATGCTGCCCAGATCAGCATCGGAGAGCGAATGTGCCTCGCTCAAGGCCCTGGCAAGTCCATCCGAACGCCCTCCCTCCTCCCCTTGCCGTTCCTGCTTCTCCTTCTCCGCCCGCCTTGCGCTGAGCTGGCGGTCAATGCAGTCAAACGCCGCCCCTGCTGCCTCGTGCAGGTCGGCAGAAGAGACCTCCGTGGCGAGCAGTGATTGGACGGCCACTAGAAACGACTCGTACGCCTCTCGCACACTACCAGGGGCTGTAGGAAATGGGGCAGAAAAGGGAAACGCAGTGGGAAAGGAAGGGGAAGGAAGACGAAAAGGGGGAAAGGAGACGTGGCAGAGGGAGATGCGAACCGTGAGTGAATGGCCACTAGAAAGCAAGGACTCGTATACCTCTCGCATACTAGTGAGGACAATAGGAATGGGTGAAGAGACGGGGAAAGGAAGTGAAACGGGGCAGATGGGGGGGGGACGGGAGGTAGGACAGTCAGCGGTGATTGGACGGCCACCAGCAGGAGAGGAGGGACTCGTATGCCACACGCACACTAGTTGGGCCTGTTGGAAACGTGAGAAGGGAGTTCGAAGGAGAAGGAGAAGGTGGAGTGAAGGGTGGGAAGGTGGATATTGTGTTTGTTACCCCCATGTTCTCGAAACAGCCACAAAAACAGCACATGTCAGTGCATATCAACAGCTCACCATCACTCATTCACGGCTCACCTTTCTCCCATTCAGGAACCAGTCGTTGCGCAAGTGACGTGGCACCCACTGCTGGCGCCGCGTGGCCTGCTTCTGCTGACGTGGCGCCAGCTGAGCTGCTTCAGAGCAAAGACGAAGATCATGGGAACGTGTAGGGTCGGAAAACGTGAGCGATGTGTACTGCACCATACAAAGGTGAGCATGATAAAGCCAGCAGATCTCACATCACATCACATGACAAGCCAGTCGCTCACATCACATGACAGGCCAGCAGATCTCAACAGCCAATCGCCATCCCTCGCCAGAAGTCGCAGCATGGAGGTCACAAACGATGCGACTGAAATCTGGTAACCAACCTTTCCCACCTTCGCCGCGCGAGTGCCTGTTTTCGTTGCAACAGCTGCTGATCCACGTCAAAGGGACGTCCGCCATCTCGCACCAGCACTCGCAGAGTCGACGTCACTCGCGGGACCTCCAACGACGTGCCTACAATTTCGCCGAACGCCATAGTTACCAAATCAGCGAGCTGCGATTCCGGTAAGCGAGATTTGCGATCAGGTAGCGACAGCTGCGATGGGGCAAGCGACAGATGCGATTGGGCTATGCACGATAGATGTGTGATGCGCAGCGATGATAGAGGTGTGCGACTATGGTCGGTAGCTCTACGACTGTGAAAAAAAGGTATGCGACTGCAAACGGCAGATACGCGACTATGAATGACGGCTGCGCGACTATGGCACCTCTGCGGGGATTGGGCGAAACGCGACACGAATTTGGCTCCGCGCTCGTGAATGATATAATAGAGAGAAATTATTGTACGGGAGCAGAGGCACGCGGAGATGGGAAGCCAAGATACGATGCCAGATACGTAAAGCGGAAGCGCAATGGCATGGGAAAAGGCACGCAAGAGGCGAATCAATTGCAGATGAAGAAATGCTCCCCACGAGAAGCGTAAAATCCTTGTGTTCAGTTCGTAGTACGAATTGTTGAGTGCTTTCTGTAAATAGTCATAAACCCGCGTTCTTGAAACTTCGTGTCATAGAGATGATCTTGTTTGCTATCCGACCATTCTAGGCGTGTTTCAGTTCGTTCAGGGCCTAGTCGAGTTGACATGACGGCCAAAAAGGTGTGCGATCATGGTGGCGAAATCTGCTGCCGTCGCTGACAAACTTCGTGGAGGGAATAAAGGTCTGTCAGATCGCAGAAGCGCAAGTTTTGATGCCACCACGAGTTTCGACTTGTCGCTGGTAGCAATGTTGCGACAACAAATAGCCGTGATCGGAACTCCCAAGGCTGCGGATGTAACAAACTAACAGCTCGACAAAACCTAGTTCGGCCCCGAATGTCACAGGCTGCCGCCGACATCTTTCGCAACGAAGGCGTTCTCAAATACGATCCCACCAGCAAGTTACAAAAGAAAAGGAGCTGAGCATTCTGGTTGATACCTCCCTAAATACTTATGGAAGTATTTCTAGGATAGGTACACGTGGTAGCACTTACCAACGTACGACGACTCGATCAAGCGTGCCGGTACACGACCCTCGTCGAACGTTTCCACATCTCGCGGCATCGCTCAGGATCGCCTTGCTCTCCACGTAGCGACCACCTGAAACCCCACGCTTTCCGTAATCCACCAGGTGCGAATGCCATTCTCGAATCTCCACTTTCTACGTGCGAACTAGTTTTACTTCTCACGAAGCAATACTGTTGCCACTCGCGGCTTAGTTCAACTTATTCCCTGGTCGGGCCACCTCACTTACTCGTCCCTCCGCGCCGCGCGCCCTTTCCGCTTCGTCTCAGCTGCCGCCATCTACTCACCGCTCATTCGCTTCCCCATCGTCCTTTTCTCCCCATCATCCACACCCAACCCCCAGACTCTTCCTGTCACCATCCTTCCCCACTCGACCTGGTCTCCTAGTTCCCGCGTCGCTCCCCCATCTCCCGCTGAGTCGATTCAAAGGGGGTGATTACTGAGCCGGCTAGACAGTCGCCTACCCATCCTCTCGAGGTAACTTTTGAGTCGACTCAAAAGTCAATTCATAGGGGGTAATTCCTGAGCCGACTAAACAGTCGCCTACCCATCCCCTCGTTTCTCCTTTTTTCGCGTAACCGTGTAGTCCTTGCGACCCCTCTCTCCCGTGCGACGCCTTCCCTCTCCCGTGCGACGGCACCCTCTCCCGTGCGACTCCCCCCTTCTCCTTTTCGACGCCCCAACTCTCTGTGCGACTCTCTCCCTCTCTACCGCCATGCTCCTTCTCCGCGCCTCCTTATCCGTGGTGAAGTGATATCTCCATGCTCCTTTTCCCTCCCCTTTCCCCTCCCCCACTTCCCCCCCCTCTCGCCTTCTTTCTTCCCTTTCCCCTCCCCCTCTTTCCTTCCCCCTCTCCGTTTCTCCCTCCCCATTCCCCTCATAGACACAATGAGGAGCTTCATAGGCAAGGTGGTATCGAACAGGATGCAGAAGAGCGTGGTGATGGTGGTGGATCGGTTCAAGCAATGTCCTCCATCCATCCTCCCTCCCTGATCTTCATCCCTTTCTTGTTTCAGTGCACCCACGCACACACAATGAGGAGCTTCATAGGCAAGGTGGTATCGAACAGGATGCAGAAGAGCGTGGTGGTGGCGGTGGATCGGTTCAAGGCGCACAGCAAGTACCCCAAGGTGGTCCACTCGACCAAGAAGTTCATGGCGCATGATGAGAGCAACGCTTGTTCCATGGGCGACCAGGTGAGCCGGGCTTATGATTGTATGAGCATGCGCATGAGTGTGAATAAGGGCAGTGATCGGAGTGTGACGAACAAGTCCCTCCAAACCAAGGTGGTGCATTCCACCAAGAAGTTCATGGCGCATGATGAGAGCAACGCATGCTCCATGGGCGACCAGGTGAGGAGGAGTCTGATGGCACGGCATGAGCATGGGCATGGTCATGGGCATGGGCATGGGCATGGGCATGGGCATGGGCATGGGCATGGGCATGGGCATGGGCATGGGCATGGGCATGGGCATGGGCATGGGCATGGGCATGGGCATGGGCATGGGCATGGGCATGGGCATGGGCATGGGCATGGGCATGGGCATGAGCATGGGCATGGGCATGGGCATGGGCATGAGCATGGGCATGGGCATGGGCATGGGCATGAGCATGGGCATGGGCATGGGCATGGGCATGGGCATGGGCATGGGCATGAGCATGGGCATGGGCATGAGCATGGGTGCAGCAGGCGCACTGCATCACAGCGCATCACCACAGTTCCCGTTTTGCGTGAAGTCTTTGCTAATCTTTTGCCTGCCCCATCCTCTTGCCTTGCCTGCCTCCTCTTGCCGTTCTCCTCCTCATATCCACCACCACAGGTGCGCAAGCGCAAATATTGGTTGGACACATTCGAGTTCCCAAGTGCCACCTACCCCTATCTCTTCCCTGTCTCTCCACTTGTCCTGCTGCCCCTACCACCACCACAGGTGCGCATTGAATCGTCGCGGCCACTGAGCAAGCGCAAGCACTGGGTGGTTACGGAGGTGCTTCGCAAGGCAAGAATCTTCAATATTGATGACACCAAGAGACCAGCTGCTGCTGCTGGTGCCGGTGCTGGTGCTGTTGGTGGTCTTGATGGTGCTAGTGGTGCTGGTGTAGGTGCTACTGCTGCTGCCATTCAAGCTGCCATGGCTGCTCAAACTGGGGCTAACCCCATCCCTTCTAATGTGCTCTGAAGTGCCTTCGAAATGTACATGCATACATACCTATATTTTAAACTAGGGTAGCAAGCAGGGAGTCACAAAAGAGAGTTAGCAAGCAACTCCTCATAAGTGAGTTGCATTCTTTTTGCTGTCAATCACATGTGACAATCAGCATTGTGGTGACTTGAGAAACACCTCATGCATTACTGATATGGGTGTGGGGCTGTGAGAGTGACCCTGCCCTGCTCCCCTTGGAAGGTGGGGCCAGTAGTGAAGAGCTACTGGTACATTGGCTGCGAGCGGTACGTGCCGTTGAAAATGAGCTGTTCCTTTATGTTCCATACGCCCTTTCCACCACCAATACCACCCCACCCGAACCCCCCAGTAACAGCAAAATGACACCTCTGCTGCACTAGTAAACATTCTCATACCAGGCTGTTGTTATAAAGCATTACGGAACAAGAATTGTCATATCAGCACCTTATGCACTAAGTAACAGGGTTTATGAGAGTGCGATTGCGCTCCTGCTGCCCTGCTGGTGCTGTGAGAGTAACATTTCCCTCCTGCTGTCCTTGGCACGTGGGACCAGGAGGGAAGAGCTGCACTGGCTGCGGGCGGTATGTGCCGTTGAGAATGAGCTGTGAGGGGCCGTACGCTCTCAGCACCACTGCACTCCTTGTCTGCAGGAAAGAGGGAAAGGTAGAGGGACAGGGAAGGTGACCTTTGAGTAGACAAAATAACCGCCGTTGTTTAGAATGAGCTGTGAGGGGCCATACGCTCTCAGCACCACTGCACTCCTTGTCTGCAAGAAGGGAGGAAGAGGGACAGGGAAAGGGAAGGCAGGGCGGTATGTGCCATTGAGAATGAGCTGTGAGGGGCCATATGCTCGCAGCACCACTGCACTCCTTGTCTGTGGGAAAAAAAAGAGGGGAAAGGGAAAGGGAAGGTGAGTTATGAGTCGACTCAAAGGTCAGCTCTGTTGAGAATGAGCTGTGAGGGGCCATACGCTCTCAGCACCACTGCACCCCTCATCTGCAGGAAAGAGGGAAAGGTAGAAGGACAGGGAAAGTGACCTTTGAGTAGACCCAAAAACCGCCTTTGTTGAGAATGGGCTGAGAGGGGCCGTACGCTCTCAGCACCACTGCACTCCTTGTCTGTGGGAGAATGGGGAAGAAAAAGTGGAAGGGAAAGGGAAAGGGAAAGGAAAACGGAGAAGGGAGAAAGTGTGCAGAAGGGAAAAAGAGAAAGAAGAGAGAGCACAAGGAAAGATAATGCAAAAAGAGGAGAGAGAGATGGAAAGCAAGAAATAGAGTACCGTATAAGGAACAGAGAGAAAAAGGAGGAAAGAGTAAGACTCGAGCAGACACGTGTGCGAGGGTCACAGTACAGAGTTAACAGTGGGGATCCAGTTGGTTTCTTTCGCACAAAGTAATTTTTCTCACTGTTGGTCTGGCTGCTTCATTTACATCACACACTGCAGTCATTCTACAATGAGCGAAGACGAGCAGACACGGGGCGTGATGATCACAGTACCGAGTTGACAGTGGGGATCCAGTTGACTTCGAGTGATTGGCCGGGCGAAGTGGGTTGAATGTAGATGGTGAGTGTGCCGTCTGGGTTGTACTGCCGTGAGGGAGGGAACAATCAGAGCAGATGCAAGAGTACCATGTTAAGACTTGGCAACAAAGTGATTGAGACGACGAAGTGGGTTGGATGTAGTTGGTGAGAGAGTGCCATCTGTGTGGTACTGCAAGGGGGGGGGGGGGGGGGGGGGGGGGGGGGGGGGGCAGATGCAAGACTACCATGTTTACACTTGGCAACAAAGTGATCGTCGGTTGGATTGGATGTAGATGGTGAGAGTGCCGTCTGGGTTGTACCGTGGTGAGGGGGACAGCATAACATGTTTGGATGCACAGGAGTTGATTGGGAAAGGCAAGGGAGCTGAGTGTGTTTTCAGTCGGCTCAAGCAAAATGTAGATGGTGAGAAGTAGGAGGCAAGGTGAGAAGTAGGAGGCAAGGTGAGAAGTAGGAGGCAAGGTGAGAAGTAGGAGGCAAGGGGAGAAGTAGGAGGCAAGGGGAGAAGTAGGAGGCAAGGGGAGAAGTAGGAGGCAAGGGGAGAAGTAGGAGGCAAGGGGAGAAGTAGGAGGCAAGGGGAGAAGTAGGAGGCAAGGGGAGAAGTAGGAGGCAAGGGGAGAAGTAGGAGGCAAGGGGAGAAGTAGGAGGCAAGGGGAGAAGTAGGAGGCAAGGGGAGAAGTAGGAGGCAAGGGGAGAAGTAGGAGGCAAGGGGAGAAGTAGGAGGCAAGGGGAGAAGTAGGAGGCAAGGGGAGAAGTGGGAGGCAAGGGGAGAAGTAGGAGGCAAGGGGAGAAGTAGGAGGCAAGGGGAGAAGTAGGAGGGAAGGGGAGAAGTAGGAGGGAAGGGGAGAAGTAGGAGGGAAGGGGAGGGAGGGAGGGATACTCACCAGGAGGCCTGGCGTGCGGTCTCCCACGCCGTCCTTGCTGACTCCTTCTAGAAGGTTGAGCGACGTGCTGTTGTAGACTGTGACAGACCAGAAGGAGTGAATTGGGGGAGGTGTGAGGGACGTGAAAGGAAGAGCAAAACTCACCAGCAAGCCTGGCGTGCGGTCTCCCACGCCGTACTTGCTGACTCCCTCCAAGAGATTCAGAGAGGTGCATTCTGACGCCTGGCTTGGACGGTACGAGCGGGAATGAAGCGCATCGATTTGAACGGGAATGCGTTCCTTTAGGCACCTCGAAGAAGTGGTCCGACTGCGAAAATGCGTGTCCTGTAACAACGTTCGTCATAACTGCAATCACCATCGCAGGAATCCAATCAGGAGTAAATAAAGGAGCACGTGACCGTTCTTGTTCGTCGTCACGCTAGATTGCTTCCAGAATCCAGTTTGTGATGCTACCTCTCTGTTTTCGATTGTGCCGTCGCGGTTCGACGCGCGACGGCGAGCATTTCAGGGCATTTACTATCGACGGACCAGACTGCTGCGGACAAACCTAGGCAAGCTGGCTGACTGGCTTGCTGGTGACGTGAAAAGCCAGAGTGTGCTACTAACAACCATTACAAACCGTTCTAATGTGCTACTCTAACCTTGAAAGCGCATAGAAACGAATCGAACCGTAAAGAGCGCACTTGTGACACACCCTGCTTTCCAGCCGATATGGCTGGTGCAATGTGGAAGGCGAAAGAACCGTTGCTGAGGGCGTGTTTCGATCAGTTTCATCGGTTGGGAGTTGTGTTGTCATGCTGACATTCCCATGTGCGGGGCGTCAAATCAGTCTGGAAGCTCGTGCTATTTTGAACAGACCGTCAAGAAGTTAAAATAATCCGTTTTTAACGGGTCAAACTAGCCCCGATTCCTCTCATGTGTCAGGACTCTGTAACCACAGAAAGTTGAGACGTAAAAATCATCGACACACTTAGTGGTGCTCCCTTCCAATCTCAGTTCTAGTTTCCCATTCCGTGTCTGGGTCCACGACTGGGTAGCGACTTAGCTAAGTATCTACTGAAGTACTGTACCTTTATTTCCCTGGCCACACAAGCAGCTGACAAGCAGAGCACTCTATTTCCACACCAGCCTGGACAACCGAAACAGTAGCTGATGCTTGTGTGGTGGTGCCGTCGTCTGCGCTAGGAAGCCCGATCAATAAACGCGCAAGAAAATCGTCGTTTGCTAAATTGAGAGGAAAAAAAGAAAACAATAAGGCGAGCCTGCGCTTTACGAGTATGGCGTCTGGACGCACGTCAATGGGGCTAGGAGGTAGGAGAGACGCGAGCAAATTAGCCAAGGACGGTAAAGACGGCTCGGGTAATAAAGCAGCCGCGGACGTCAGAATCCTGACGACAGAAGCTATACCTCCCGCTAAGCGCAAAAAGTATAAGGAGAGAGTGAAAGGGCCGAACGCGTCCTTAACTACAGGCGACGGGTTTTCGGCGATCTTAGCTCCCGAGTCGGCTATGCTTACGCGGCTCCAGGCCGAGGAGCGGCAGATGGATATCGTCCTATCGCGCGTTAAGGTGGAGCTTTCCGAGTCGATCCACGCCATGCCACGTGTTACGCGAAGCCTCCGGCTTTACGTCTTTAATACCCACTCGTTCCAGGATCGAGCAGTTCAGAGCGGAATGAAGTCGGAAGTAGATGGGTCGATCGCAGCCGTTGATTTGCCTCGCTGGACCTTGCGAGTCGTGGCGCGAATGGTGGGAGAAGATGAGGAGCAATTCAATACTCAGGCGGGTAATTTTCCAGGAGAAAAAAATATCCTGAGCATCAAGCGCGTCGGAAGCACCGAGAAGGAGCGTTCTTTAGCAATGTCCGCGATATTAGCAGATGCAGAGTCTCGCGGATCGGATCCAGCCGTTGGAGAATCAGGCTTGAGCCAGGCTTTGCTAGGCTCGGGAGTTTTTAAGGTTCGGGATGCTGTGGCTGGCCCGTTGGCTCGGCATGTCCAGCGGATCGAGGCTCGGCTCGATCCAAAGCTGTTCCCTCCACCCAACAACGCGGTGATCCTGTGGGACGCAGACAGGGACGGGATCCTCCGACCAGACGCATCAACGGTGGAGATGCAGCGAGAGGGGACCAGTGAATCTTTGGTGGAGGTTCGTGTGGAGCTGAAGCACAGGGAGGAAGTGTACAGTGTGGGAGAGCGGTTGGGAGCGGTGGTGGGGATGAATGTGGCGACCAGGCTGCAAGTATTGGAGGGCCTTTGGAATCATATCAAGGCTAATAAGCTACAGGTGAGTGGTATTCGGTGACTGCTCTATGCCATCTCTCATGTTTCTTGACGGCTCTTATGCCACCTCGTGCGTAGTATGACAGTATATCTACTGCTGATATGGCATCTGGTTCTTCGCATTTCGCTGTTGTTTCTCCTTTCCCTTACCATCCACGTTCCTCATGGTTCTGTTTTTCTCCTGGACCATCCACATTCCTCATTTTGCTGATTTCTCCCTTAACATCCCCATCCCCCCATTTTACTGCTGTTTTCCCTAATAGGATCCCTCGGATCCCTCTTCCTTCACCTGCGATGCCACCCTCCAAGCCCTCTTCAACCAAGACAAGCTCAAAATCTCCTCCCTCCCCATCCACATCTCCCCATTCCTCTCTTCTCCACCGCCTCTCACCATCACCCACCGCATCTCCCTCGCCACCTCTCCCACACACTCCGCCACACTCCCTTCTCTAGACCCTCCCTTTCAACCCCTCGGACCACCTACCAGCCTCCCCTTGTATGAGACTCTCCCACCTGTTTCGGCTGACACCTGCGTGGATGTGACTGTAACAGAAGCTCCTGCTCTGGCAGCCGAAACAGCGCGTGTGATTGCAGCAATGGGTCAGCAGCCGGAGATAGACGCGATTGATGCAGCCATGGCAAAAGACGCGGAGCTTTTAGCTAAGCACCGGCGGCGGCGCGCATTTTTCCTAGCGTTTTCGCACTCTCCTGGGGAGTTTATCAGGGACTTGATGGTTTCGCAGCAGAGAGACTTGGATCAGATGCAGCAGGGAGGAGTGGAAGGTGCTGGAATTGCACAGGCATTTGATCCTGAGACTGCTGAACAAGATGCAGAGTTTTATGCTCTACCCTGGTGAGTGCTCTCTGCTGGAATGCTCACACATTTGTTGCTGCCAATAGCCAATGTGTTGTGCCCCGCTGCTTCTCCACTGCTGGTCCCACTTACTGTTATGGAAAATTCGGAGCTATGTTCACTTGCTGAATTTTGTGTGACACGTGCCTTTGTTGGCTGCTTGCTGTGTGCAGGGTGGATGATGCCCTTCTGAGGTACTTGAATCGCCATTCCATGGGTACTGATGGGCTTGCACTGTGAGGCTATGGTCCATCATCTCCCAACACCTCAATGCATGGAATCACAATTGCGTGTGGAAGGGGCATTGTATTCATGCTACCATGCATGCAGCTAGGTGTTACGCCATACATGATTCTATGAAAGTCAACCTAGTCAGGTAAATAGTACGGTAATAATGTTTTTGCTTCAATTGTTGAAAATTGTGTTGTCGTGTCCGGCTTGTGGTTGTTTGGTGAATGTGCTAAGTGAGTCAACTTTAGGTTCAAACAAACGATGCTGCATATTATTGAGGCATCGAATGTTCTAAGCGAGTATCCAAGGAAATAGTGGAAATGGTGCTGGCTGCCTTTTGCCGCGTACAATGTCAAGGAGCACCAGTTTTCACGAGGCGGGAAAAGAACGAAGAGATTGTGGCTCTCCTTTTCCCGCCTCTTGGGAACCTGTTCTGTTGAGTGCCTAGCGAGGCGGCGCGACACTTACCTCACCTCTCAATTACTAGTCCTCGAAATCTCCGACTTGCTTGCTCAGTGAAAAAACTCTGCTGCCGTCATTATCAAAGCGCAAGCTTGGTGCAGAAAGCAGTGGATGGCCTTTTCAACTGGTTCCAATTTATTCCACTTGTCTTCCACGAATTGGGTTCAGCGATGAACACTTCCAGGCGAGGACTGAGATTGGACTGGCCATGGCGTAGGAATCGAAGCAGTCTCGAAGAAGCTGGGTAGCTGAGGAGGTCAAAGGAGACGGAGAGGAACGTTTACCGCGATTCGTTATCGTTTCGGCGATAAGATTATGCGAATCACAGCGGACATGCGCAGCCACGGAACCTCCGTCGGAGGAGATAGTCATTTGGAACTTGCCCGGTTCTCTTACAGCTCGGATTCATGGACCCCTCCGTATCCGAGTAAAGGATTGCCTTCGAGTTTCCTTCTAGTGACGTGTGCGCTTTCGTACGGCGACTGCTCTTGGATCCGTATACTCCCTTTGTTTCCAACGTTCGCCTTGAGATGCTTCAGTATCATACGCGATGAGTGCCCAGAGAATCTCGACTGTGCGATGCCTGCGATTCATCGCATCCACTCGTTTGCCTTGGTTGCGACGCTCACGCCTATCGCATTCCTCTCGACGCTTATCGCATTTCCTCCTAGCGCTTCTCTTATGACGTCGACGATCGCACCATGGCTGTCAACGGCGGGAACGAATTCCAGTCGCCGCGGATGCGATAAGCTCGAGAGCAACTTCTGGAGAAGGAAGCTCGGTTGCAACCTCGATTGCAACTTCAGTTGCTCTCGAGTGTCCATCGGTACCGCGTCGGCGACTGGAACGGGTCGAGAAACTCGATTTCACTTCGATTGAACCCACTAGCAGCACAGCACGCGACCCGTACGGAACGGTTTAACTCCCTGGATCTGTTCTTTCGACGTCTGGCAATCCAGCCTGGTCGGTACATTCCCGTGATGTGATTGCGATCTGCAGTTTTTGAGGAACAGTGTTCTTGAAAGCCTGGGGAGCTATTGAAGGTTCGATCAATTAGATACTTACCAGAGCGAAAGGTTCGGCACCTATTCATTCAGGTACTCAGCTTTCAGAAGCTTTCTCTTCTCGCCAATGAAACCAGAACTATCCTAGGGTATTGGCATTTCAGCAACTTTACTATCAGTCTTTTCCACCATTCCTGTCAGAGCGGACCAACTGCTTTGCAAAGTTAGTCGAGCGCACAGTAGCAACTGCTTGCCAAGGGATTCGTTGTGGCATACCCTTGACCCGAATCACCATTTCTTTGATAGGGTGTGACGAGTTCTTGGCACAAGCAGCAGCACAGCTCCTGTTGACAGCGGACCGGGCAACTCCTCATCATCAACATCTCTGGTCTCTGGTGCTCCAGCAGCAGCAGCAGCAGCAGCAACTCCATGACACCATCTGCCAACATGAACCGAGTCTCAGACCTGATACTATCCACGGTCGCTTCACGACCAGGGAGAAATGTCGCGGGCCAAGCTTCACAGCCGAGTTGGATTAAGTCACGCCTGCTTTCAGTCACTCTGCTGCCTGTCGCTCTGCTGCCGCTGCTGATGGTGATTCTTTTCCTTTTCGCCTCCCCTTCTTCCGCGGAACCTGGTCTGGCCGGGTTGCTGCAGAGGGGTGGACACGTGGCAGCAGCGGATAAGGGAAGCATGCGTGGGGGATCAGTGGAAGAGGGTAGAGCAGGGGTTGGGAGACGTGGGCTTCAGCAAGAGCCTGGAAGTAACAGCACTGGGAGCAACAGTGGCAGTAGCATCAGTGGCGCTGGTAACGCCACAGTTCCCCCCCAAATCGTCCCCCCAGGCAGTGGCAATGGAACTACTGCTGGTAATGCCACTGCTGCCGGTAACTTCACGGGAAGCGGTAACTTCAGTGGGGCAGCTGGTAATGGCATGGAGTGGGGTGCAGTGCGGTACTTCACGGTGGGGCAGGAGGCATTCGTGTGGGGTTCTCCTCTCGTCACCTTCTTCCGCCAGCAGGCCACCCGTGCTGCCCTCAACGCCTTCTCCTTCGCCAACACCACCGCTGTCGTCGGCACCACCAGTGAGTCGTGCATGTTGTTGGTGCGTAACTTTCTAAAAGCCGCGTCTGATGCATTTGTTTTCTACGCCAACACCACCGCTGTCGTCGGCACCACCAGTGAGTCGTGCATGTTGTTGGTGCGTAACTTTCTAAAAGCCGCGTCTGATGCATTTGTTTTCTACGCCAGCACCACCGCTGTCATCGGCACCACCAGTGAGTCACGCTTGCACTTGGTGCGTACTTTTCTGCACTCTCCGGAACGTCCCCTATTTCTCTGAAGCGATTTACGAGGCAATTATGTAGTCTTTAATCAAAGCAGAACTTCATGTGATTATTTAGTGACTGAAAACCGTCATGTCCTCCATCTACTTTATGTCTCGCTTCTTTTAATATTCGCACTCCATCACTCGAATCCCCTCCGTCCCCCTCTCCCTTCCCCACCCAGCTGTGGCGCTCCCCAATGTGGACACGGTGTATGGAGGGGCGTTCCTCTATTTGCGGGACCAGCCCATGGTGTTCAAGACCCCCAACATGGGCCAAGGCCGCTACTACAGGTGAGGGGCGCTCTTTTGGGAAATATACTGCTACAGGTGGGTGGTGCTGGGTGCTTCTAAGGTAGGTGGTGCTAGGTTCTGCTACTTGTGAGCTCCTGGATTGGTTGGACCTACGGGCCAGACCTTTGATGGGTTGTCTAAGCCTCTATTTCTTCTTCTCACACCCCTCCTCCTTTCCTACTTGCAGCATCGGATACTTCCAGACCTACGGTCCGGCGTTCAGAGTGAACGGCAGCCGAGCCAACGGGCCAGGCCCCAACACGTTCACTCTAGTTGGGCCCAGCTGGGCAGGGGAGCTGCCAAGTGACCTCGCATCCACCGTCATACGTGTGAGTAGGAGTCTATTGGCATACGGGTAGTTTCCAACACACGTGCACCCAGGCCCCAACACGTTCACTCTAGTTGGGCCCAGCTGGGCAGGGGAGCTGCCTGCTAGCCTTGCATCCACGGTCATACAGGTGAGGATATCACTCGTGATATGACTTTTGAGTCGACTCAAAAGTCGGGTGAGGATATCTCTCGTGATATGCACATAGATTCTTTGACCCAAGCCTCCTACACGTTCACCGTCGTTGGGCAGGACTGTGGAGGAGAAAAGCCACATAACCTTACACTTATGGTTTTGTTATGTCAATAACTGACAGACTGACTGACAGATTGCTGTACAGACTGACTTTTGACTATGGATCCTTGTTCCAGAGAATCTGTTCAACACACAATCTCTCTTCACACGCCCTATCTCTTCATAGTGTAAGCACATGCGTTATTCTTCTCCCTTCTCCGTTTTGAATTCCCGTTCTTTCGTCCTCCACAGTCCCCTACGGACGACGTTCTCCTGCTGATGCGAGTGGTCGTATCAGAGAACGTGTCCAACGACCTTGCTACTGTGCTGGACCTCTACAGTCAAGTCTCGCTACAGTCACTCTCAGAGGCGCTAGGCGGGCCTGCAGTTGCGCCCCTCCCGAATCCGCCCCTCCCCAACTCCAACCTCTCTGAGGCCCTCCAGGTGAGTAGCGCCCGCCCTTGTGCTTCCTGGAGGTTGAGTTCTGCTCCCTAGGTGAGCAGTGCCCTTCAGGTGAGCAGCACCCGCCCTTCTGCTCCCTAGTGACCCTACTGAGTGAGTTTTGGGTCAACTCTCTACTCCCCAGCTCCAACCTCTCCGGGGCCCTCAAGGTGAGCAGTGCCCCCCAGGTGAGTAGTGCCCCAACAGGTGAGCAGTGGCCTGCATCCGTCCTTCTGCTCCCTATCTTTGAGTGGTTCCCCTGCACACGGTTTGAAATGCTTCTTTCCTTCCTTCCTTCGTTCATTAGCAGCCTGCCTCAACCATTCTCTTCCAGGCCACCTTTTGAATGAATGATTGCACCTCCCCATCGCCCTCCCTCCCATCGCCCTCCCTCCCATCGCCCTCCCTCCCATCGCCCTCCCTCCCATCGCCCTCCCTCCTGCTCGCCCGTGCAGCGCATGACTCTTATAGGACAAGGCCTTCAGCGGGACCCACCCTACAATAACAGCGCCAACAACCGCGTCGTTCGCATGGTGAGGCGGGTGGTGTAGCATGCTGACGTGGATATGGCATAGTGAGGAGAGAGGGGGAATGGAAGAGCAATGCAGCGCAGCATGCCTCCAGCAGGACCCACCCTTCAATAACAGCGCCCACTACCGCATTGTTCGCATGGTAAGGCCAACTGTAGCAGCGTGCTGATGCTGATGTTGATGCATCAAAGGTAGATGCATGCTGATGGTGGTATTGATGCATCAAAGGTAGATGCATGCTGATGCTGGTGTTGATGCATCAAAGGTAGATGCATGCTGATGCTGGTGCGGCACGGAGAGAGGTCCGGGGGCATGGATACGGTTAGTGAAAGGGTGACGGTTACAGGTACGGGACTGGGTGGCGCGTAGGCAACTCCTGTGATGACCGCCACCAGCAAATGTTTTTTTTTACTCCCCGGGCCCTGTACAGGTTGACACGATTACCTCACTGCCCGTCCCCTCCCCTCCCTCCCTCATCTCTCAGGATGCGATTATTCACGTCAACCGGCAGTGTGGCTTAGAGGTTTAGTGCACACCCTCTCATCTATGCCCACACTCCCGCACTCTCACTCACCTCGCAGCTCACGCCCATCATTGTCGCCCAGCAGTACGGCTTACGGTGTCTCACAGTCTCTTCCTCTCCCCCTCTTCCCCCCTCCCTTCTTTGTCTCCTCCCTGTCGCCAATCAGCTCGCGTCCATCAACGTCACCCAGCAGTACGGATTCGACCCCTACAGCGTGACACACACTCTCACTCATCTGTGCCCACATCTCCCCTCTCTCATTTACCCCTCTCGGCTCGCGGCCATCAATGTCACCCAGCACAGCACTACTTCAACCCCTACAGCATCACACATCTTTCTTCTAGTGCTTCAGTCCTCTTCCCCCAAACCCTGCAATTTTCCACCCCCTCCTTGCACCCTTCTCCCCTCCCTTCTCCCCCCAATCAGCTTGCAACCATCGACGTCACCCAGCAGTACGGCTTTGAGCCCTACAGCGTGACACAGCAGCACACACTCATCTATACCCACAACCCCACACCCTCCCTCCCCCCCCACACCAGCTCGCGACCATCAACGTCACCCAGCAGTACAGCCTCGACCCCTACAGCGTGGCACCTTACTTCAGTCACCCTGCAGTGCTTTTTGTGCCCTTTTCCACCAACACTTCTCTGCCGAAATCCCCGCTCCTTCACCTTCTCACCCCCACTCTCCCAGCTCGCGTCCATCAACATCACCCGGCAGTACGGATTCGTCCCCTACAGCGTCACACACTCTCATCTATACCCACACACCCCCTATTCCTCCTTCCCCCCTCTCAGCTCGCCACCATCAATGTCACCCAGCAGTACGGATTCGACCCCTACAGCGTGACACAGCAGCAGGCAGCAGCACTGGAGGCAGCGATGCAGACGACCGACACGCTCATCAGGGCAGCTAATGTGGTCATTCAGATCAACGATTCACTCATTCAAGGGTGAGTGCCTGAGATGGTTTAGCACTATGTCTTCGACCCCTACAGCGTGACACAGCAGCAGGCAGCAGCACTGGAGGCAGCAATGCAGACGACCGACATACTCATCCGGGCAGCTAATGTGGTCATTCAGATCAACGATTCACTCATTCAAGGGTGAGTGCCCGGTGGGTCATCTTTCATATTCGTTGTTAGGAAGGGAATCCATGTTTCATCAGGTATGGCGACTAACACATGAAGCTATCAGAAGTAGAGATTCCGTGCCTCCCATTCCTGTAAGCACTTATGACCATCTGTTGAGTCAAATAGAGAAGGGGTCTAAGGGGTTTCTCCTTGCACCCTACCGGAAGTGCCGTTGAGTCGACCCAAAAGTCACTCTCATCTTCCCTTGCAGTAACTTTGAAGGCTTCACTTCTCCATCCATTCCTGTCACATCCTTATTCCTGCCACTTCCCATTCCTGTCACATCCTTATTCCTGCCACTTCCCATTCCTGTCACATCCTTATTCCTGCCACTTCCCATTCCTGTCACATCCTTATTCCTGCCACTTCCCATTCCTGTCACATCCTTATTCCTGCCACTTCCCATTCCTGTCACATCCTTATTCCTGCCACTTCCCATTCCTGTCACATCCCCATTCCTGCCACTTCCCATTCCTGTCACATCCCCATTCCTGCCACTTCCCATTCCTGTCACATCCTTATTCCTGCCACTTCCCATTCCTGTCACATCCTTATTCCTGCCACTTCCCATTCCTGTCACATCCCCATTCCTGCCACTTCCCATTCCTGTCACATCCCCATTCCTGCTGCCACTTCCCATTCCTGTCACATCCCCATTCCTGCCACTTCCCATTCCTGTCACATCCCCATTCCTGCTGCCACTTCCCATTCCTGTCACATCCCCATTCCCACCCTCTCCTCTCATTGAAAGCTTGGGTATCATCTCGCACCCTCACCTGCTCATGACTTCCAACACGGAGTTCCTCTACCGAGCCACGCCCTCACCATCCTTCCCATAACCTGTGCTCACCTCTTGCTTCTCTCTTCTCCACTCCACCCATTCCTGTCACTGCATCGCCCAGTGAGAACTTCTGGGCGTCGTCGCACACGCTCCTGGGCCACGACTTTGGAACCTAGTTCCTCTACCGAGCCACCCTTACTGCCATCCCTCCCAGTAACACTCAGGTTGATGGACATCAGACCTCCGCAGCCCACCTGTTTACTAATAACAACATCTCTACCGAGCCACCCTTACTGCCATCCCTCCCATCACCTGTGCTGACCTCTGTGTTTTCTCTTATCCATCCACCTGCCACATCTACTCAGTGAGAACTTCTGGGCGTCGTCGCGCACCCTCCTGGGCCATGACTTTGAAACGGAGTTCCTCTACCGAGCCACGCTCACCGCCCCGGGTGGCATTGGCGGGCTGCCGCCCACAGAAGTGGTTTACTTCCTCACCTTCCTTGCAGCGGTGAGCCGATACCCTATCCTCCCCTCTCTTCTACCCACGTGTGATGAGTCGACTTTTTCGTTGACCCAAAAATCGATTCCTCTACCGAGCCACCCTTACTGCACCGGCCGGCATAGGCAGGCTGCCGCCCACAGAAGTGGTCTACTTCCTCACCTTCCTCGCTGCGGTGAGTTTCCGACCCTCTATTCCCCGGTCTCTCTATTCCACTGGCTTCCTTCCCTGGCTGTGATTAATCTCAAAAAAGCCTTCTATCGGGACACTGCCACTCACAGCACCAGGCAGCACTGGCGGGCTGCCCCCCACAGAAGTGGTCTACTTCCTCACCTTCCTCGCAGAGGTGTGCTGCGCCTCCCCTCTTAGCTTGCACCTTCATTCCCGCAAATGTCTATCGGGCCACTCCCACTCACAGCACCAATCGACGGGCTACCCCCCACAGAAGTGGTCTACTTGGTCTAATTTCTCACCTTCCTTGCAGAGGCAAGTCGATTCCCCATCCTTTCCAGCCATGCTCGTTCTTAGGGACTTCGTGTATTGAGTGATCCCATTGTCACAGCCTCAGGGGGGATCGGAGGGCTACCCCCCACAGAGGTGGTCTACTTCCTCACCCTCCACAGCGCAAGTAAGAGTTTCCTACTTGCTGAGGTGTGATGCCTTCTCTTCCACAGCGCCCCCATCTGTGGCAGCTCTGCCCCCTGCCAACACAAAAGCACCTCTCAGTGCTCTGGAAAAGGCCTTTTGGGAGTTCTCAAAATTGACTCTGTGGCAATTCTACCTCCTGCTAGCACTGAATAACCTCGGGAAACTCTTCTCTCCGTCCTGTCAGTGCTACAGTCTCCATTTATCTTGCTTTTCTACCATCCTTCACCTTCCGCCTCCTCTTCCAGGTCACCCCATCTGTGGCAGCCCTACAGCCTGCTGCTGCGAATTTATCAAACACCACCACTCTTCCCACTCCGTCCACCAAGCTACCTTTCCTTCCTGTCTACACGGCACTCCTTATTTTATCTTTCTTGTCTGCCCTGCCCATCCTCCCCCGTCCCCCACCCTCCAGGTCACCCCATCTGTGGCAGCCCTACAGCCTGCTGCTGCGAATGCATCCAACACCACCACTCCTCACACCACATTACTTTCCCTTCCTGTCAACGCAGCACTCCCTTTTTTATCTCGCTTCCCTGCCCATCCTCCCCCATTCCCCACCCTCCAGGTTACCCCATCTGTGGCAGCCCTACAGCCTGGTGCTTTGAATGCATCCAACACCACCACTCCTCCCACCACACCACCTTCCTTTGCCACCAATGCTACAGCCTCTACCAATGCTACAGCTCCTCCCGGCATGCCTATGAATCCCCCCTCCCCGCCAAGCAACGCCACAGCAGCAAGCAACATCACCATTCCTCCCATCCTCCCCATCGACCCTCCAGACAACACCACAGCCCGCAGCAGCAGCACAATGAGCAACATCCGCGCTGAAAACACCACCAACATAGGTAGCACCAACACTGCAGACAGCAGCAGCAACACCACAGACAACAGCAGCAACACCACAATAGCAACCACCAACACCACTGGAACCCAGCCTTCACCCCAACCTCCCAGGCTCCCCTCTTCAGCTGCCAACACCACGACCTCCATGCAACCTCAGCCTTCCTCAATCTTCCCCTCCTCAATCCTCCCCTCCTCCATGCCCTCTCCACGTCGCCCCTTCACGCCTCTCCAAGGCTCCCGCTGCTTCCGCCTGCGCCTCACGCCTCCCCCGGTCGACTCCTTCTGGTCTGTCACCGTCTACAATGCATCTAATCTCAACCTTCTGGAAGGAGTCACTAAGTTTGGCGTGGGGGACCGCACTCCGGGGCTGCTGGTACGTCTCTCTTGCCTGCGCCTCACCCCTCCCCTGGTCGACTCATTCTGGTCTGTCACCATTTACAATGCATCGAATCTCAACCTTTTGGAAGGAGTCACTATGTTTGGAGTGGGCTACCGCACGCCAGGCCTTCTGGTGAGCCTTTCTTGCTTGCGCCTCACCCTCTTCTGGTCGACTCCTTCTGGTCTGTCACCATCTACAATGCTCCTAATCTCAACCTTCTGGAGGGAGTCAGCAAGTTTGGCGTCGGTGACCGTACACCCGGCCTATTGGTGAGCCTTTCTTGCCTGCGTCTCACCCCTCCCTCGGTTGAGTCAGCAAGTTTGGTGCGGGCGACCGCACTCCAGGCCTGCTGGTACGTTCATCTACATTCCTCCTCGTTCCTTCTCTAGAGCGATGCTTCTTCACCACACCACCCCCAGTCGACTCATTCCAGTCCGGCCTGTCCCTGCGTCCAATCTCAAAACGCCTGGAGAGAGTCACTAAATTTGGTGTGGGGGGCTGGACGCCTGGACTGATTGTGAGTCCGTCTTGCTTCTCTATCCTCCTCTTGATTCCCTCTGGTCCGTCTTGCTGCCTCCACCTCTCCTTGTCAATTCTCAATGGTCTCCCACTCCCCCTTCCCCCCTTCCAAACCTTGTGGAACCAACCAAACCTGCGCTGCCCCTGCAACCGTGAGTATACTCTCACCATCTACAGTCTGCTGTGAATCTGACTCTCTCAAACCGTTTCCCCACCTCCTTTCCCTGATATACCCCTGTGCAACCACACCTGTACTGCCCCCCTCATGCCAGTACAACCCAGACGGCACGCTCACAATCTACATTCAACCCACTTCGCCTGGCCAATCACTCGAAGCCAACTGGATCCCTACTGTCAACTCGGTACTCGTTATCCCGGCCTGAGAGCTGCCTTGTTTCTTCCTTGTTCTTTTCTTTTCCTTATACCCCTGTGTCCTACTTGCACCTCGAGTTTCGTACCGCTTATCCCAAATATTGGTTTCTTTCTCCATTTTCGATTCTAGTTCCTCGATCGCATGTTTGTTCTCCCCAAGCCTCAATCTCTCCCGCCCTCGTATGTCGTTGCACCTTTGCCTGCAGACCAATAGCGCGGCGGTGGTGAGGGCCTATGGCCCCTCTCCACAGATTCTGAATGGAACATATGAACCAGAAGCGATCCACCTTAGTCCTACATGCGAGGCCTAGCAAAACAATGCCTGAAATTAAAATCTCCTTTATTCCCTGTTGAGGGACTTGTTACGAATAGTAATATTTGATATTACTGTGCACTCCTCACCGCAGCAAAGAGAAGCAGGCAATATCGGGAATGAACGCGAAGCGTCAGACAGTTGGAATTGAACCGAAGAGTCAGACGGTTACAGCACATCTAGACCGTCGGAGCAGATGGCATCGGGCAGCTTCAGGCAGGATGGTTTTGGCGGGAACAGTTACGAAACTGTACGCGCCGCACGGTTGGGAATGAATTTGAATAAGGGAATGTACCCCTTAGAGTACATGGCTAGTTAGGTCGTTTCGTATTCCCCTGTACTCATATTTATATTTCTTGTATTTGCATGTTTTAATTATCTCAAGCATTTTACATTCACTCTGCTATTGAGGTCAAGGGCCCACCAAACTATCTCACTGCGTGCGAACCTTCCTGGGTAGATCCTGGGCTACGATCAACTTCTGATCGCAGCATGGTATCAGAGCGGCTCGGGAATCCTTCGCACTGCCACTCCCGAAAATTGCGACATTCGGAAAGTGGCGTCCGGCACACGCTCACGAGTGAAGATGGCCGGAGGATCTGGTGGTCAGACCAATCTGACGGCTGAAGCGCAACCCAACCCGGCTGCGACAAGCGAGAACACGACGACAATCGGCTCCGAAGTTCTCGCACAACTTCTTCAGCGACTCACCAGCTTGGAGCAAGGACTCCAAACATTGCGGAATGGCGATGCGGGAACATCCTCGCAACCCTCTCAACCGGCCCCGACTGGCCAGAACGCCACCCCGCAAACATTCTCCCTCGACACCAATGGCTCAACCCCCAAGACTCCCCGTCCCAGTGAAGAGGCAATTCTCTCCGCTCAATCAAGGTTTCTCAGCATATCAAAAATAAAGACAAGTACCTGTTTTGACGGCAGAGATTTTTATACCTGGAGCTTCGAGTTGGAGCTCCTGCTGCAGAACGCCCGAATCTTCCATTACTTTGACGGGAGCTACGCGGAGCCCGCTGAGGACACCGACGACGCCAAGGCGAGGTATTACGACGAATCGCTGATGGCATACGGGGTGCTCCTACGGAATATGTCGCCGGCGGAGCAGCTCAACATTCGTTCTTACAAGACCTCGGCTGCTCCAGCCCTCAACGCCTGGCGGCACCTGACAGGAGTCTATCAGCCCAAGGACTCTGTCTCTTCGAGCCGACTACTCCAGGAACTCCTGGAAACCAAGATGACCGCAGGGGAGAAGATCATTAACTACCTTAATCGCTGTCGGAGCCTTCGCGACCAAATCGTGAAGCTAGGAAGCACGATTTCGGAGGAAATCTTCGTCAACATCGTGCTTCAAGGGCTCGGCCCAGAGTGGCGGCCCTGCAAGGCGCTTCTCCGACAGCAGGGGGTCATCTCGGAGGCCGCCCTTTGCGCCGCCCTTCTCGTCGAACAGAGGGATATGGATCAGCAGCGACCAGCGCCGCGACAGGAACGCGAACGGCTCGCCTTCTACGCCGACAACACCGAAGAGCGAAAGCCACGGCGCCTCTACTGCAAAATCTGCAGAAATTTCGGGCATCTGGCGGATCGATGCAAGAACCGATCTCGCCCTCGCCAGACCAATCCGAGCACCTAGTCTGGCCGCCAAGACGCACGAGGCGACGTGCGTCCAGCCCAGGGGTACCAGCCCCCTCCCGCGCGCAACCTGAACCCAGCGGTTCAGCATCAGCAGCAGCAGCCGTCATCGACTGCCCCAGTTCGCAACGTCATGAGCAACATGGCCATGACAGGCGAATCGCGTCGTCGCCGCGTGCGCTCACCTTCACCTGAGCCGGCACCGCACCCCATTGGCGCGTTCACCAACAACAACCCGTCCATTCAGTCCGCGCCACGAATTCACCGACGACAACGACCAGGACTGGAATCTTCCAGTCCCGCTGCTTGAAAGTCCCCCGCACGTACCTGATATGCGGGTGGCGCCACTTGATTGGCTCACGCGCGAGCTATTTTTGAAATTCGACACTCCGCACATCGTCACGCCGCGACTGGCGCTGCTCGCACGTGACGACAACAAGCGCTACAACACCTGGTACCTGGACAGCTGCTGCGGCCAGCATATGGTGGGGTCCGAGCGTTACATATCCAACGCCATCCCCACCCCTACCATCACTTACGTCACCGTGGCGAACAACACGCGCCTGCGCGCAAGCGCGCAAGGCATCGTCGTGCTCAAAGCACGTGGAAGCCGCACGCACATCACGCTCAACGATGTGCTGATCGTCCAGAACCTGCGCTTCAACCTCCTGTCCGCCGCACAGCTCATGGATTGCGGCGTCGACCTCAGCACGGATCGCGCGACGCGAGACATCCTGCTGCACTATGAGGCGCGCAACTTCCCCCGCAGGCAGATCGGACGAGCACACTCTGAAAATGGAGTGTACGTCCTAGATTTTGACATCCCCGACTGCAGCGGCGACTCGCACGAGCTCATTGACCTCGTGCCACTGCGCTTTGAGCACATCCACCGCAGGGATTGGAAGCACCCTGACGGCAGGCCGTGGGTGCCACATCATCCCCACCCACGCGAAACGGCGCTGCACAACCCTGATCCAGATGGAATCTGCAGGGACTGTCACACGCCGACTACCTCAACGAGCGCGATTGCAGGCCGCGGACTCGCCGCCATCGCTGAAGCGGAACGCCACGCGCCACCAGAAGAAGGGATGTCGCAGCTCGAGCTCGAAGCCGCCACTCGTCGCGTGTTCGGCACCGACCAAAGTCCCCACGCTGGACCTCCCTCCCAGCGACTCGAGGGCATCCTGCGCGGACAACGCCGCGGAAGCCTGGATTCACGCGGAGTCGCACGCCCCTACACTCCCGAAGAGTTCCTGAAGGTCTACCCACACTGGCGCGACCCCACGGCAAAACTCACCGTGGAGCAGGACAGAAGAACACTGGCGCGCCGCGAAGCCGAGGAGCTTCGCCAGCAAAGTCTTGCGGAAGCACGCGGGACCTTCGCTTGCGCCGCCTGGGGAGCTGAGGAGGAAGAGAGCGCCTCCAATGAAGGGGGGTGGGGGAGCGCTGGAGGATGGGGAACAAGCGACACCGGCGGATGGGGAGGGACACCGGCGGAACCTGGGCCAATGCGAGCGGCGGATGGGGCGCCGCATCTGGCGCCGACAATAGCGGCTGGGGCACTTCTCGCGAAAAAACGAAGGGGGGAAGAGGAAGAAGCCGCGGAAACCGAAGCAGCACCTGCAGTCGTTCCTCTCGGTCGTCCCCCGCGCCACATCCCGCTCGCGGCACCTCCTGCAGATATTCCCCCGCATCGCGACCCGTGGGACACCATCATCTGGGGCAACGAGCCGTCAACCCCGCGTCGCACCGTCTACGGACCTGCCCCTGAGCCACGCCAACCTACCCTTGTCCCTGGAACCATCCCTGGGACCAACATCCCGCTCTCTGAAATTCGCGACAGAGAGTTCTTGGCGCTGATGCTGACTACCGCGGCAGAAGAAGAAGAAGCAGAGGAAGTAGCAGCGGAACCTGCTCCCGCACCTGACGAAGACCCTGAGGAGGTGCGGCTTTCGCGCTGACGATGCACTCTGGCACCAGCGCCTCGGACATCCTTCCCGCGCGACGCTGAAAAACTGCATCGACGCTGGCGTCTTCGCTCCTGGCGCACTCCTGCGCCCTGATGGCTCCGAAGTGAGTGGAGCAACACATCCGCTCAATTGCACCGTCTGCCCCGAAGCTGCGCTGAGCCACCAACCGTTCCCGCTGCTCGAACCTGGAACGAACCGCTACCCCAAGCTGCACAAGGTGTACAGCGATTTCCTGAACGTGGGGCATTGCGGAGTCGAGAAAGAACTATACACTCTTACCTTCATCGACGCTGGAACACGCTACGTGTGGGTCGTGAACGTGGAGTCGCGCGACAGAGCCTACGAGGTGTTTCGGCTCTGGCTAGCGCATGCGGAGCGGCAATCTGGGAAGAAGCTCAAGATTTGGCAGTCTGACGGCGCGGCAGAATTCAGGAGCAATCAGATGCAGACATTCCTGACGCAAAAGGGGATCGAGCATCACATCTCCCTTCCCTACGCGCACCAGCAGCAGGGCGTAGCCGAGCGGACGAACCGCACGCTGATGACGAAGGTGCGCGCGCTGATGAAGCAGTCGAAATCTACTGGACCTACGCGATGCACCACGCCGTGCGGGTGCATAACCTCCTTTCGACCACCGCAATCATCGGCAACCTGTCCCCGCACGTCAAATGGAGCGGAACCAAAGGGGATACCTCCATGCTCCGCGTGTGGGGGTGCATGGTGCAATACCGCCCGCCGAGCAACCTCAACCATCGGCAAATTTGCCAGCCGCGCGCGCTGGGGAATTCACCTCGGCATCAGTCACGAATACAAGGCGTGGATCGTGCTGGACCTCCTCAGCCAGAAGACCGCCCATGCTCGCGACGTAATCTTCTACGAGCGTCTCTTCCTCGACCAGTTCCGCCACGACGAAGAAACGAACGCGAATCGCGTCTACGCCAACGATGGCCACAGCTATGCCACGCCTGAAGACGAAGCCGCTGCAGCAATCCTGGAGCAGGACACAAGGGGAGAATTCGCATGGGAGGATCGGCGCAACAGCGACGACGACGACGACGATGATTCTTCGGGAGGAGGAATAGGCGGAACAGGCGGAAGCGGAACAGGCGGAAGCGGCGGAGGCGCAGCACCACCAGCACCACCTGAACCTGAAAGCGATGACGACGATGTGCAGGAAGTCATCCCGCAACGTCGCCACGACAGCACCGTCTCGGGACTGCAGCTGCTCGGGCTTCACACCGCAACCTCGAAGGCGCCGCGCATCATCGAGCCCCGAAATCCGCGCGAGGCCCTCTCTGGACCACACAGCAAGGAATGGCGTGAGGCAATGGACGCGGAAATCAAGGCACTGGAATCACGAGATACCTGGGTACTCGTCGACCGCGCAGCAATCAAAGGAGCAAGAGTTCTCTCGGGGAAGTGGGTCTTCCGCGTGAAGACCGCAGCGGATGGAACCATCGAACGCTTCAAGGCGCACTGGGTGGTTCGCGGCTACGATCAGAGGCACGGGATCGACTTCGATCAGACATTCGCCCCAATCAGCCGCCACACTTCCGTCCGCATTCTGCTCGCCATCGCAGCTGCAAGGCACTTACCACTCCGCCAGATCGACGTGAAGAACGCGTTCCTGTACGCGTTAGTAGACGCCGTGATTTACGTGGAGCAGCCACACACCTACGGCGAAGGAAACGCGCGCGTGTGTCAGTTGCAAAAGTCGCTCTACGGCATCAAACAGGCACCGAGGCTGTGGCAGCAGTACCTGCACAACATCCTGCTTGAAATCGGATTCAAGCAGATGCCGCACGATCCAGGGATGTACCGCCGCGATTTCCGCGGCGAATACATTCTCCTCACGGTGTACGTCGACGACCTGCTTTACACAGGGTCGAACAACGAGCTCCTCGAACAGTTCGAGAAGGCTTTGGCGGGGCGCGTCGACATTACGTGCAACTACGAGGTGAAGCAGTTCCTAGGCCTCAACATCTCCTACGCGCCTGAGGCCATTCACCTCACGCAGAGGAGTTGGGGGAGCGGTTCAACATCTCACCTGCACCCCTCTCAACTCCCTACCGAACCCCCGGACCGAACCACAAACCTGACAACAAAGCCCTATCCCCTGCTGGGATTCAGACTTACCAGCAGCAGTTGGGATGCCTTCTCTTCGCCTCTGTCACCTGCAGGCCAGACCTCTCGTACATCGCAAGTCAGCTTGCGCAGTACTCCCGCAAACCAACGGCTGAGAATCTTCTGGACCTGCAGCGCGCCCTTCAATTCTTCGTTTCAACGCCCAAGATTGGGCTGTGCTACTCAACTGCACCAACCCCATCCTTCAACCTCGTCGGCTACGTGGACGCCGATCACGCAGCAGATCCTGATAATCGACGGTCCAGGACTGGCTTCCTGTTCCGACTCGAGCCATCAGGGCCAATCTCCTGGAATTCACCGAAGCAGGAGTTGGTTGCCCTGTCATCAGCCGAAGCGGAATTCATCGCAGCAACCGCAGCAGTTCGCGAGGGCCTCTACCTGCAGGAGCTTCCGCAAGAGGCGAAAATTCCAGGTTCGCCAACATTCCGCCTCCACTGCGACAACCAGAGCGCGATTCGGATCGCGAACAAGCCTGGTTTCGTCAACCGCACCAAGCACATTGCGCTGCGGTACTTCTTCGTGAAGGACGAGGTGGACAAGGGCAAGGTCAACTTGACCTACTGCCCGACGGGTGACATGGCAGCAGACTTCCTCACGAAGCGACTGCCACGCCAGCAGTATCAGCACTGCTCCGAACTCAGCGGCGTGGTCAAGCAGGTCAAATCGAGCTACGGCCAGGAGTGAAGGGGGGTGTTACGAATAGTAATATTTGATATTACTGTGCACTCCTCACCGCAGCAAAGAGAAGCAGGCAATATCGGGAATGAACGCGAAGCGTCAGACAGTTGGAATTGAACCGAAGAGTCAGACGGTTACAGCACATCTGGACCGTCGGAGCAGATGGCATCGGGCAGCTTCAGGCAGGATGGTTTTGGCGGGAACAGTTACGAAACTGTACGCGCCGCACGGTTGGGAATGCATTTGAATAAGGGAATGTACCCCTTAGAGTACATGGCTAGTTAGGTCGTTTCGTATTCCCTTGTACTCATATTTATATTTCTTGTATTTGCATGTTTTAATTATCTCAAGCATTTTACATTCACTCTGCTATTGAGGTCAAGGGCCCACCAAACTATCTCACTGCGTGCGAACCTTCCTGGGTGAATCCTGGGCTATGATCAACTTCTGATCGCAGCAGGCCTATCGTTTTTCTCCTTAATGCTCAATGAATCATATCAACCGGAAGCGATCCACCTCCGCATGCGAGGCGTAGCAAAAGAATGATGTGTAAAATACCCTATTGCACCATTGAGAGGCCAATGCACCTAATTACAACCTATAATCATCAAGTGATCATGTGACCTCACCAGAGATACTGTTAACGCTAGGATAATACGAGGTTATATCCTTGTAAATTGGATGGGGCACATAAGCACATCATAAACAGTCTGAAGCCAGTTCACTCTTGAAGCGTAACGATCCACATTAAAAGGGCTGTTTAAACAGCAGTTTTGGCGCGATGTTCGTCCTGCCCGCGGGCATCTTGTATGTGCAGTGAATTTCGTAAAACCAAACGAAGGGCTGCAGATGTGCGACATTACTACGAACTGTAGCCATGAATTTCGCCTTCGCAGACCCACTCAAGTCCCTCCCGAACAAAACCAACTCATTTGAACGGCTCGATTGGACTGTACGGATGGAAAGTACTGGCACTGCGCATCGGGAACGAGTCGCTCGCATCATAACCTATCCACGTCGCATTGTGCGGTTCGATTTCTCATTTCATTTCTTGCGCGAAACTGGGGCGTCTGGGTGGGGATTCCCTTCCCTGGCCCCACCAGCAAGAAAATTCACCCAGGTGGGGGAAAGTTCATCACTCGCGCTTCCTCCACTTTCCCCACCAGAAAACATGCTTGCGTCGCACCCTCACGTCGTCGAGCGCAACATTCACCGACCAAATAGTCCCCCAGACTCACCCTTTACCACCGACCAACGGTGAACTACCTCGCCAGCGGCTCGGTCACCGAGAGCCGGTGTAAAGCTCGATCTCTTCGGGACCTCAGGTCGCTGCCCAATGCTCGTATAAAAAGCGAGAACAGAAGGGCATTGAACATCAGTTTCCTTCTAGCTCAGTTGAATCATCTATTTGTTCTCCCGCAATTGGCCTTTGCGCCTCAAGGCGCATCCTCTCTCCTGAGTCGTTCCTCAGCAGTCGACTGCTCCAGCCATGAGGCGGTCGAAGATTTTCTTCGTCTTGCTCGCGCTCTCCCTGCTCGTATCCCTCGAGCTAGTGCCGTCGTGCCGCGCGAGTGAGATCGACGCGGAAGACGACGCCGACGACGACGACATGTCGGACGCCGCCATTTCCGCGGATGAGGCGCCTGCTGGTGAGATTCGGTTTCATTCCGCCTTGTTCGTCGCATTCCCCTTTCTTTGCCATAATGTTTCCAAAGCACGTGAGGGCGCTGTTCGGCGAAAGCAGGCCATTCGTGTGGGGTACCCTCACTTATGTATCTTCTATTTGCTACCGCACTCGACGGCCTGCTTTCGCCGAACTTCTTTCGTCTATTTGCTGAAACTAATCTTGTTTACCTTCCCTCCTTCCAGGTCTCGTGGGCCAGCTGTTGGGCGTGAGCAGGCGGTTCCTGTACTCGCCGCGCATGCTGTCATGCCGGTCCGACTGCGAGGACAAGAACAAGAAGTGCAACACTGATTACAGCGAGTGCAAGCGCGAGAACAAGGACGACGAGCACGACCACAAGAAGTGCACCAAGAAGTACAAGAAGTGCAAGAAAAAGATCAAGAAGTGCCGCTCCAAGTGCGACTAGAAGTGCAGGAGTGGAATGTAGACTCGCTTAAGAGAATGCGTGATGGTTGGGAGAGTGGATGGTTGGGAGAGTGCTAAATAGAGTGCTAAATAGAGTGCTAAATAGAGTGCTAAATGCAGGCTAAGTGGATGGTATCGGTCTCTCTTGCGGCTCTGGCTGTGCTAAATTCTTGAAGTAGCAAAGCATCTACTGTATGGCGCTGGATATTGGCTGATAGGCAGTAGAGTGAAGTTGGGATTTGAATGAAGAGTCTTCTACAATGTGCAAAGCTGAGCCAACTTAAAATCGCATCACACTATCAACAGCTTAGGCTTCTCCGCTACCCATACCACCCATATTCCGTTAGCAGCAGCACAAGGAGGAGCAGACACACAGGCCGGTTGTGACCCATACAAGTTAGCAAATGACACCTTCCAGTCACAAGTCATCTTTCCATTATTGTGCCATACCCCCACCACCACCAGCCTCTGCCCCTACCCCTGCTCTGAATGACTCTGTTCCCATGCCACCAGACCCAGGAGCACCCTTAGCAGCAGAGACAGACACCAACTGAGCTGCTTCGCCCATACCCTTGCCCGCCAAACCCATCCCCATCCTCTCTCTTGCTTCCGCATTTTCCACTGCCATACCTAACCTGCTGCCATCATCCAAACCTCGCTACAGGGCGCCCCAATAAACCGAATAACGTCTTCCCAGGTGACAAAGGGCTGTGCCCCAGCAGCCAGGGAGGAGGAGGAGAAGGGTGAGGTGAAAGAGGAGGCGCCTTACCCATGGGGGAGGGGGAGGGGGGATGATATGGGAGAGGAAAGGGTGGAGATGAGAGAGCAGGCCCTTTTGCTGCAGATGAGGACAAAAGCTCGTGGGTTGGTGAGGAGTAGCTGAATGGAGGTGAAGCAGGAGGTGAGAAGAGTGATCACTGCGGAGAGTCACCCTACAACGGGTGTGAACTACGAAGGAGGGCACGGAGTTGTGTGGGTGATCGTAGCGCTCTAGTAGCGTTCTAACAGAGTTCGTACTACTTGCTGTGTTCACAGAGGAATTTGGCAAGAGTTTCCACTAAGGAAATTGAAAGAACATTGAAAATTGAGAATTAGAGTACAAGAATGAGCATGCAAAGTGATATCTCTGGAATGGCATTGCAACCCCTAGCAACCATTCTGCAAGGCGAATTGCCAGCACTGCATCAGAGCGGTTCGCCAACGCTGAAACAGAGCGGTCTGCCAGCGTAGCAGAAGGGCGACATGCCAGCGCTGCAGCAGGGCGGCCTGCCAGCGCTGCATTCGCAGGTGAATATCTGCGCAGGTGTGCACTTGTCGAGTAGGTGCAGGTAGACGGTTACACCGTCAGAGACATTGCGCAGGTGCCAGGTAGAAAACGCTCCGACGGTTTCGTCAGATGTCCGCCGTCGAGCACGTGATGCCATTTCGGAGGTCGAATTTCGCTAAGAACCACCTGAGCGAATTTCGCATGCCCTCGCAGAGTTTCGCAGTCGCGCGAATTTGGCCGACCAGTTCGCCGAGCTGACGCTCGCCGAACAGCGCCCTTCGATCAGAGAACGCAGCTCCTCGGACAGCACCCCGTCCGTCAGAGATCGCGCGACCCAGAAGCAGATCAGAAGACGAGCTCGTCGAACAGCACCCCGTCGACCAGAGCTCGTTGACGGGCTGGTGAATCAGAGGACAACCTTCCTCGAAAACCACCCGCGGTTTCAGAGAACGGGCTGATCCAATGCGACGATCACTTCGTCGAATTCACCACGTCGTCGCAGAGAATGCCTACGCCCAAGCGAGGGCGGGGCCTTTCACTCCGACACTCCCCTGCCCAGCTCACGCTTGGGCACCCACACACAAGGTCCACCCAGAACCTAGCTAATAAAATACAAGGGGACATTTCTCTGGCGCACACACCTCCGCACGCCGATCACCGCACCAGCCATGTTAGAGGACATGGCACCTACTGCTGCACGTCGTCGTCGTCGCCGACTTCGGCAAGGCGAACCTGGCCGACCGCGACAGAGCACCGGTTGAAGGCCGGAAAGTGCAGCCCTTTCGTGAGGAAGTCCGCCGGCTGCTCGGATGTCGGGATGTATTCCAGCGCAATCTTCTTGCGCTTCACCATCTGCTGCAGCCAAGCGTAACGTCGCTCCATGTGCTTGAGGTTGCCCTTCAGCCCCAAGCCCTCAGCGACCGCGATTGCGGACTGATTGTCCACGTTCAGAGTAGTCGGTGTTCCAGCATCGAGGAGCTGGAACTCGGCGAGGAGGAATCGAAGTCGACGAGCCTCCTTGCCAGCTTCCGTGGCCGCAATGTACTCTGACTCCGTCGAGGACAGAGTTACGCACTTGATGCGTTGGCTCGTCCAGGAGACAGCTGCGCCGCCGAAGGTGAAAACGTAGCCACTCGTGCTGATACGAGTCTGCTTGTCGCCAGCGTCGTCCGCGTCCGCGTAGCCGACCAGTTTCAGAGTTTCGGGTCCGCCGCCAAACTCCAGAGCAGCATCGCGCGTGTCAGCGAGATAGGTGAGGCAGCGATCGACCTCGCGCCAGTGCTGGTCGCTCCTCACCGTCAGACCAGACCCCAGCTTGCTGCACGCGAATGCAATGTCGGGTCGAGTTGTCGTGGCAGCGAACTGCAGAGAACCGACCTTCTGACGGTACTCCTCCTCTTCGCGCGACTGGAAGTCCTCATCGTCGAAAGTCAGCTCCGCGTAAGCGTCGACGGAAACAGGCGTCTTCGGACGCCGACCAGTCTGCTCCTCGTCGATGAAGCGCCTACGCAGCTTGTCAACGTAGGACTGCTGGTGCAGCCACAGCTTCCGCGCCGGACGATCGCGCACGATTTCGAGCCCCAAATACTTCTCGACTGGGGTGATCTCGCGCAGCTCAAAGGCAGCCTCCAGCAGCTCCTTCAGCTCGTGGACGAACGGGGAGCTGTGCTGCTGCTGGCGGCGAGCAGGTCGTCGACGCAGACGACCACCCAGCACGCCACTCCATCGTCGCCAACTCTGAAATAGAGAGCCTCGTCCACCTGGCTCTTGCTCCAGCCAGCGCCCGTCAGAACAGCGTCGAGCGCCGAGTACCACAACAGAGGACTCTGCTTCAGCCCATACAAGCTCTTCAGCAGCTTGCATACGCGGCCGGTCCCATCGTTGTAGTAAGCCGGCTGGTCCATGTAGAGCACGCGATCGAGCTTGCTCTGCAGAAACGCATTCTTCATGTCTAACTGCATGAGGTGCAGGTCGAGGACGGCCACAATGCTGAGAAAAATTCGCAACGGGACGTAGCTCCCGACTGGTGCATACGTCTCTTCGTAATCAGCTCCGTAGACCTGCGTGAAGCCCTTCACCACCAGGCGGGCTTTTTCGCGTGCGACCGTGTCGTCGACGTGATACTTCGTCGTCAGAACCCAGCGGTTCTTCATGACATTGACGCCGCGCGGACGCTCGACCAGCTCCCATGTGCCGTTGGTGATGAGACTTCGAATCTCCTCGTCCATCGCCGCTTTCACCGCCTTGCCCTTCCAACTCGCTAACGCCTCCTTCACTGTCATGTTAGCGATGTCCCAGCGATGCTCCGGGTCGGCGTGCATATCAGGGTCGAGCTCTGGAACGTTGACGTCGAACTGCGCATCGTCGAGCAGAGTGCTGTAGGAGGTCGGCGGCAGGCAAGCATGGTAGCTCAGCTTCTCGCGAGGCTTGCCAAAGTTAGAGCGGGTTGAACGTCGAACTACGGGCTTGTCGGCAGAGACTTCCACCACGTCGCTGTCGCTGGACTGCTCCCCGGCTGACAGCTCCCCTTCATCGCCGCCGATGACTTCAACAACGTCGCTCGAGGTGCCTTCGTCGAACTGCTCCCCTGTCGTCCGCTCCTCTGAAGCGAGCTCCTCGTTCGACGGCTCCCCTGTCGGCGGCTCCTCTGAAACGCGCTCCCTGTTCGACGTCAGCGGCTTCTCTGAAACGCGCTCCCCGTTCGTCGGCTCCCCTGTCGAAGGCTCCTCTGAAACGCGCTCTCCGTTCGCCGGCTCCCCTGTCGGCGGAGACTTCACTCCGTTGCCGTCTTGCTCGCTGACCAGATCACGTCGACCGCCAGCGATGCCAATGGGCGGATCCGAAGGTGACGCACCAATGCTCCCCTCATCGCTGGCGGCCGACGTTGATGCCGACTTAGGCAAGCCGGCGGCGAGCGATGGGAGGGAGGTAGGAGGAGGCGGAGGAGCGTTCGAGGAGGGCGGAATGGAGGGAGCGGGATCATCTGACGGGCTGTCGTCCTCGGTGGCGAGCAACTCAATCGCCGCCGGCGATGGACCCGGCAGAGGAGAAACCTTCGTCCGCTCTGACGCCGTCCCATGCGCTGCCTTCCACTCCGCCAGAGACATCGTCTCGTAGAATATGGCCTCCACGGTTGTGACAATGCGGTTGTCAGTGAGATCGAGCACCTCCCAGCCCTTGCTCTCTGACGAAACACCAAGGTGAATGCCCCAGCGTGCCTTCGGCGCCAGCTTTCCGCCGCGTTGCTGCTCCGGGACCATGAACTGCACCATGCAGCCCCACACGCGCGCTAGTGTCAGATCCGGCTTCTGTCCGAACAGCAGCTCGTACGGCGTCGTCCTCGGAGGAAGTGAAGCCCGTTCGAGGCAGTTGCGCACCCAGACGGCGTGGCGAAGGGCGAGGTGCCACCAGTGATGCTTCACCCCCATGTGAAGCAGCATCGTCCGCACAGATTCGACGACCGTGCGCATCTCCCGCTCTGCCATGCCATTCTGCTGTGGGGTGTAGGGGCAGGTGAGGTTGTGGAGGATACCCTTGTCCTCGACAAGTTCGGTGAATTTCCTGCCAAGAAATTCGCCTCCGCGATCTGAGCGCAACCTTTTCACCGTCGTCGAGGTCTGCCGCTCCACTTCCTTCAGCCACTTCTCGAAAACGACCAGCACGTCGCTCTTCTTCGCGATCGGGCGAACCCACACAAAGCGGGTCTTGCGGTCTTTGAGGAGGAGGAAGTAGAG